CGACGCTCCTGCCGGGCTGCACTGGTTCCGCCAGGACGTGGGTGAGGTAGCTGGAGCCAGAGCCGATGTCGAGGACTTTCGCACCTGGTTGGGGGGGGGGGAGGGAACCTTGTTCCTCACGGTCCATCACTATTGTCACGTTCCAGAGAAGTACTGCAAAATCTTAGACTTCTATGTGGCTTGTTGCTGTTTAAAGATGATCATGCAAACATGCTCCTGTCTTCTGTCAGCCCAGATAGTGTCAAAAAAAACATGTGTCCAAACTCACCTCGATCTCCGGAAATGTCACATCGTAAAACGTCTCAAACCTGGACGTGATGGCTGGAGATTTGTTTTCGAAACCTGGTGCTATTGACGTCTTGTATCTCCGATACACTGCACCGACTAGAGCCGTCATCTCCGCCATGGCCAAGCTGCATACGATGTCAGGTCCTTTTCTCGCGAAGCCTATGATCCAGCGACAAGTACTCACTGTAAGCCGATGCACATTCTCCCACCACTGCTGAACGCCCAGAACCACCTATTCATCTCTGCGAGTTTGTCAGGCGAACTTGCCAGCCATCGCTCAGGGTGAAATTGTAGAGGGTCTTCAAATACATCGGCGTTGCGATGCAATGAGTACGGCGACACGTTTACGACTGTACCAGCTGGGATCTGAAAGCCATCAATCACCCGATCCATTCCAATTGAACGAGGTTCGGAAGCCGGTAGTGGGTTGTATAGGCGAAGTGTCTCACGTATGACTGCGTTCAGATATGGTAACGAGTCGACGACATGGAGCCCTGGAACTCCTTGCTCAAATACCTCAGCTGGCAGCGAGTGGAGCTCGTCAATTAGGCGTCGTTGTATGTGTGCATTTTGAGGCTGCGAAACAGCCCAGATAAGGAACATGAGCGAGTCTGCCGTCGTATCGATGCCAGCGAGCAAGTGATCAGCGCATTCAGATGCAATATCTAGAGAGTCGAGACCCCCAGCTGCAGCTTCTTTGATGCTACTGTGCGACTTCCACAATTGCGCGATGATTGTTGGTTCTGCTGTAGCAGCCACAGGATCAGCCGTGACAGCAGCCTCGAAGCTCTGCAAAGCTCGGAGAGCGTGAGCACGGATTCCTGTGTACGTTGCCGGCTTTTGCATGGGGAGTAGTGGCTGAATGATGCGCTCTATGTAGCCTGATCTCGAGTACAGCCATTTCGTAAGAGACGGCAAGTGCACTGCAAACCAGCTCAGCTGCCGTCGAGCGGGATCGAGTATATCATTCAGTAATCTCTGATCAAGCGAGCGCGGTGTCAACGCGGTGGTGCCGCCATGCTTCGACCCGTACAAGAAGTGCGTAATGCTGTCGATGGAGAAATAATGCAAGCTCGAGAAGATCTCGTGTGGCTCCGTGCCCCTCATCTCAATCAACTCCAGATATTGCGAGACCTTTTTCTTGACCAAGTCCGCACTCCAGTTGCGCATGACGACCGACTTTGCATAGCCATTGGCGACCAATTTCTTGCGATCGCCATGCGCCTTGCTGCTGGAGAATGTGAAAAGATTCTGTCTGCCATACACATCGAACATGGAGTAGAATGAGGTTCTCTCGAACCCGCTACCCGCCCCATAGATGGTCTTCAAGGCGGTAAGACTATTGCAATGAATCTCGTTCGGTCCGATCCGTATGATTGGCCCGTACTGCTTGTGTAAAGCATCAATCGTCTGCGTCCGAAGTCCTCGCCAATCCTCCAGTGCAAGGCGCCATTTAGTGATTGCATATAGCTTGGGGCCCGGAATTTTACTCAGTTTGTTCAAATATAGTGATCTGATCACATAACGGTGCACTGCCAGCAGTAGGAGCACAAAGAATGCTATGAGCGGGGTCATGGGTGCGGTAGTGCGCGGGGAAAGAGAGCATCGAAAAACAGCAAGTCAGTGTAAGGCCACATGAACCAGGGCGAGCGTCTTACTGGGTGTTTGCTGTGCTGTTGGGCCTATCTGCGCTAAGTAGATGTCCAAATGGGATATTTAATTGTTGGGGTTGGACATCGTTGCGACGATCGGGAACGGAAAGTCCGAGTCGTATCTGCGACAAGCGGACAGTCCGAAACCGCAAACTTTCCTGGTAGGGCAGACTGGAGGTCATGCTGCCCATGGCGTTTCTATCTCAGAGAATACTTTTTCTGACATGGGAGTCGGACAATCATGGCTGAGATCTCCGTCTGGAGCATCAAGAGGCCCACGCTGGTATCTAGACTTGATTGGACTCCGCTTTAGCAGTATCCGGAGCAGCGTGGGCGCATTGCTCTTTGCTGAGACAGAGACAGCTACAACCTCCGTCGTTATTACCGCACATCTCTAGAGCCAGAAAATTTCTTTCAAGAACGAGGCAACTGCGATTCGGGTCCATTGAATCCTGGATTCTCGTCTATAATCGGTGTTTCGACCATCGACATGAGTTCCACGATTTGTACCACTACGGAGACACTGAAGATGAGCAGCGAAAATATCCAACGGAGGGTGCTTTCGCCGCTTGAAGCCATGGGTCATCAGGGTATAGCTGTCGAAGCAATCCCCACGTTTGACTCGATGGCTTCCAAACGCAAATGGTTACTTGAGCATCTCGCAGGTGCCTTTCGAGTGTTTGGCCGTGAGGGCTACGCCGAAGGCATCGCTGGACATATCAGCGTTCGGGACCCAGAGTTTCCTGATCGATTCTGGATGAACCCGTTAGCGGTGCATTTCTCGATGATGAGAGTCAGTGACCTCATTTGCCTCGACATGCAAGGCAACGTCGTTGCAGGGAACAAGGTGGGTGACTTTGCGTTGTTGTGATCTATTGCTATTGTGTTGTGACTAGCTGACTGATTCTGCGGGATATAGTCAGTGCCAGCCAACGCCGCAGGTGTGTCGATACACACAGCATGCCATTTGGCGCGGCCTGATGCCCATGCGATATGTCATGCCCACTCGCTATATGGGAAAACATGGGCGGCATTTGGGCGACCACTGGATATGCTCAGTCAAGACGTCTGCTACTTCTACAAAGCTCATTCTGTCTACGACAACTTTGGAGGTATTGCTTTCGCAGCTGACGAAGGGACCAATATTGCGCACGCCCTTGGAGACAATAAAGCGGCGATCTTGGTGAACCATGGCCTGATCACAGTTGGTCAGACTGTAGACGAGGCTGCATATTTGTACACTCTTCTAGAGAAGAGCTGTCGTATTCAGTTAATGGTCGAATCTACTGGACTACCAAAGAGGATTGTACCCGAAGAGGAAGCATCAAATACCTTCCGGATGGCTAGTACTCCAGTGAGTACTCAAGCACAGGGTCTACATGTGAGAAATGACTGACCCATCACCGCAGGACACATTGTTCGTCGAATTCCAACCAAGCTACAAGTTGGAGGAGCACCTAGACCCGTCGTTCAAGAACTGAGGTCAGCTGATTCGATTGAAATACTGGATCCAGGCTCATGTGGAGGATTTCGCTGTGGTAGAGTTACGGCAATGGGAGTCAACTGCAACGAGATATCACAAGCGGGCTCCAAAATGTAAGATCCATTCGATGATATCATGTACACGTGACAATGAGCATTATTCAGTGCAGTGAGACACTGCTTACAGACTTGTACCTCTCAATTATTTGAGCCACCAGCATGTCGAGAGTTCTGGCAGCCGGAAACTTTCTTCCGAGCGCCTTGAATATGTCCGTCGCAAGCTCGAGATCTTCGATGGCGCTTGATCGTTCTATGGTCGTGGCAATGCTTTGAGGCTGTACCGTGACCGAGTATACCAACGCGATGACCGAATTGTAGAGTGTTAGCATTGTCAGCCAGTTGAACGACAGGCGCTTCTGCATATACATGCTAGAAGCATGACGAACCGCCATGGCTGATGTTTCCGCCAAGATGGCGACTCTTGCGACGTCGAGGGTAGGAAACAGTGGAGATGGCCTGTAGAGGGCTGTGAGATGTGTGCAGAAGTTCAAGTCATACCATGACATGCAGCCTTGGGGAACCAAGCGGTGAAGGTTTGGCAGCGGGAAAGGCACGCTTTGTCGCCACTCAACCAAATCTTGGTGCAGAGACGTCAGGACCTCTCGTCGTTGGTGCTCGGTTAACCGTGCGACGACGCGCTTGCAGTAAACCTTAGTGGCGATGTCATTTGCGATTTTGCGGAGTCGCAGTATATGAGCTGTGATGGCTAGTGGGGGTTGGCACAGCGTACTTTGAGGGACGTCTGGATCAGCATCAAGGGCATCGTCGAGATCGATGGCGAATGGATTAATGTCAATATCGTCTTCATGCAGCGAGAAAGGTCGGCCCAGCGTGATTGACACCAGTCTATCCATCATATATATCGAGAAGAAGAGCCGCTGACGTCGTACGACATCTTCTCTTGGTAAGCCGTGGTAAGCTGCCTCGCAATGGAAGCCCATGCCGATGGCCAAACGTGCAGCCGTTCCCACAAGAAACCATGTGTTGGGGCCCAATTGGTTGAAGAACGAGTACGACACCTGTAACATGATCGCCTCCAGCGCAGCAATGTCTCCGTAGTCCATCGCCGCTTCAAAATAGGTCATTGCCTTCTCGTAATACTGTCTCGAAGTCGACTCTTCATTGAGCGTAATTGATGAGTGAGCTGTGGATGCTATTGCCAGAATCATCCATATCCTGAACGCGCTGGGCGGGGATTGCGTGGGCTGACGATCCGGGTTCTCAAGAGCCCAATTCAAATCCGACATGACCTCTCTTCTGCTCACGATGGGATATAGAGTATGTGAATGATCGAAATAGAATGTTGCCAGCCGCATCGCCTCAGAGCGCTCGGGGAGGGGGAGAAGAAATGATGTCTCTACTGGGAAGAGTGTCTTGGTCACCGGCATGGCGTTGTCGCCAGCGAGCCAGGAGGATGTAACAGCCGAGTCGTACTCAAAGTACATGTTGCTCATGATATCTAGATGTGTGGTTGTCACCCCATCGACGGGAAAATTCACCCCATCGAACTGTGGATTGAACACAAAGTCACCTCCGTCCGGAGCCAAGCGGCGTAGCACAGCTTGTGTGAGTTTGGCGAATGTCAAGCCAGACATGGCACCGAGGTACGGCTCCGCGACAGCTGCAAGTGAAATGGACTTTAGATTGCTCGCAAGTGTCTCCCCGGAGCGAGCCTGAGGACTGGATGAGTCAGGCGTAGTAGTACTGGTTCGAGGTCTTGTTGCAGGCGTGACGTCAGGCATAGAGAAGACATCTGCATTCGTGACAATTATTTCTGAATGCTCATCGGTCAGTTCATCGTGCGAGGCGGCTGAACTACGACGATACGATCTGGACTGCACTGATGGCGATGGGAAGTGGCCTTGCGTCTCAGAAGCCATCGCTCCAAGTGCAGAGCCCTCGATCTCTGATCGGCGTTCTTGCTCCAACACCCGCAGCCGTTCTTCGAGGCTGCTGACATAGGCCACAGAGTACGACGCTGATTCGTGCTGTTCATCGAGGAAACTGCATGAGGCTTGGTTGGCCATGCAGTCTCCGCATTGCGGCAGCGTACGATCACAACGCTTCTTCCGGCGACGACAACGTGAGCAGGACAATTTGGCGCGGACCGACAGACGAGGCTCTCGAGGCATAATCAAATTCCGATCGAGCGGAATCCCGAACGACCATGTCGGGCTGAGTTCCAGAGACAAGCCTATGTAAGTTGTACAACAGAGGCTTGATGGGGTTGCCAGGTTGTAGCCTCGGGCAGAATAGATAAACGTTATCGCGTGTCACATATGTTGCGTCCTGAATTACTAAGCGTGCGTTCTCGATTACTAAGCACTTCATCCTAGTGTTCTTCCAAGTAGTAGCTCGATAGGTGACAGACAACATGGTCTCCTATCGTTCCCCAGCCATCGCTGCTGCCTTCAAACGACCACAACGTCACCACGACATGGTAGGCAAAACCTCTTCCTTGCTCGCAACAGAACGTGACATCGCCAAGCAAGCATGTTGAAGGTGAGCTATCAGCTCTGCACACGACATTGCGTGTCACACGTCCGAAGCCTCTCCGCATCTCGATGATCCTATTCGGGGACTATAGCAACTCCCTTGACCTCAACCACGAAATTGGGATCGGGCAAGTCTTTCACTCCGATTGTCGCTCTCGCAGGCGCCACCTCACGACTGCCAAAAACCCTGTTCCATTCCTCATTCATCCCAGGATAGTCCCTTTCCATGGCGGTAAGATAGACCACAGCATCAATCAAATTTTGCACACCTCCTTTGCCTCCTGAAGCGCCTGCGATAATCTGGTCTATGGTGCCGAGGATTGTTCGTGTCTGGATCTTGACGTCGGGAACTTTATCGTGCTCTACACCAGCAACGCTACCGTCCGGGAGCACGCTCGCAATGCCAGAGATGTAGATGGTTCGGCTTCCACTGGGTATCGTTCGTGCCTGTGGAAATTTGGTGGGGCCTTCAGGCGCAGAGGGATTCAAAAGAAAGGCTTGGCCGTTGGGCGACATAGTGATGATGTAGTGGTGCTCTCGGTGTGTGGCGATGAAGCGAAAAGGTTTCCCGCGCCTGCAGAATTGTCATTGCGTGTACAGCACCATAGCATATTTGATGCTTATCGAGAGACATTCTATCGCTCATGATCGGATCCATGCATGGCGCCTTTCGGAGTGTCCGAAAATCGCATCTGCAAAGCCGGGCATGGGTCCGACGGAGGCGGGCGGGGCATATCTAACCCCACCAAATGCATTACACTTCGTATCTGCCCTATGACAGTCGGTCGTTGAATTTAGCTACGTTCTCGGGGCAAGCCCGCAGTCCAAGGCTGTCGGATCACCCAACCTTGTGGTGCGCAACGGGTCCGTCCTCATCGGACAATTGGCACGTGAGATTCAATATCACTCGATCGAAGCCGTGTGCGACCGTTTCCTACGTCTTAAAAACATATTCGTGGACCTCAGCTCGCCTGAAAACAGTATCCAAGTTCCAGTCAGTCCAACGTGCTGCACCATGGCTAGTGCCGCCACCTCCATTCGGCTGCAAGCCATCGACATCGTCCGCGAGAATGGCCTCTATACTAGTATTGCAGGCGTAGTATTGATAACAATGATTTTGTATTGGGTAAGTGATTCCATTGATGGTATGCACCGTCAAATCCATGTGAATGCAACCTGACAAAAAGCTTTCCGCAGTGGGCGTGTTCGACGGATATTCCAAAAATCAAGGGCATTCCCGAAATCCCAGGATCGCTGCCCATCTTCGGTCATCTGCTTCAACTCGGCGAGGATCACGCTTCGACTTGCGAGAAATGGTGGCGGCAGTATGATCTCCCGGTCTTTCAGATCAAGCTGGGAAATACCAGGGCTGTGGTCTTCAACTCCTTCGAAGCATGCCGTGACATTCTGGTGAAGCACCAAAACGCCGTCATCGATCGGCCCAAGCTGTATACCTTCCACGGCGTCATCAGCAGCACCCAAGGCTTCACCATCGGCAGCTCCCCTTGGGATAACAGCTGCAAGAACAAGCGTAAGGCCGCCGGAACCGCATTGTCTCGTCCAGCCATGCGTGGCTACTATCCCATGTTTGACCTCGAGAGCTACTGCATCCTGCGCGACTTGCACCGCGATAGTAAGGCCTCGAATCCCGACGTGGAGATTGATGTGCGGCCCTATATCCAGCGATACGCGCTCAACACGACACTGACGCTCTGCTATGGCATCCGTATGGACGACACGTATGACAAGCTCCTGCGCGAGATCTTGTACGTTGGTAGCGCCATCTCACTCTTGCGCAGCGCGTCCACGAATCTTCAAGACTACATTCCCCTCCTGCGATACTTGCCCAACAATAAGAAAAACGCGGAATCCAAAGAGCTGCGCGATCGCCGTGACGTCTACTTGAACCTCTTGCTCGACAAGGTGCGGGAGATGATTAAGAACGGCACCGATAAGCCATGTATCAGCAGTGCCATTCTCAAAGACGAAGAGACCAAACTCACGGGCGTCGAAGTCTCTTCTATCTGCCTCTCTCTCGTCAGCGGCGGTTTCGAAACCATCCCAGGCACGCTCACATCGTGCCTAGGCTCGCTCAGCACGCCCGCTGGCCAGATCTTCCAAGAGCGCGCCTACGCCGACATCAAACGCCACTACCCTGACATCCGCGACGCCTGGACGCACAGTTACCAGGAAGAAAAAGTGCCCTACCTGCGCGCCATCATCCAAGAAGCCGGCCGATACTATACTGTCAGCTCCATGAGCCTGCCACGCAAGACCGTGACCGAAGTAAACTGGAACGGTGCCGTCATCCCCCCCAAAACCATGATCCTCGTCAACGCCCAAGCCGGCAACCACGACACCACGCACTTCGGCCCCTCGGCCGCCACCTTCAATCCTGAACGCTGGCTCGCCCCCATCGATCCCTCCCATCCCCTCGGCCCCTTCAACGAACTGCCCCAGACCTCACAAACGCACCTCTCCTTTGGCGCTGGCTCCCGCGCCTGCAGCGGCCAACACATCGCCACCCGTCTCCTCTACACGGCCCTCCTGCGCATCTTATCCTCTTACAAAATCGTCGCCTCCGAAACGCACCCGCCGAACACTGATTATGTCGACTACAACCAGTTCAAGACCGCCCTGGTGGCCATTCCCCGTGACTTCCGCGTGCGCTTGATTCAGCGCGATAGGAACGTGCTCGAGGACTGTTTGCGCGCAGCGCAAGAGAGGACGAGGGTGCATTACAAGGAGGATATTAAGGGGTTTGCTGAGGATCAAGCGAAGATATAAATGTTGATGATTTGGATTTTTTTTCTGGTAAGGTGCGTGAAGTAAGGGGGTAAGTGGCAAGAGCAGTGGTGACTTTCTCTCCTTCACAGAGAGAGAGAAAGAACATAGTTCATGGTGCCTAACTCATATTCTTCCCGTCAGAGGGCAGCTCAGTCAGAGAAGAGAGGAAGAAATACTGGAGACGCATCTAGAGAGAGGTCGGAGAGTAGGGGTTTCAAGAGCAGCTCAATCGCGCTACTCAAGTTTGCCCCACAAACGAGAAGAGGGTTTTGGTGTTCGTAGATCCCAACGGGAACTAGTTAGCACTCTTAATTCAACTATTTATTTATATTCTTCCAGTTTGCGTTGCTCTTCTTTTTTTGTTTGACTTTCTTCGTCCACGCAATCTTCAAGCTGCTTTGTTATAAATCTGACGTGGTGAGTGGTTGGCCGCTGCTAGCTTGCGCAGTTGGAGAAGGGTTTAAGAGGTTCGCTTGATCGACGGAGAAACATCGCAGTACGGGCCCGATAAAAAATCGTAAGCTTGAGTCTGTCAACCACGAAATTGCTTGATTTGATGCCCAAAGGTGTCCCCGCTTGATATAGTTGGCCAACTAGGGACAAGATACTAATGTTTACGACTATGGAGGTTGAAATAGAGCGTGCAAATCCATCCTACTCAAATACTTTGTTCACAATGCGGCCGACTCTGCCCGGCTCCCGGGGAACATGGACGGCCTCGTAATTGTCAATCTGCTCCTTCAATCCGCCGAGACCCAGATCTGCAGTTCCCGGGCGAACGTACTTGGTCCTCCACACCAACTTCCAAAAGACGAAAGCCAGGATGAAGAAACCGATCATTCCGTAATCGAGGAAGAACCACATGACGTCCCATCCGCCATCGAGGAACAGATCATAGCCCGCCATGAGTAATACAAACAACGTGCCGGCCATGGCAAGGTATGACGTATACGGCTGGAATCGTCCTTTATATGGAAGCGTGTCGCGAGATATGCCTTGTTTCTGAAGAGCAGAGAAGAAGTGGCGATACGTGACTGCAGTGAAGCCGTAGTTGAGCATCTGGCAACAGGTGACGAGGTCAACAAGGTAGGTGAGGACGCTTGCCGAGGACTTGTTGACTTGCAGGAAAGCCAATAGGCAGAAGAGAAGGGAGAATGCCAGGGACCAGATCGGCACACCGTTCTTCGTGCATCTCGAGAAGAATCGGGGTGCATGGCCTTCAAGTGACATGCCATGTAAAGTGCGGGTGGCAGCATAGAGGAGAGCATTGCCTGCGCTGAAGATGGATGTCATGATTAGGGCGTTGACCAGGTTAGGCAAGCCCGAGATTTTAAGGCGCTCCATCGATATGATATACGGACTATAGGAGACTTAGTCATCATCTTAACACGTACAGTACAGAACACGCTTACGATGCTGCACCTGTTCCGCTCCCCGGAATATCGCCACTGAGGATGGCATTCAGTGTCCCGTCGTTATAGGGAACGACAATGCCCATGCAGAGCGCAGAGCCGACGAAGAACACCAACAGGCGCCAGACGAAGGATCTGAATGCAGGGGGGAGGATCTTGCGTGGCATCTCAGTCTCAGCCGCTACCATGGAGATGTACTCTGGCCCAGTAATCCTGAGTGAAGTCAGTAAGCATGCTGCACGGGAATCTCCACCTGTTTGTACACGCACGAGAAACTTGCTTGGTAGATACAGGAGAGGATCCCAAGAAACTTTCCGACTGAGCCGGGCTCCAGGTGTGACACAAATGCTCCAGGATCTTTCCAGTACCGGAACCCGTACGCATCATGCAAGGGATTTCCGCCGACCATGGTGATGAATGTGTACATGAATAGGCCCAACATTAGCAAGACTTTGAAGATGGACAAGTAGAATTCTGCAACGCCAAAGTATCGGACGGTAACCATGTTCAGGAAGGTGTAGAGCAGCATCATGACGACGATGACGGCCTCGACTGGCACTTTATCAGTCCAAAAGGTGAGCATGATGTTCATGGCGACAATCTCGAAAGGGACCAGGAAGGCCATGGAGAAGAAGAAATTCCTGTATTTCATATCAGCATCCTGTCCTGTAGAAGATGAAGCGAGAGAGGATGGCCACTCCATACCAGGCCATGGCTGCGACTAAGTCAGCCAGTGTGTCGTTGAGCATACGAGGAAATATGCGAGCACATACCAAAGCCGAGAGCACCGTCGACCCACTCTGTACCGAAACGGATGAAGGGGGACAGAATGGGCGCATAGGTCACCATCTCGGCGAAGCACTCATTGACCGCCCACATGACGCCGCCCCAGAGGAGAAATGCAATGAAAAGTCCCGCCGGACCGCCCTTGGGCAGGGCGGACCCCATCTGCACGTAAAGAGCTTCATGTTCCGACCATGTCAGTCACGCTCGCTGAATCTGGCGTGTGTCCTCTCGGGAAAGACATACACGTGCCAATTGCTCCTATGCCATGTCAGCGGCGTGCATGTCAGGCCAAGGGCAGCGAGGAAGGCGCCCGACAGAGAGGGCAATACATACCACCAATGGCGAAAAGTTGGACTTCCTTGCCACGCAGACTTCGATGCAACGACTGCGCTCCCGAAGGCATGTCAGTAACGGTGCCGATACCCATGCCGCTCGCACTGGTGTCGGATCGGTCCAGTGCGAGCGTCGTGGCAGGACCTTTCTCCTCCTCCTTGGAATGCTGCATGGCGGCCATGACTATGAAGACAGAGCAGCGCGGTGCTGGCGATGCGGAGTGATGAGATGAAGTTGGACGAGGCCTTCGCTTGGAATTATGGAGATGTCAGCCATCAGCCTATCTCGAGGCGGCGGACGTGGCGCGGAATTGGAGACGGCATGACAGCATGGGCTACATCCATGGCGGCGATAAGGGCGATGATAATGATGGACGTTGATGGTGGCAATACTGTAGCAGGGGGGATTATGTGAAGTCGAGTGCTGTGGACAGGGCCTGGTCGCCGATACGAAGTCGGACCGTCCGACCAACGCGCATACAGGGCAGGCTCCCTTGCGAGATAAGTATACACATGCATGTACTAATGTAGTGTTTGATGTATCCGACCTACACGCCATCGCCGCTTTGAACCTGGCAGGCACGCTCGCTCATACAGTGATGAAGCTCCGGTTTCCATGTCGATGACTTTCGTCAATTGGCGGGCTGGCTTGGCATTGATGTCGGACGACAGAGATGCCCAGGACTATCTGCGCCTGATCTGGTTCTTCGAGAGCGTCCTCAGCCACGTCGAAAGAGGCGCCGACTATATACCGTCACAGTTGCAGCCGCTGCCGACTGTGCAGCCTCGAGAATACGGGGCACCAGCGGCCACACAGAATCCATACGATGCCTGGAGCCACCAATGCACTCTCTCTGCCGCCGCACCAAGCAGCCATTGTCTGCAGGGCCGCGCCGTGACCATCAAAGATAACATTTGCGTGCAAGGCCTGCCGGCAACACTTGGAGCGCCGGCCCCGATCCTTTCCAACCAGAACAAATACCCCGTGTCCCCCATTGATGCCACTGTCGTCTCTCGTGTTCTGGCCGCGGGCGGAACCATCAAAGGCACGTCCACGTGTGAGTACTTCTGCGCGTCGCCTCTGTCCTTCAATTCTGCCTTGTTACTAACCTACAATACAATTCTAGCACGGCTCTCGAACCTTAGAAATCAAGGAGACGATAATTTCGCCACATGGAACCTTAGACAAAATATATACCTATGTACTATAAAAGCTTTCGACGGAAGGACTTCGTGACGTCCAGACGAACGATTATGACAGCTTTAGCTCTTAATTTGGCATCCTTCTTAGGGCGCGGTCTTGTTTTTGTCTTTTAATCTGCATTGCGAAAATAATTGGCCACAGGTGCGGTGGTTGAGGAGAGGAGCTTGAACGAAGACGAAGGTAAAGCACGCGAGGATTACAGGCATCGCTAAACTTAAGAAACGACGTAACCCGCGCCGCATTTTTAGAGAAAATTACTAAGGTGCGCAATTCAGTCTTCTGTTTTTAGCTCAAAACGTTGTTAATTGTAGTAAAGCGTGGGCCGTGTGGCTGAGGCTCAGTTGCTTAACGCCAGAAAACTGTAACCGGTTTCGGGAAACGGTCGACAGCGCAGCACAAGCAAATCTAGCAGAGCGGACAAGTATCCTAGCTGTAAGTTTCCTATGGTCGTATGTACCATGTCTCAAAAATCAACGTTACTATATTCGCATACTACAGATGTTTGTGCTGGGATTTTAAAGCATGCACAAAAGGTTAGACAAGCAAAAAACAACCCTGGGAATCAATGTTGGCAAACAACAATAGCATCCACAAGATGTGTACCAAGCCTGAACTCATTGATTAGCCTCATGGGTATTTTCGCGTTCATGGTGGCACTGTGGTGAGCAGCCACCTTATACCTAGAATAGAAGGACCTCGTCGTGAGCCGCACAATTCGACTTTTAAGTGGGGAAACCTAGTCGAGACCCCATTCCAACCCAGACACATGACGGGCAGAACGCCGACCTCCGCTTCCATTGCAAAACACTTATAACAGTCATTGACCTTGCGCCGCTTGTACACGATTCGCACTCAAGACGTTTCCGGGTGCTTGGATTAGCGTGAACAAACCCCTTGATCGCATCCACGACTCGCGGACAAAAGCCACCCCACGTCATCGTCACCCAATACGCATCGTCCGCACCGACGGCTAGCTACTCCGTATCTCGAGCTGGGCTAAGCTGGAAAATCAAATCATATCAACCCATCATCTGGGAAGTGAAAAAACCAATAAACAGGCCTACCCCTGGATACAGACCATGTCTTCTGCCACACAATCTTCAGAAGCAGCGGGAACCGCATCCGCAACTGCGACAGACCCCCACCCGATTCCCCTCACAGAATCCGAAGTGCTGATCCGTGGATTCCTGGCCGCTAACCCGGATCTCGACAACGACAAGCAATCGCCGATTGAGATCATGACAGATCGATATACGAACCCGGAGTGGCAGGCGCAGATTGACGAGACGATCCGGCACGTGCTGAAGGAGGTGGAGAGCGGGGAGCGCACAAACAAGGTTTACGAAGGACCACGGATGCGGAACGGGGAAGAGGCGTTGAAGCAACTGGCCAAAACGATCGACCACACCGTGCTTAAGCTGGATGCTACGAGTTCCGTAATAGACGGCCTGTGTAGTGAGGCAAGGACCGAGGAATTCAAGGTATGTGTGTCTCTTCCATAACATCCGGCGATCGCGCTATGCAACTACGTTATTCAAGAAAGTTCAACTAACATGTGATTCACAGTCTGTATGCGTTCGCCTAAACTGGGTGCAGCGCTGTGTAAAGAATCTCAAAGGCACAGACGTCCTTGTCGCCTGCGTTGTCGGTTTCCATGAGGGAACCCAAGACACATACTCAAAATGCCGTGAAGCACGTGCAGCCGTTGCAGCCGGCGCAGCAGAACTCGACGTTGTACTCAACCACTCGCTGCTCACAAAGCACAACCGGCCAGATACTTTGACTCGCACCTCCAGAGACTCCGCCATTGACAGCATCACTGCTGCCAACACAGCCAAGAATGCCGGCTCTAGCCGCAACAACTCTACTGCTACAGCCCAAGATGAGATCCCAGACTACAGCGCCATATACAGAGAACTAGCTACCATTCGCTCCCTCTGCCCCAAGACAACGCTCAAGCTCATCCTCGAAACCTCACAGCTGTCAACTACCCAAATCCTCGCGGCCTCGCACCTCGCAGCCGCCGCATCATTCGACTTCATCAAGACGTCAACAGGCTTCAACGGACCAGGCGCCACGCTACCTCACGTCCAGCTCATGGTAGGCGCCGCAGAGTACCTTGCCGCCAAGGGCGTAAGCAGGCGGAAGATGGAGGTCAAGGCCAGTGGCGGTGTAAGGGAACTCGATACCGCTGTCAAGATGCTCGAGGCTGGCGCTACGAGGTTGGGTACTAGCAGTGGTCTGTGGATTATGCAGGAAGCAAGGGCAAAAGTGGGCCAGGAAAAGGTGGCTGCTGGGTTGGCGGCGAGCGAGAACAAGAGACCGAGTCCGGTTACGAGGCTGTATACTGATGATTCATCGTATTAGAAATGGAGGGCTTATGATAGTATATTTGTGCACTCAGGATACAATGCATACGCCTTTGTATCCCAAGCTGCATGCCCTTGTTGGGATATACATCATTTGTGACATGGAAATTATGTATGTCTGCAACAGACAACCCTCAAGTACATGGCTCACAAAAAAAGCCTCCTGCTCTACCCAAAATACGACATCTAAGCAGAACTTAATCATGTCTCAACCAAATAGCATACACATCACAGCTGGCACAAATCAACAGACACAGACAATGGCAATTGAAGATTTTTGGGCAGAGACTACAGAATTCGTATGTAGATCCTCTACCAGCCGTGACCCACAAGGGATATAGTGCATTCCAGGACAGGGAAACCTGTCAGAGAGATTCATCCCGTCATGCCCAACGCCGATCATCCATGAATCATTCTTTTTGGCGTAATGTTTACTCCTCGTCCTCCTCGCCGGCATCATCACCGTCACCCTTCTCGGCGGCCTTGGCCTTCTTCCTCCTGACACGGCCGGGGCGGCCGCCACCGAATGGCGAGGTCAGAGCAAAGTCAATGTGCTTCTGGGAGTCGAGGCGGACCATGAAGGAGGGGACGTTGACGATCTGCTTTCCGACACTATGATTTTGTTAGTCGCGTGCTTTTTTTCCGGAGACCGTCCACAAAGACATACCGGATGTGGCGCTGGCGGATAAGAACACGAGCGTGGTGGATAGACTTGGCGAGACCGAGCTTGTAGACGCAGGTCTGGAGACGGCGCTCCAAGAAGTCCTCAATCTTAAGGGCCAAGACGTAATCGAGCTTCATGCGGGACTCGTCGAGGACACCGACACGGACGAGACGGCGAATGAGGGCGTTACCCTCGAAGAGGCGCTTGGGGTCCTTCTCGTCGAGAGTAAGAAGCGAACTGTCAAAATGTTAGCGCCTTGTCGCTTCTCGAAATTTCGCATTTGCGCAGCAAGCGTGCAATTGAGGAGTAACTCACCGAGCGGCACGACGGATCTTGGACAGAGTCAACTGGACTCGCCAGACCTCGCGCTTGTTGCGGAGACCATACTCGCCGACGAGCTTCAGCTCAGTATCCCTAACCAAGAATTAACCAAGTGTCCCAGACATAAGCGGAGCACGCTCTCGCTCAGTGGCCATGGGGAATCACATACAGACGAGCGGACTCGAAAGGACGACGGGGGACGCTGTACGTCTTGGAGTAGGAGCGGGGCGCCATTGTGGTTGTCGATGGAGGAGAGAAGTCGTGGGTTGCGTTGCGAGCGAACGTGAATTTCGAAGTACGCCAAGGTGGGCAGTGGGCGCACGGACGTTTCCTTTTCGCTTCGGAGTTAGTACTCAGGACGCCGCTTTCACCAATGTACGTTTGTATATATCTAATTTGGCATGACTATAACGCATTCTGGTTAATGGTGATACGTTCAACGCATGTTTGGAACAATCGGTTTATACGTGATTTTCCAACGGCGTACAGTAGCTGACAAGCTTCTCTATGGTGGCCATGAACGATGCAAGTTAGTCAGTCAAAACTAATACAAGCTCTGTTAGTTATTCAATCTAAGGTGTCTTCTTCGAAAACTCTGATTGAGCAAGAAAAATAAATTCTCCATCAATCCATATTCCTCACTGCTTCCACGTACATGTCCAACATTGGCGTTGATGGTCGACAGGCCAGGCTAGCGATGCGCACGGACGCTTGGCATTTGCGGCAACCGCTTCCCACACAGGCTTGCAAAAATACAATCGTTGAACTTTCGAACCTCAGCTTGCCGCACACACAACCACCCCCAACACAAACACAATGGGTCACGCAGCCGGTCTTCGCGCGGGTACGCGCTATGCGTACGTTTTATCCCGAAAAAATAAACTCTAGTCGCAGTGCGATAGCGACGACGACAAGGACGGCATGGACTGACGATGGGCTAGATTCTCGAGGGACTTCAAGAAGAAGGGTATGATCCCTCTCTCGACCTACCTCAAGCAGTACAAGGTCGGTGATATCGTCGATGTCGTAGCCAACGGTACGAAACCCCCCTGAAACCCAGCGAGAGCAATTGGAGGCGGAGGACTTATGAATTTGTGCAGGTGCGGTCCAGAAGGGTATGCCCTACAAGGTCTACCACGGAAAGACTGGTATCGTCTACAACGTCACCAAGTCAGCGGTCGGTGTCATCCTCCAGAAGCAGGTCGGCAACCGATACCTGGAGAAGCGCATCAACGTCCGCATTGAGCACGTCCGCCACTCGCGCTCACGAGAGGACTTCCTTAAGCGCGTCAAGCTCAACTTCGCCAAGCAACAAAAGGCCAAGGAGACTGGCGAGCCCCAGCAGATGAAGCGCCAGCCCGCCATGCCCCGCGGCGAGCGCGTCGTCAGCCTCAAGGACAACAAGCCAGAGAACATCACACCCGTACCTTACGAGACCTACATCTAAACGTTGCAGAAGGTGGTTCGGATTTGTGGGCTGGCAACATGGGACACGGATTGTCAACGGCGTGGTTTCTCGGACTTTTCGATTATTCTCTCTTCTGCACTTTCATACGCATGGAAAGCGACGATATCACGATGCAGATATAGTGGTGTGCCAACATGGCTTTGAGTGACCCCTCACGCCAATAGACATCATCCTTCAATCCCAGTTCCAGTCCTTGCCGTGTTATTGCATTTCTGATGTCATTTGGAGTGCGTTTGGTCGTTGTCGAGTTACGAATACCCTTCAGTAACTACTGGTCTTATGCAAGTCATCTACGCTTGGGCCATATCAGTGCCTCTGAATAGCGTACTACCTCCTATTCTCGATAATGATGGTGATGACGACGATAGCCTTGATACTTGAATCGTGCTTCCGACGGACAAAGAAGATATGTCCGCTCCCGTTCCTCCTCAACTTTATCCTATACCTAGCCTAATTTAGCCGAGGATCGTAAAGGAAGGAGGCATACGATAACAGTCAACCGCCTTCCACTAAACAATCGAAGTGACCTACATACGCTGCGTGTGTAGGCTAGAGAACCTTGCGATTATTCTTTTCCAATTCCCTAAACTGTTCTGGTTCTCTTGTGCAGTCTCTAGCCATGTATTTTCTCTAGTGCTTACTTTCGACTTACTGCACTCGGTTATATAGTTATATACGAAAGCTTGTTCAGGTCGACAGTTTTACCAGTGCCAAGGCTTTTTTTCGATATCGGTAGAATGTGTCAGTTTCAACCTGCATTTGGGCTTTCACCAAGGCATACTGGCATGTCGACTCGCTCTCGCAACGTCATAACCTGAAGATCTTCCTACTACGCGATCCACGTGGTATTGAACGGTGACAGACGACACGGGGGATCTACAATATCCAACTGCTCCGCGTCAAGTAAGGCCTCTAGAATCTCAATTCTAGAACGGACAGTCCACACGCTGCTCGACGCTCTGATATTCCTTTTTTTTCTCTCATTATTCTTACTCTAGCTTCTTACTATCTGCACAGACTGCCCATCACAGCCCACTTCGGTTCTGCCGTGAGTGTGTCTGTTCGTGCCTTTACTTCGCAACTCCACTCTCGACAACCGTCTGATTGTGGGACACTCTGACAAACAAGCCTCATCCTGTACAAGGATTTAGAGTTTTCAATAGTGCCAGAGCGGGTGGGCGTATAGGATGCGTATATTGCTGCGTATTGACATGATGTTGTCGCTTCTGCCTGCAAAGACGGGTACTTGCTCGCGTTAGCCACCTGCGCATGAGGCGGTCACAAGAGGTAGAGGGCACACGGTTGGCCTGACTGCGACTTGGACAGGAATGCCATGCTGCAGGTTGCGCATTGTGATACTGCAGGGGTGGTTTTACACTTTGACAATCGGCACATGGATGAGCGGGTGTTTGTCCAGAGCTGGTGAAGTTGCTCCGCACTTGGAATGATTACTCGGGATTTTAAGCCGGGGTGGCGCATGCGACTTGATGTGGGGGTGCGATGCTTGTTGTTCAGCAGGTATACGCTGACGAGCTTGATGGGAATGGGCTTCGGGAAGCTGAGGCGACTGTGACAAGTATCTTCCTTGCTCTTGCTCGTTCGGACGGGAGAAAAGCGTCTGAGGTGCCGGTACAGGGCGGCATGTATGGCTGCAATGTCAACCACATTCGTATTGCCCTGACTAAGTTTCATTCCTGTACGTACGTACGTACGGTAACTTTTGCTTTCTTTTTCCTGTTAAGAATTACTCCGGTGAAACTGTCGAGATTTCCTCCTTGAAGCGTTATACCGGATGGGCGTATTTTGGCAATCTCAAGGCCGGTTTCATTTCGGGTCTGTTGGGCAAACATGAAGATCACTACTTCTTGTGCAGGCATGTCCTCATGACAAGAGAGCGATGATGAAGAGAGAGATGTCGGCCGCCGACTCCACGATCCGATGGGTCCCTGGTTTGTCGACATGTTCTCTTGCATGGGCCTAAAGGGGAAAGGGTCCAGACACACAGCTGGAACCCCAGTGGCCAAATCCCACACCACGGCTTGAGCTTGAAACTGAACTTTGTCGGTTACGTCCGCTGTAGATTCGGGATGGTAGCGTCAATGACGTGAAGTGTTCAGCCGTCGAGCGCATTCGTATGATGATGCTGGTCTTGGTGGGCATCTAGGCCCTATGGTGGCCTGATTGGCTGGGTCGTGTTCCAAAATTGTCTAGCCGTGATCGATATCTTCAGAATAGATACAAGGTCTGGCCTGGTCTTGACTAGCTACTTGTATACTACACGGCGGTGGCGGCGGAGGTGGCGAGGGGATAATCTGTTGCGTCAGCAAAGTTACTCTTTGTGATTTGGCTTTTGCCAACCAGAGGCGTGGTCATGGTTGGTGCTAGGCCGTGGTGGCCGCCGGCTGAGTTCGACGCCGGGCGTGCAGTAAGAGGTAGCTATTGCCATCCACGTGCTACGTAAGGCAACCGCAGATCGCGGACCGCACGCTCTGGTAGCAGCAGAGCAAACCACTGCCACCTTCCTTGCCCTTGACTCGGGCATCAACGCAGAAAAAGAAAGCACTTCATCAGCATCGGAAAATAGTGCCCTGCATCTCGGCATCGCAAGCCCTTTTCGAGGCATCACAAGCCCTTTTCGAGGCTATCCACGCCCCACAGCTCTATTCACACGTCTCTACGTCATGTATACAAACGGTGTTGACTCGGCTGCAGTAGTGCAGCTGAAACACCAGTGCACGCTGGGTCGTCCGTGCCCTTGGCCCCCGAGATATCAGTCATGCCCTTCTTTACTTCTGCAAGGGGGGATCTTCGAGCCTGTTAGAGTCCCGAGTAATGCACATGCATCCGGGTAGAGTATTACCGAGTCAGATAAAACAGTTTGACAGCGGTGCCAATGGACGACAGGCTTTGGGATGCGAATGCGACCTAATGAACCATCATTAATTGCCACGGCGTCGGCGAAGCGCTAAACAGACGGATTCTCCAAGTGGTTCTTGCAGTGGAGTAAAAGTTTTAGCCAACCTGGAGCCTCTACCTGTTCCCCTAGCGCAGAAGCATACACCGGCGACATTAACAGTTGGCACGGAATCGCACCGTAACAGGTCCACCCGCACATCCCCCGGTCGTTGACCTAGACGAGTAATTCGGCCAGCGCAGTTAATATTTGAACTTGCACATCTCCACCGCTCCCAGCTAGACTGGAATGCCTGCCCATGCTTAGAGACGTCTAGGGCTACGACATATGTACACACCGCATCATGGTCACGCACAATCGTAGATGTCATCCAGGTCCAAAATGGTCGCGATCAGGACGCGTCTGCTGTGTTCCGTTAAGGGCAGCAGCCCACGAGCGGGATTTGCAAGTGATCGACAGGGAAAACAAGGTGTGCTGCTAGCCGCGCGCAACATGCAGGTTGAGTTAGATGTAAAAGTTCACCTCTATTTGACCAGCTGTTCCAACGGTCCAGATCTGTCAACGTGTTTGCAATGCAATGAACGGTCTGGAGAACAACTCACCGTCTCGCGAGAAACTTCGGCTCCCCATGCCGCTGATTGGTAGAAAGCCTAGCTTCTCGCAACCCCTGCCTTATTGCTCGGCAGTATTTGACCTCCTCGACAACAATGAATTCTTTGACTTTCCCCAGCAAAAGGTCGATTTGCCGGTACTGCACCGCGAGGAGGGTGCCTTGCATTAGCCCACGCTACTTGGCCACGCGGCATCCATTACTTTGAACCATAGTCTACCAATCTTGACCAATCTTTGCTGCATTCGAAGGGTACGTCGGCGGGTCCAGTCCCTGCCAGCACGAGACTAGTTGCCCCGTTGTCTCAAATCCAAGGGCCCACCCGACGTGTCAGTCTACCTGGTATGTTTACATTACATAGACCCTCCTCTCGTCATGGGTGTGCACCTCTTTCTGCACTGCACGCCCAGCTCTCGATCTGCACGTCTCAAAAGTTGGCACTTTTCCATTTTCAAAGCTACTGGGCCGCGCAACCCCCTTCGCCATCGCGATGCCCATGTTCAAGAACAAGATCCGATCTGCGCACGGAATGTTCTCCCAAATAAGATCCTCTGACGCTTCCAGGACCTCAGCCTCAACACCCACTTCTGCCCGAAAAGGGAGTCCTAGCGAGCTGGCCCCAGCTTATGTCGATAGCGTCATGGCCCCCGACGCGGACGCGCTGACCAAAGCCGACGGTAGTGGCGGTGCCTTTAATGAACCGCTGGTCCTAGACTTTGCAACCATGCAAGATGGCGCTGAGCCTAATAGAACGAGTGCCCCTCTTTCACCCGTTATTAGCTTGGGCGATCCTGGGCATCGAGGAAGTTGGCACTCGGAGGATGATGACTTTGCCCCGGCACCACAAGTAGAGTTTGCAAGACGCGAGATTCATATTCCCTTTCGAACCAGGTACGCTCCCTTCTTGTATCCCATATTTTCTTTTCCTTCTTGCTTATGATTGAATAGTTCGAGCACTCCTCAAGCCCAACAACATCGCGTTGAGCTGCAAAGACGATTGAGTCAAGAACCAACTTCACCCATCTGGCCTGCTACTCCAGAAAGGAACCGGTCGCGTGCTCATAGCTATTCACGTACACCAGCGGCTACCCCTAAGCGTTCACAGACGCCAAAGAATCCTCAAACACCTAGAAATTCTCAAACACCTGGGAATCCCCAAACGCCCGGAAACCCTCAAACACCTGGCAATCCTCAAACGCCTGGCACTAAGCGAATGTCTGGATACTTTTCAACCCCCCAAGAAATGGATTCTGAGCCACCAAAGATGCGAAGTTCAGTCGATTCGGTAATCTCGTATGAGTCCGCAGCGCCTTCCTTTACGACGCAGCAGCTTGGGCCGTTGCAGCAAAAGGGTGGGACGCTGGATGAGGGCGACAGGCTTTCTCCCTTGATGGAAGATGACCCGCATTCCTTCGATCTGGTTTCCGCACCAGTGGAAAGTGGACGCCCCATCTTCTCACTCGAGACCAGATCCGACCAACTGTTCTCGAAAGAGCACTTAGAGGCCATCTTCGCCGACACTTCATCCTTGCTTCGATTTACGTCATTCCTCAGCGCCTATCGACCCAAATCAGTCCCTACAATGGTGTACTACCTAGATGCACTAAAAGCGTTACGAGCTATCAACTATGCAAATGCTGTCGCTGAAGCGCTAGAACCCATCGATGGCTTGGGTTTTACCGAGACTGGGGCGCGAACCACTGTCAACGCAAGTCTCGAGGAGAAGGCCAAGCAGGCCTTTGATATTCTAGTCCGTGACGATTTGCCAGCATTCATCACGCATGTCTTCGCTCAAGTTGCAAGCTCTAGTATTGCGAAGAGAGTTACTGGCAACCTCCCTCCAATGCTGCGTGAAGCTAGTGAAGGGTTAGCAGAGGTTTTCTGCTTGACAGATCCTTCGAGGGCTGACAACCCAATCATATTTGCGTCTGAAGGTTTGTGTATCTGGCATGTAACATGGGCACCACTAACTGGATATTAGAATTCCACCGCACAACCCAATATGGCGTAAACTACGCTATTGGCCGCAACTGTCGATTCCTGCAAGGCCCCAAAACCAACCGTAACAGCGTGGCCCGTTTCGGAGCAGCCGTTCGCGAAGGCAAAGATCATAGTGAAGTCTTTCTGAACTAGTAAGTAGCGCCTGTTGTTTGGGTCTGGCTGGCTTTTGACTAAAAGTAATCAGCCGTCGTGACGGATCTCCGTTTATGAACCTTCTGATGACAGCACCTCTGTGTGATTCACGCGGAACTGTCCGTTATTTCATCGGCGCTCAAATCGACGTGACTGGTCTTGTGAAAGAAGGCACCGAACTCGATGCGTTCCGCCGCATGGTTGACCAGGAAGACGGCGTTATTGAAAAGGACGAGCCTAAAGACGAATTCCAGGCGCTATGTGAGATGTTCAACAACACTGAGTTGGACACAACACGCAGATTTGGCGGCAACATGCACAGGGAGCATTTGGAGGAAAGGGATGACGCCACCATGCAGCACAAGCCTAGAGTGCTCATTCAGGATCGATCGACTTTTGATCTTGATGCACCAGAAAAGTCAACTCCTTCACCAGACGGACGCCTTGCCGGTCCGTACAAACATGTAAGTTTAAATCGGTGTCTTGCAAGCGATTTTGGACAGTCTAACAGACGAATCAGTATCTTATTGTCCGTCCTGCGCCATCTCTACGCATTCTCTTCACATCTCCTTCACTTCGCGTCCCCGGAATACTTCAATCTCGTTTCCTTGACCGAATTGGTGGTAGTAACCGTGTTCGTGCTTCGCTCGGTGGCGCGCTCGCAGATGGGTCGCGTGGCGTTACTGCAAAGATCCGCTGGTTACCGCACCCTGTCGAGGACCTGGAGGACGCAACGGATGAGGGCCGACCTCGCTGGATTCACTGCACTCCTCTCCTCGGCCAGAATGGATCTGTAGGCGTGTGGATGGTAGTGCTGGTCGACGAGAAGGACCAGGCGTATTCAAACCGTCGTTTCCGTCAGGCACCGCCAATCCCCGCGGACATCCGTAGCAATTCCCTTGCTGCCTCAACACAACCACGCGCCAACACACGACTCAGTGATTATTCTGAAGAAAACATCTACCCCTCCCGTGGAGGTTCGCCTTTGAGAAATGGTCGTGCCAATGGGTTCACTCGTGTTTCTGCTATGGATAACCTGCGTGGACCAGCGAGCCCTCACAGAGCGCAAAGCCCGCTGAGTTATGAGCAGCGTGCGATGCGCTCAGGAGCATCATCCGTCAAGGACTACGTCAATGGTGCAGCCAGTGTGGATTCGTTCCGCATCTAATGGGATGGACTATCATTTTTGAGAGGAAACAAAGCAACGCAGATCGCACATCCCACTGCACACTGGAAACAACATCAGCGTAAGAAAGAACCAATGAGATTGCACTTGGAATACGCATAGGAAGCGGAGGCATATTTGAATTTGCATTGAGCGCGCATACGAGGATTGAATGTTTTGGGAGCCATTTACGAGAGTGTTGACGAATCGTTGTTGTTAATCTACCGGATACCCTTTTTTCCTTTATAGAAATAATTTGAGCGTTCAGTTGATGGATTATTTTCCTGCATGTCTTTGCTCAACAGCGTTTTGTTTGATATGCTTCGAGATGCTCTTGCGCGAAGCATGCAAGGGAGGGATGCATGCATGCAATCTAAGCGAGGCTTCCCCGCGGGAGTGCCGTTTGTCCCTCCAAACAATCCGTCCTACCTCTTACTTCCCCACCTACTCACCACATTCACCTGGTACAGCACAATGTCGACCATACGGCCAATGCGGCCAGACGACTTGCTGCGCATATCCTCAACGAATCTTGATCACTTGACTGAAACATATAATATTGGTTTTTACCTTGAGTACCTGACCAGATGGCCCGAGTTGTGCCAAATTATCGAAGGCATGGATGGTCAAATTGAGGGATATAGTACGTTTTACAAATTGCAACATGGATACGGATATGAACTAACCAAGAAATTAAACAGTCCTGGGCAAGCTCGAATCGTCACCCTTCGCACCTCCAATAAGCCCCTACAAGCCCTCCACCACGGGCGTCGAATACCCCAACTACCTTCCGTGGCACGGCCACATCACCGCCCTGACTGTTGCCCCCAGCGCCCGACGCCTCGGCCATGCAACTGCCCTCTCATCTGCGCTCGAGCGCTCCTCTGACGCCGCCGACGCGTGGTTTGTCGATTTGTTCGTGCGTGCGTCGAATGAAATTGCAAAAGAGCTGTATCGCAAGATGGGCTATAGTGTCTATCGTGTGGTCAAGGCGTACTACAATGATGGCGAGGATGCTCTGGATATGAGGAAGAGTTGCAGTCGGGATAAGAATCGGGAGTGTGTGAGGGCTGATGGTGAAAAGTGGGAGGTTGAGGCTGATGATGTGTGGTGAGGTGAATGCATGCCTTCGTTCAAAAAATTCAACGGCAAAGGACGGACATGAAGAAGACGGGGAGGTGGGCTTGGAAACGATGAGGCGTTGATACCCGGATTGGATGAGAGACTTGGATGTATCCACCGCGGACAAGCAATTGTCTGGACTTGGGAGCTCCATGGCGAACATTGCTATTAATAATGTCTTGCAATCGCTGATAGAAGACATGACGATGAAATGAAATGATTGATGAGCCTATGATCTGTGCGTCGACTTTGGCTGTATGTGCAACGATGATATTAATTGGGCTCAGAGTCAAAGTCATGATTTTGTACAGTAGAGTAATAGGTGAGATGAGATTGGCGAGAGCATAAGGCAGAAACATTTTAAGCAGGTTTGTGAGTGGGTGAGAGACTTACCGCATAGTGCTCACCCGTTTGTTGCTTCACACGTATCAGTTCATTCATATTCACCGCTCGGGGACTTGTGTAACACTAAGCTTGTCTAAGACTCATACCTCTTGCTTGACGCTCATTCCCGAGACCACTGTCGCTTAAATCTATTGTCCCACTTTGAGCTTGCTTCTGCAATGTTAATTACAATCGCAGGCCTCAACCAGAGTTCAAGCAACATTCAAGCAATCCGACTTCACAGGGATCTCACTATGAACAGATCAAACTATCCCCGACGATCAGGGCCGCTTGTACCCCATAACGATGTGAGGTTCAACGTTAACATTAACTTTACGCCCAACGACTGGCAGGTTAGTCCAGGGGAAAGCCACTCATTTCTGGAGGATGTTCGTACAGCCGTACTCAAGTATAGAACAACATCACCCACCCGCTTCAGCGTCCCAATTGAAGTGGCACAGTCTCAGTCACAGAATTTGGGACGATCGGATAAGTTTCATGGCAGCTTTGCTTTGTGGGTTGGCTTCTACAACTTCGGTAGCAGACCCATCTTCGCTACGTGTCGCTTCAAGAGCGAGAAACGAGAAGGCGGCCGTCGTTTAACCGACAAAGTTGAGGTATATGGGAAGAGAATAGGCCGATACGTCCCTCTGGAGGAATTCCTGGAGAAGATGTTTCCTACTTTTAGCGAAATCCCAGTCGGCGACGACGTCATGTTCCAGTGGTGGAAATCGAACGGCTCAGCTTTCAACTGGCCTGGTCTACCCACCGAGTTGAAGGAACGTATCATATCCTTCTGCATGCACCGATCACAGCCTCGTGCTCCGCGCAGACGACCTATCAAAGGCGCCCCAGAAGTCACCGCTCAGTTTGGAAAGTGGTCGGCCTTGCTCGGTGTGTCCCACCAAGTCCGCGCGATATCCCTGCGCATGTGCTTCGTCGGCAGCAGTGACTTGCTATATGACAAGGGACTCTGCATAGATGTCAAAGGTCACCACGCCTTCAAAGACTGTATGCGGCGCTTGGGGAAGTGCTTCCAGATGTTGGAGCCGGGGTCTCTTCCGTCGACCGACGAGATGCGGCGGCTTGCTGATACGTACAAAACGTATCCTCGGATCTACCCAGAGTTATCTCGATACGCGACGTTTCGCCATGCGATCCGCAAGATCAACTTTCAGCTGTCGTTCCTCGACTCGATGCACTTCTTCAAGGTCACAGCAGGTTCGTTTGCACAGTGGTTCCGGAACTTCAAGCTCGACTACGGAATCTTCTGCCAAATGCCTTGTTTGAATGAGATTCGCATCCAGTTGCCTGACGCGAGGGGTTCTCTGTCTGATGGACCGTGTCAGTGGGGTCCTCAGCTATTCTACGGCGAGCCATTCAATTGTCCTAGGATACTGCATCGGCTTATATATGAAAGGGTTGCAGAGGTATTGGCTTCGTATGAGAACGTCAATATGTATGGGTTTATGGATGAAGTGGAGAAGGAGAGCTTCTACAAGCTGAGGAGTGAGGAGAGGAAGAAGGTGAGGTTCACAGCGGAAGAGATTAGGGAGCTATACAGGCAAGATGGAGGTGGGGTCGAGCTTGAGAAAAGTATCATTCCGGGTATACAAGAGGATGTGGTAGAAGAATCGGAGGGGCTCGTGATACAGGATGCCTTTTGGCCACCGAAATGCCGGTGCAAAGTCCGGTGCTGGAAGGTGTTGTACCCAGACACGACCTAAGGGTTAGAGTGTTGGGCACTAGGATACCTCTATTTCTTGTTTCCTGCGCGAGTCGTTGCCGTGCAGCATACGGCTGCCGAGCATGAACATGGAGCCGACAATGAGTGCAGTTCCCTATTTGTATATTAGCTACTTGCATCAATCATGCACCTAATTCAGACTAAGAACATATTTACCGAAAACAGTATCAACCATCGATATCCCTCCCGAACATGCTCGTCTACAATAAGTGCTCCGCCAATAGGCGTCCCGATCAGACTCGAGATGGTGATGACGCTGTAGAACGCTCCAGTCCTCGCGCCGAACTTGTCGTCTGGCGTAATCTGTCCGATGATCGAGGTTGGGAGTGTGTTTACGCTGCTGGAAAAGAAACCGTATGCGCAGACGAAGAATATTAGTGTGGAGAGGTTGGTGCTTAGGAGCCAGAGGAAGAGACAGAGGCAGCCTGAGAGGAACGTGACGGGCCAGAGGAGATTGAATCGGCCTATGCGGTCGCCTAGGAGACCGCCTCTATATTGACATTAGAAGGGATGTCTGGTATAGGGTTACGCTGGACTCACAATGTTCCACCAAGCATGCTGCAGCCATTCATCATACAAAGGAAGTATTTGCTAACATTGTTTCCGGGGTATATATTATCAGCGTAAGTTTCTAAGATATTGTTTAGTAACACGAAGGCATGTCTTTTGGGGGCAGAACTACTCACTGACATAATACGCCGGAAGCCAAAGACCGAGGATAGCAAACCACGTCCCCACGCAGAGAACCGCATACCGAGGATCCAAGAACCCACCAAAGTCTACCCGAAAGGTGCTCTCCTTACAGCCCGAGCTTCGAACAGGCTTACTAGTGCACAAGCACAACGCAATCGAGTAACAAACCCTACATCCCTGTCAGCCTTCTATCTCTCAAGCAACGACCAGTATCCAACCCACACAACCTTGCCAGCCGCCAACCTCATCGCAACGCCAAACCCCCATCTCGGCATCACCTGTCCCAGCATCAACGGAAACCCAATCCCCCCAACCGCCGACCCCATCGACACGACCCCCAACGCCAACCCCCTCCTTGCCTTGAAATGCTGCCCCACAACCGTAAGTGCAGGCTGCACCCCGAACGAAATCGACAACCCCATCAGAACCCCCTGTATCAAAAACACAATCCAAAACTGGCCTGATTGCACAAACGAAAGCACCACCAACGCCGTCGTAACCCCGAACCCCGAACCCACCAGCAACCACTAACATCGCTTCGACTTAGCCCTTGAAAACCCCGACGAGAACACACACACACACACACACACATGAAGTGAGAGTATACATGTTGTGTAGGAAGGGGGGGGGAAGACAAAGCAGAGAGAAAAAAATACATACCTTGACACCAAACCGATCACACAGCGCTCCCGAAAGCGCTCCCATAAGATTCGTCAGCCCCATCTGCAGCGTCCCTACCAAAGCTATACTCGAACTGGAGCTCGAGGACAGAAACTCGCGCGAGTAGTAGTCCTGGAAGAAGCCGAAGCTGCTCATGAGGCCAAAGGAGGCGTAGAAGATTAGCGCTGAGCCGAGAACGGTAAGGGGGCCACCGAGACGTGCTTGTTGGACGGATTTTTCTGAGGATGGAGTGGTGGAGGTGTGGGTGGAGGTGGAGGAGGGACTGCTTTGAGGAGGGGTTCGGGGGAAGAAGAAGAAGAAGAAGAGGGGGATGGGGTTTTCAGTCATGTTTGAAGGAGCGAGGGAAGGAAGGAAGGAAGGAGAGATTACTGGGTATGGAGAAGGATGGGGTATGCATAAGGGGGAGAGTTAGATATAGTCGGGGAGGAGGGGGGGTGTTGGATTGTCCATGTCGTCAGTGGTTGTCGCTGTATGTCACGCTAGATGAACATGGCGGTACAACAGAAAACACTCCTTTTCTCCACGATTTCCCGGCTGTAGTCAGGCTGGCAAAGAAGAAAAAAGAAAGGGGGAAAGTCGGGAGGGAGGGAAAGGGAAGCCGGGTTGATGCTTCTTTTTTTTTTCTTGTTCCTTGCCCCCGTCCCGTTCGTTGTACTACACGTATAGAGACGTTGAGCGCGTATCGTGGGTAAGGTGGAAGCGGAGCTTGCGTGTGTATGTCTGTGTCTGTGTGTAGGGGCTAGGAGGAAGTTGGAAATATTAGACGAAGAGATGAAGGACATGATGCTGTTATGATGTATTGCTATTGGCATACTAAACGGATATCTATCCTCTTTTCGACCCTATGCCTTCTCGAAGTGTACTTCTCCGCCGATGAAAGCCGTGCGGGGAGGGGGCAAGCTGGATACGTGCAGCGACGGATGTATGCAGGAATTACTTGTAACCAAGCTGTTATTTCTTCTTCTTCTTCTTTTTTTTGACGGGCTCGCTAGATTTGACAGTTGTTGTGATACCGGGTGATGTTACGTATGACGCGAGCAGATGGTTTTGGTGCGGGATTGGCTGGCGACGGGTTGGAGCGATTGGGTGGTGGGTTGTGACACGTTGGTTGGATTACTAGTATGTTACTCAGGAGACGGGATTAGTCGATTTGTGGTTTCGTAGATTGGATTCTGGACGTTTTGAATCATTGGATGAAGTGATACCTCGTATATGCAGGATTGTACACGATATTTGGAATTGTGGAGCGATCGATATCCGTTGTCATTAGGACGTTGACATCAATCAGAATCGGCATCAGTAAGATCCCAATGCCTAATTCCGAAGTCTCTTTTGTCAGCGTTAACTTTTTTTAGTATCATGATGATTTGACCGAGTGCCTCTTATGCATCTTATCACGCTGGTATGTCATTGTACACTTACAACGTATAGTCCCATTCTTGTTATGAAGTTGGCGTTGTTGTCACTCTAAATGCACAATTAGAGCCAAAATAATTCGCGGTCGTAGCAGTAGGCAGCCAGAGAAGTAAGCATTTAAAGCAATATACCACTCTTTTCTGTATTGTTCGCGGCATGCCAGTATGATATTTGGATATGATCAGCCCCACAACGTACGGCTAATATATTGAGAGTATCGAGCTGCACCCGCCAATACAAGTGCATTGGTGCGATTTCCTATGAGATACACCCCGCCCCATGCCTGGGGTGTTGGAGTAAAATCAGAAAACCGAAATGTAAATGAGACATTTTGATACCAGCGACATAGAAAACAGGACTCTAGAAATGATAAATAGAGAACGAAAGCAAAGATTATACATGAAAACCCAAGGAAGGAAATCGTGGTATCAGGGCAGACAGACTCGCGCAAGTCGGAAAAGAAAGAACATGCGATATGTGTGAAATTACATGGTAAATAGAGAAGAGGCATAACGTCGCGCGTACAGTACGTAGTTGTCTGATAAAAAAGGAAAACGGAAAGCTTGCAATGTGGCATATATAGAACCAGGAAGATGCAAGAAAGAGCCAAGAAGCGAACAGACTTCTTAATCTCCATCCCACATCGGGGGCGTCCATTCTTGGCCAGGATAACTCGTAGCCTTCATGACGGGCTCGTCATCGTCAAGAGCAGATAATTCAAACACTTGCCTATGCTGACTACCGGTCCGCCCCCAACTACTTCCCGCGCTGCTAAAGCTACCACCAATAGTGCGCAAGCTGCCAACTTGACCACCGCTAGAGACGCTGCGTTCGAGCTCTCTGGCTCGTGCTCTTGCTGCTTCGCGCTGTTGCCTTTCGCGTGCAATGGCCTCGCGGCGCTCTCGTTCGCGCTGCACGCGCTCCATGTGCTGGATGTTTTCTTGTTGGAGGAGTTGCCGACGGAGCGATTCGGCACCCATGTCTGATAATGTGCGTTGGGGAGATGCAGCCATTGAGGCGGGCTGGGGATGTTGCAGCATTCCGATGGATGGCTGCCGTGGTCGGGACTCTAGTCTTTGACTACGGTGTTCTCCATCTACGTTTGTATTGATGTTGGGTGGCCGAACCGCATCAGGGCGACTCTTGTCCATGCCTTCGTTGGGGACACCAATTCCATCGTATGATGGTGGTGCCTCGTCGGGTATTTGTGCGTCGTATTCTGATGATCTGTTCACTGGCGCCTGATACATGTCTTCTTTTGGAGAGGGATTTTGATGGTATTGCTGTCCATCATTCTGATACATCTGCTCATCAGGGAAAGCATTTCTTGTTGGTGAGTAAGGTAGGTTGGGAGGTGGATTCACTGTGCCAGCGGGTCTTGTCGAATTGCGTGATTCAGGTAAGGGGTATGCTGCGGGCTGTGGAGACGGCTCAGAACGTGTCGGGACTTGCTGCTCGTAGGCCGGATGGCGGCGAGTTGGCAAAGGCTGTTCGTAACGAGGCGACTCAGAATGAGGGACTCGATAGGGTTGTGGAGAGCCTGAAGGTAAAAGCTCACGAAATCCACCTCCTTGCGCATGTTCATGTGGAACTGTGTTTGTAGGCGTTGTGTGCTGGGGGGTATGTGGCGAAGGTGTTCCTGCAGCTCGTTCAGCTTGTTGCTGCTGCTGAGCGTTGAAAAGAGCCTGCATGTACTGTCCCTGACGTGCCCGGACAATCTCCTGTTCAGTGGCTCCTGCTGGAAAATTGAGATGCCAGGGACGGTCTTGCTGAGACACCTCTGAGATACTGCCCATCCTTGGTTTTTGAGTTCGCTGAGCGCCATGATGAGGCGGATAGCTGTACAAGGAAGCTGAACGCGATATCGGTGATACTACGTGCATGTTGCTGTCATCGGAGTGTGACCGACTACTCTGGTACATTTGGGATTGCCCGGATATTTGTGGAGAAATGGGTGGCATCCATGGATCTGCATACTGCGTCGTGGGATGATTCACATGTGCTGCCTGAACATGTTGAGGTGGATATATGGGTTGGTCCTGCCGGTTTGAGTGAGCTACGTAAGCTCCAGATACATGACCGTACGCAGCAGGTATCGGAGTTGCTTCGTAGCTGGGCTCTGCTGAGGTAGCATTTTGTGAAACATAGCTCTGGCCCGATATTGGCGCGCCGTTTTGCCCTGGCAATGGGCGGGACGATTGTAATTGCTGTTGCTGCTGCTCATGGTAAGGATCTCTATACTCGCCTTGCCCATACGCAGCCTGCTCCTTCTGACGCTGCATTTGTAGTTGCTCGTACTGTTGTCGTGCAGCCACAGTTGCGGCATATGCCCCTCTGTTGTCCTCAGTTTGCTCATCATTAGGCCAGTAATACTCTCCATTCGGAGGATTAGGAAATTCTTGACGCAAACGGTCGAACAATGGGCCGTGATTGTGCATTAGGGAGCTGGTGCGCACTGGACGTATGTTAACCTGTGGCGAGGGCTGGCCGCTTTGCTGAGCCTGATGCTCTTCTGCCAATTGCTTCGTTCGGAGAAAAGCAGAGGGCTCCTCTGGACGGGTATCCGATATCGACGGTCTGGGTGACTCCGTCTGTTGAGAGGGTTTAACCTGAATTGGTTTGTAAACTTCCTTTACAGGATCCCATTCACGACAGACCTGAGTTTTTGTAGAGTCTCCTTTGGCCTTTTGCGCTTTCTTGTCCTCTTTCGACGACGAAAGTTTGAACTTTGTGACCATGCCATCAACGCTTGGGCCATCCTTACCAAAAATCGCACCTAGCCCCGAATTGCGCTTCGGCTTGGCGCCACTTGCAACGTCTGGTTGGTTCGACTGGCTAGAGTGGTTAGGTACGTTGGCTGTCGATTGCTGGTAAGGGATGCTATAGAAGGCCGCAGGATTCCTCTGCTTCTTGAGGTCAAAGAGTGATGATTTCTGGTTGGCCTGTGACTGCTGATCCACGCTTGGACGCTTGACCGACGAAGCTGGTTTTAGGCGCCCTGGCCCTTCTGAATTCAAATTTGAACCAGCCGAAATGGTTTCCAGGTTTTGCCGTTGCTGTGAAGAAGCCTGACCATTTCCACCAAATTTCTTGAATATTGACGAAATTTTGCCTTTTGAAGAAATCTTCTCGTGTGATTTCGATGCTTCGTAGACAGACGACTGAGCTGAGTTGGTAGACTTTCGCTTTTCCATATCCTGACGAGACGGGCGATCTGTTTGTTGTTGCTCCTGCCCCAGGTCTTGGAATTGGGAACTAGGGGTTTTACTTTGTTCTAGTGGAAAATCTGGTACAATCTGAGCAACTGGCGAAACTCTTTTGGCACGGGGTTGGTGCAAAGCGAGGTTCGCGATGTGGGTAGTCTGAGGTTGCTGGTCATGTGCACCTGGTGTTCCTGATAGTCGCTCTTGGGAATTTGCCTCGCCAGAGACACGAGGTGGGTCAATATATGCTGGTCGTGTAGGATCTAGTGGTTGGGCAGTCCGTAAGATATTTTTTGGTGGGGGTGCGCCAGGGGTAGGGGGCGATTGGACAGAATTCCAAGATGTGTCCAAAGGTTCTGCTGGAAGTTCAGAGTAGACCGCGCCTCCTTGCGATAATTGGTGCTGCTCAGCGTGGTTTCTACGTTGCCTGAACGCCCGACGTACTCTTATATCGTCTGGAGATGCAGACTGGTTGATTTGGTCTTGGGGCTTTCCATCTTGGTCCGCAGGTCCAGCAATGAAGCTCATTGGTCGATCTGTGCTGTATCTTTGCTGCTCACCATCTTGGGATTCACGTGTTACCTGAACATTGGCAGCCTCGGGCTTAGTTGGTGACTGTTGCGGTTCTGGACTGGGTACCCTTGCCTCTGAAACTCGCAACGGCTGGCCCATTTCGTCGCGCAAGTCTTTCACAATTCCATTGTAATCAGCGTAAAGATCCAAATCATTGCCTTGGCCATCCGAGGTGTGGGTGTCATGTGATGGGGGACTCTGCCTCGGAATCTGGACCGGAGCTCTTGACTGCTTGTTAGACAATTGAGGCTGCATTCTGCAGACAGCAGATGGGTTCGGTTTTCCAGGAATATTTCGAGAATAAGGGGCGCTGCCTTCTTCGGAAACCATGGCAGATATCTGCGATAGGAGAGAACCACCAGTTTTTGCCGGAAGGGCCATGGTAGAGTTGGGCGCGGGCAACTCGTAGGCTTGGTGTCTTGATTTGGGGATGTTGTTTTTAAGAGGCGCAAGTCCATCCGATGTTGCGCTTTGTGAATCGTCGTCACGCCATGTTGCGGCCTTTGCCGTCTCGGGTTGACCTGGAACCATGCGCGGAGGCTGGGCGAGAGGCGTGGCTAGATGACTCTCATTATTCATCGCACCCAGCTCAGTGGCATCGGACGGCGACGGAGCAGCAGGACGACGGCGGTGCCATGGCGAAGCGGGTGGATTAGTATGTAGTCTCTTGCACGGCGTGAAGAGGCGACGCGGGAGTACAGCGCGTCTGCGAGGTGTCAGCTTAGACCCCCGCCAGGTTGGGGCTTAGCGGAGCTTCCCCATGTATTCGTGTTGCCCCGAGCTGCGGGCCTGAAGCTGTACATAGCGGTAATCTCCCCAACGGCTTTTGAGTCAGGCCCAGTTGTCTTCTAGGCGCGCACTGTTGATGAAAATTTGTTGGTATTGGTGCATTACTTGCTTTCGTTGGCCCCCAGCTCGGATTGGCGAACCATAAAATGGTCTGAGGGCACGTCGTGCATTTCCCCCCCCGATGGTCGTCATCATCCTTGGCCCTACTTAGACCGCCGCTCGGTTCCCGCACGCTCATTGCCTCTGAGATAGTACACCGCTACCGGTAATTTACATGCCGTGTCTCTACCCTCTAGACGCTCGCTGCTTGCAAAACCTGCACTACCATCGTGAAGGTCTGCCGACAATCGTTGGTCTGTGTTATCAATTCTGCCGATTTACCCAACTAGAGCCGTCCAAATAGGTCTGGCACCATCGGCCTTTCATCTCGTATTCGGCACAAGTCATGTCGAGATGCGATCTATTCACAAAGGACTTTGTCAATCATAACGGGCATACCTAGCGAGATAAAATGGCGCCCAAATCATATCGTGTATGTATGCGCTGGGAGTGGATCATGGTTCTATGTCGGCGGTTGATCATTATTACTATTATCAATGTCCTTGGTGGCAAGTCTGTTAGCAAGCCCAAAATGATATCTATCGGTGGGTGTAGAGGTGTCGGACTCAGCGGTTGCAACAACAGGGCTGAAAATTGAATGGATCTTCTGCGAAAGTTTTAGTTTCCTTCATGACGACTGGAGACACTAGGTCCGGACTTGGAAATTACATTGAAATAGATATAGAGATATAGAAGAGGCTACCAGTCGTCGAGTGAAAAGAAAAAAGATATATATCAAAGCACCCAAGTAAAAGGCCAAAACGCCATATTGAGGTTCAGGCGAACAGGCCCGGTTACCCCTCACAGCTTCTTAGTCGATCAAGACAATCCCTGGTAGTAGTTGCGGCATATGCCATAAAGGAGCGAAATCACTTCTCTGCCTTTTCGCGCCCGAAGCGACTTTTGCCTTTGGCAAAAAAGCCCTTGGCACTGGTCATACCCTTCCCACCCAGTACGTTGGCAGTATGCAGCAGATCTTTACCCTTCATCTGCACTTGCTGGTTCACAATGCGTCCACCAAAACTAGACCCAGAAGGTGCATTGGCAGTGGGAGAGCCAGTGTTGGTAGGAGCGGCCGCACTGGCATTGTTATGCTGTTCAGCACTTGACTCGTGGCTACTTGACCCACCCAGTTTCCCGAACAAAAGTGAGCCAGTGTGTCTGTGACGAATAGAGCCAGTAGGCGCTCGTTGCACTGGATATGTTTGCGTTGCCAACTCGGGCTTTGCATCCAAAGTTGCTGTCAGCCAATCATTTAGCCCATGGTCTACACTCGCCCAATATTCCCGGGTCTTGTTGTACGTATCAATTCGTTCCGTTGCCGAATTGAGTGTTGCGATCTCTCGAGCACCCAAGGGCTTGTCTGTGGCTGGCGACTTGGTAGAAGATTCTTGCGCCACGGACGCTACAGGCGCTGCAGCAGGAGTCTGAGCCTCTTCATTGCGTGCTTCAATCGCTGGCTGTAATTCTGCAGGTTCCGGTGTTGTGGCTTTTTCAGCCAATTTGGGCTCTTCAGACACCGCGGGAGGCGGATCGTGTTCAGCAGTAAAGCGTGGAGGAAGATCCACAGCTTCGGGGTTTTCTTCCGTATTCACAACATGAAGACCCGGTGAACGCGTAGCCTCTCGAGCGGGGCTGATTATAGCCTCTGTAGGGTCCAAAAGAGAAGGTTCAGTCGGCTTTTCGCTATCACCGACAGAGTCAGGTTTGGTAACAGTCGGAGTATGACCAGTGTGTACAGCAATGCCAGGGAGAGCCACAGGTGGTTGATGATGTTCCTGTTCTACAGCTCGCTCTCCAGCGGATGTAGGCTTTTCGGGCCCGTGTGAGGCTGTTGCAGGCTCTGCTGAGGGAGTTTCCTTTCCCGATTCAACTGGCGTTTGCATCAGCGAATCGCCCCCTTCCCAACTGAACCTCTTGATGACAGGTTTTGTGGGGTCTTCGGATTGTGGGAGAAACGCAACAGTCGCTGCTTGTGGTGGGTCTTTGGCTATGGTCTCGCTCTTTTGAGAAGATCGCCGAGAAATGCGGTCTTCTTCAGCCCAATAGCTCTTGTACTCGTCAGGGAGGATCGAGCTGGCACGATTTGTACCCGGGCTGCGTGGTTGCAGTGGAGCTAAACTTGGTTCATCCGCTGGTGAGTCGGGGATATTGAGAGGACCCAAACTGGCAACAATTTCCTTTCGCAAACGATCACTTTCTTGGTCTTCGGCAGAAGTATCGGTGCTAAGTTTTTGATCAAAGCTTGGGCGAGTCAACGGATCCTCCTCGGACGGCGAGGGGGTTTCTTTCGAGGGAGGCGATGGCGGAAACTCGGATTTTGGAGTGTCCTTGGCAGGGGGTGTAGGTGGTGCACTTGAATTAGATGTTATCGTGCGATCAAGCTGCAATGGCCTAGGGAGATAGATGTTGCCATGGTCAACAGATGCCTTTTTTTCCTTCTCAGTTTCAGATGGGTCTTCGCCCGCCCCCATAGTTGTACGGATAGATTCAACCATTGCAGCTCCGGCGTTTCGAAGGGCGGCCATTGGGTCGGAGTTGTCTGCCTCGGTTGAAGGAACTTCAGCAACTGATTTCTTAGCAGTTGTGGGTGTCAAGTCAAGACTCTCGGAGGAAATTTGGTTCCTCTCCACATTGCCTAACCCCCGATCCTGCTCCCCATGTTCTGAAGGGGTCATAACTGTGGTTGTGTATGATTCCCACTGGCCGGGCAGGTGGGGACGGAACTCTTTAACCGGACTGCTGGGTTTTGATGGACTAGCTTTTGTTGGAGACGCTGCACGAGAATTGCCACGACTTCGCTCCCATGACTGAACGCTATTTCTTGAAAGATTCGACTGTGTTGACCCGCGTCTTGAAGAAGCTACATCGCCAAACTTGCCGGCTAGCGCCTGCACACGGCCTTTGCTGGGTGATTCTGAACGGTCGCGGGGTAAAACATCTTCGATAGGGGATTGTGTATTATGGGATTCTAAGAACATGTTCTGTGACTGACGCTGCGCGGCTCCTAGATCCAGAACCCCACTGTTTGGGCGGCTGTTAGTTGAAGTGGCGAGATCCGCTTCGCGATTAGCATATGCAGAAGATGGTCCCTTTAACCCGCCATCCATGCCTTCAAGACTTGCGTCGTCTTCAGTCAAGAAAAGGGCGGATTTTGGTCTTGGAACGTCTTTGTTGGCTGCTAGCACAGGTGAACGAGCGGGACTGTCACCACGTGTCGGCGTAGCAAGACCACTGCGAGGGGTAGACGAGCTTGAAATGTTTCGGGAGTGACCCGGAGACGGCTTTTGTGGAACGTGGTGCAGTGAGTCAACATTGTTCGCTGGCGTTGGCTGGGTGACGGGTGTTGTGACTTCACCAGGTTCCTCCTTAATCACAGGTGTATTTCCTTCTGCTTGATTGCGGATCTTTAACGCTGAAGCGGCAGAGCTAGGGACACGGCTCATGATTGGACTAATACCAGAAGTGCTTCCAGTATTGCTTCTTAGAAGGTCTGAGCTCGTGTCGTTTGATGTCGGTGTTGGCGGAACCGAGCGTTGGTCATCAGTACGAGTGAATGCCTGATCGACAACAGAGCGTAGACCCTGATCGTCCGACAGTGAATTGGCGGGGTGTTCCTGCTGGGAAGGGCTGGGGTCGGACTGGATGGTTTTGGGATCAAAGTTTGGTAGATACTCGCTCTTGCGCTCGGCGACTGTTTCCATGGGTTGCAGGGATTTTCCACCCTCATGAGCGAGCCCTGCATCATCCCGTGTTGGTGATGAAAGAGAGTCTAGGCTGGGTCGTGATGATTCTAGCGACCGACGTTCCTGATCTTCTTGGTGGCGCTTGTATATGTCTGCTGGTCTGATAAAAGGCAGCGGCTTATCAGATGCACTGCCGGTGCGCGGTCGTGGGGAAGTCGCTATCGGTGAACTTGCCTGGCCTATACTGCTTTTGCGCGGAGGGAATTGGGATTGTGAGGGGGGAGTGAAATCGGCAGGCACCTGCGACATACGCGTCTGCAATGGCGGAGGCACTGCAGAGGGGCTGAAATCACCCCTCCCACCCATATCATAGCCTGCGCCAAAGGCATTACTATCTGGCAGCCCCTGGGGTTCTCTATGTGGCTGGGCATGAGCATGCTGGGGCTGAGGAATGGTCGATGAGAATGCGCGTTGTTCCTCTCCACGCTCAAACGAATTCCTGCGGGCTTTTGGTAGCGGTGCTTGGAGGGAGGGGTCGGTGAAGCTTCGTGAGGGCTGCTCTGTGCGCTGGGCGTAGTATCGCTGCGCAGGAGGTTGGGCATTTTGGGGTTCCTGGTTCACGCCGTATTCGTCATACTCGTCGTAGTCGCCCCAGTCGTCGCCGTCGTAGGCATTCTTCTTTGCCTGGACCCATTTCTTTGTTTTGGAGCGATTGACATTTGTCTTGAAGGACACAGGTTGGCCGGCAGAGAAGGGCGAGGCGCTGCGATCGCTACTACGAGTCAGTCTCGCTGGAGGGATTGCGCAGAGGAGCAAGACCTACAGCGGTGACCTGGCTTCCTCCTGGAAGCGAAATGGTCCAGCCATGGTGGCGGACAGTCAAGTTGCGTGGATCGGCTCTGCACAGCACAATATAGCGTAGGGCTCTAACCGGGGCTAAGCCCAAAGCCAGCTATGTCCAACAGCGCATACAATGGTAAGAGGGGACTGGGCGACTATCTGCAAAGACAGACTGTCCAACAAGAAAGCTGTCTGTTCGCCGCGCGAGTGCAGGCGTGGGTGAGTAAAGGCTGGGACGCAGGGAGAGAGGGGACTGTGGATGGCGCCGACCGAGCTTCCGGGAATGATACGTACGTCACCTGGTGCGCACGACCAAGGTTCAATCTCACCAAACACGACAAATCGGCTCAAACGCTAATGGCAGGGAGTCGCAATAGGGGTCAAGGATAAGCATAAGAAAGTTGAGGAGCGGGACATTTATTTGCTCGGCTTGTGCTTGCCAATTCTCTCGCACGACTTCGGGGTGATGCAGCGGCGGGGCGCAGGGCTGGGCGCCACAGCAGTCGTCCCTGGATGGTTGTGGCGCAGGCAGCCATAAAAGGAACCGTCCGGACAAGGGCCCCTCTTGGAACTAACACGTTCCCCCAACCGCCCTCGACTTTCCATTCCATCCCAATTTCCCCCATAATCCGCCGCGTTTCCTCCCACAAGCGAGTCCGATTCTGCGCCGCTCGCCATCACACATTGAATACTACGCTCAACCCCATAGCCACCAGCCGATACACGTAGCCGCTACCCGAGCACCATTGCCAAGTCGCAGCGCCTGGCCACCCTGCCGATACGCGGCGCGCTGCCCCTTTCCGCCTCGACGCCTCGACTCCCCGACTTGTCTACACGTTGTAATTTGCAGGCACCATGGCCGTTTCCATCCAGGACCGTACCGAAGAATTTCGCTCCATTCTTGCACAGGCCCAGCGGCGACAGGCGCAGTCCAAGACGGGCGCGCAGAGGCAGTCGCTTTTGACGGCACAAGAAAAAGCCCAGGCAAATGCCAGTCCGCGACGTCAGCGTTCCGAGTTTGCGCGCAATGCCGCAGAGGTTGCGCGCGGTGTCGCAAGCACAATGCAAAAATTGGAGCGACTATCACAACTAGCTAAGCGCAAGACGCTCTTCGATGACCGCCCGGTCGAGTTTGACGAACTCACCTTTGTTATCAAGCAAGACATGTCTGCGCTCTCCGGGCAAGTGCAGGCGCTACAGCAGATGAACGCAAAACTACACCCCAAGGCGAAGCCCGGCCTAGACCAAGAGGGCGAGCACAACAGTAATGTCGTCATGTTGTTGAAGGACAAGCTGCAGAATGTGGGCACAAACTTCAAGGATGTGCTCGAAGTGCGGACCAAGAACATGCAAGCGTCCCGTTCACGGACCGAACAGTTCCTTTCCTCGGCTGCGCAGCAGTCCCACAGCAGCCTCGAGCCGGGCAGGACAGATTCGCCACTTTATCAGACACCCCAGCGAGGACGATCACCAGGAGGATTTGGTAGAAACACCAACGCAGTGCAACAAGACTTGCTTTCTCTTGAGCCATCTGGATCGTCTGCCCTTACGCGAGGAGGAGCGCAATCAGACGCGCAGCTACTGCTCATGGAAGAGGCACAGCCACAGAACATGTACATTCAAGAGCGAGGGCGAGCCATTGAGTCGATTGAGTCGACGATCCAGGAACTCGGTGGCATCTTCAGCCAGCTTGCACAGATGGTGTCTGAGCAGGGAGAGCAGATTCAGCGAATTGATGCCAACACCGAGGATGTTGTAGACAATGTCGAGGGTGCGCAGCGAGAGCTGATGAAGTACTGGAGCCGGGTGCAGGGCAACCGATGGCTCGTGGCAAAGATGTTTGGCGTGCTAATGATCTGTAAGTGTGGCTTTGGCACTTGACGTGGGTGACAGCAAGCTAACATGGCGCAGTTTTCCTTCTTTGGGTACTCATTTCTGGTTAACGTTGTGTGTAGGATTTTCCATGTTTGTGCATGACTGGCGTTGGGAAAGAGGACAAGAGATGATGCTGGGTTGGTCTGGCATGGCTCTTAGCGGAGCCCTTGTCGCATGAGGCGTTGAGCTTTTGTCATGTGTGCTTTTCTATCTTCTTGTATTGATTTCATTTCTATCCATGTGGGCATTGACGAGTTCACGCTGCATGAGTGGTCCACGTAGAAACTTGTAATAGACTGTACTGTACGGTGCTCTTGGCCAACCTGTGCAATGGTGTTGGACACTTTATCTTGTATTTTATTTTATTTTTAGCCGAAGACGTGTCTGGGGTACGGTATAGGTGTATGTACTTGTGTACATAGGTATAGCTCACTCTGTGGGTAGCCGTCTGTGCACGGGGATTTAGCTGCATATGTAGGTATGGCGTGCGGGCCGGTATGTCTAGTCGCTTAAGTCGGCAGTAGCACCATGGCGACGCCCTGAATAGATTTGCGTCACCTGAGCATGGTACTTGAGAGAGTGTGCAGGTAGAGTGTGTAGAGCAGGTAGATGGAGAGATGGAGAGATGGAGAGGCGCGAATGAGAGCAATACGGAAACATGCAGAGTCGGCCTTTGGTGAGGGGCGTGTGATTGGCTGGCGGTGACGGCATGCTACCGAGGCTAGGGTGGTCGCTGTATCACCAATGTCGCGAACAGAGATGGCATCGACTGTACATGGTAAGCCGGCATTGGCATTGGCATTGGCGGCGAGACTGCAGACTGGTGGTTTGGCGGTGGGAGAAGAGCCGGGTCGCTCAGATGCAGCGGGGTCCAAGAGGGAAAGTGATGGACGCGTCGCTGATAGCAAGTGGTGATTGAGTTGACAGTTGACAGACGCCACGGCACGGCTCATGGGCCGGGAGGGCTAGATGGAGTCAAGTGGGCATAGCCTTATGGCAGCACTACGCCTATCGCAAGACGACGACCGGGGGTGCGGACAAGATGACGACAAGAGACGGCGCCACGTCGGCCGGACGGGTACATGGATTCGTCGATAGGGTTTCACCGTGGCCCACTGGCGGCCGGCTTGGGGCTGGCAGGGCATGGACGGGCAATATTGCGTGGGCTGGGTGGATGAATGCGGATCAGAAGCGTAGCGACGTGAGCAGATAGGCATCTCCACCCCCCAAAAGCAAAATGGCGGCCTCGAGACGGGCGAGAAGGGCGAGAAGGGCGTGGGCCAGGTGGGCAACTCGCCCGTCCCCTGCTGGCCAACCCCCCATGGCCACACTCGCATCAGCAGGCACATGATCATGGGTCACCTTTTCCTACATACTAGCGCCCTGCCTCACTAGCATACATCCTCACACCGACTTGACGGCTTTGACGCCTGACCCGCCCGTCTGCCAGTCTGCTAGTCAGCCAGTCTGCCAGTCTGCCAATTAATTGCGCCTCTCCCGGGTCGTGGGTGTGCGTGTGTGTGCATGTGTGTGCATGTGTGTGTGCCTGTGTGCTGGCCCAGCGACTCGACCACTCCTCAACCACTCGACCACTCCTCGACCTCGACCGCGCCTGCTCTGTCCAAAGAAAGACAAGGCCGCCACCGCCTGCATGTCTTGGGTGCCACCACCTCTTTCTTCCTGACACCACTCTCAAACACCCGCTCACTGCATGCATGCGCGCTCCGGCGCAATGGCTGACCACATATGGCACCACCCCCCAGCCCTCACCACCGCTCCCATCTTCGACGACCAAGTCTACCTGTCCGAGGCCCTGGGCCTGCCTGCCCACCAGACAGAGGACGACCTGGATGCCGACCTCGTCGTGCTTGCCCGCGAGGCCGGCATCCACGATCCCTATCGCTTCATGCCCTCGCCAGCAACAATCTCGCGCGCCATGTCCACCATGACGCTCGACAGCGACCAGACAAGTTCGCGCTCCATGCACTCCCAGGAAACCCAGTCTACAGGCTTCACCTCGGCGCCTTCGCGTACTTCTCGGGACCATGTCTACGCTGCTGACTACATGTCGGCCAGGAGGATGCCTCCAGCGCCTGCCCAAGCGTCTCAGTTGGCGGAGAATTGCCAGCAACCCATTGAACGTGTAGAGCCTGCCACTCGACCCTCACTGTCTTCCAGCACGACCGCTTCATCTTCTGTGACTTCCAAAGCATCCTCTTCCCAGCAGGAGCATACCCGCAAAAAGCGAGGTTCAGCCCTGTTCTCCCTGCTTCGGAAAGAAGCGAGATACTTTGCTACCACTGGCCTGCATTCACGTAATGTCACGACGTATGCTCATAGTTGCCCTTCGGCATTGCACCGCAAAGCCCCGGCCAAGTCTTTGTCTGCAGAGTCAGTGTGTGGCCATTGTGGAAGCCCATTGCGACGCTCAATATCCGAAAATGTGCTGACAAAAAGCGAGCTGGGTCTTCTTGAAGGAGTTGATACCAAAGCATCAGCTGTATCACTAGACGCATCGTCATCTCCACATGAGGGTCCTCAGATTTCCAAGACAGCTTCTTCAGAATCCAACATGACAGCTCGACATGTGGAGCAAGTACCAGCCAGCACTGACTCGGCCCTAGCGTTAGAAGCGTTCAAGAGCTTCAGAGTTCAGCAAAAGGAACAGTGGGATAGGGTCTCGACGTTTGAAAGTATTCAAAGAAAAGCCCTCGCAGCACACTACCGATGCGAACTGGAGCGACTGCAAGTAAATTATGAAGCCCGTAAGAAGGAACGCATGAAGCAGGTATGTATACAATTTGCCAGCTCTTAGCATGTCAGTTCACTCACAGCATACAGCACGTAGATGATGTAGATCGATTAGAGGAACGGCAAGTGTTAGCTGAACACGATCTCCTAGAAGCCCAAGCCCAGGAAACACAAAACGTAGCAACAGCATTAAAGTACATCGAGGCCTACTGCCTCGGCACCAACACCTCACAGGAGCAAACCCACACCGTAACCGAAGACGACTTCAAAAAGCTCTACCACCAAAAAATGCTCCAGCAAGGCCTCCCCCGAAAACACACCAGCGCCATCAACGTCCTGCGAGCCCGCCAAGAAGTCGACTTCAAGCGCCGCCTCGAAACCCAAGAAGCCGAGCTCCGCCAACTAGACCTCGACCTGAAAAAAGAAGAATCAACCAAAGAAGCAGACTACAAAAAAGATGTTGAGCACCTTGAAACCTTGATTGAATCGCGTAGACGACGACTCCAGCAGAGATGGGAACTCCGCTTTGAAATATGGAGACTCGACTGGCAGAATCAGCACAAGACGACGATTCTGCAGAAGCTGGAACATGAGGAGTGGCCGGATAGGGCAAGAGAAGGCGAGGGACAAGAAGATGACGTGATTGTGATTCCTGATGCGAGTGCTTTGGCGCAATTCGCTAAAGTAGCTGCGTAAGGGAAAGTTTTTAGTCAACTTTTGTTTTTGCTTTTTGTTTCCCCGTTGCAAGTTTCTCTATTTCCCCCTTCCCCATTGTTCGATCTGCATGATCCTCGCTTTTGCTTTTTTTTCTCTTTTCCCCAACATGGGGAATTAGTGACGTACCGGGGTGTTCACGCTTTCTTTTTTCCTTCCATTTTATACCCCTTCTCCCCCCTCCCCCCTTTTTCTTTCTGGTTCTCTCCGAGTCAGTTTCCATAAGCGTGGCGTTTTTTTCTTTTTTTTTCTCTGGAAACTCACGTTATGGGGGTGGGGGGGTTTTATAAGCCCATTAAGAAATCTTGTTTTTTTTTCTCTTTTCTTTCTCTCTTCCAAATATGGCTCATGGGGGCTTGCATATTTGGGTTCAGCTGGGGAAATACGAAGTCTGAGGGAGATTTTTTTCTTCTTCTTCTTCTTCTTCTTCTTCTTCTTCTTCTTCTTTCTTCTTTCTTCTTTTTCTTTCTCCTCTCTTTCTCGAGAACTGTTAACGGCCGTCGCTAGTTTACTATATATACCCCTCCCCCTTCCCTTCCCCCCCTGTCCTTCTGTCTCTTTTTTTTTTGGGGGGGGGGGGGGGGGTTCTTTAGCCCGCCGCTTTGGGTGTGTACTTGTGAGCGATTAGAGTGGATGAATGAAACGTTTATGTAGTCGATACATCTTCTTCTCTGTTTTCAGGTCAGTATTGATGTAGAGATTACTTGGTTCGCGCAATGGACATGGAGAGAGGAATATACATGTATGTACATATGGAATCCGCATATACGTGTACAGATGACAATGTGTAATGGAGAGTAGTGGAATAAAGACAACTTTTTTTTCATTTTTTTGGTTTGAATAATCGACAGGGTATCTCTATGTGTCATTAAACATATCTTCACATTTCCATCATGACAACAGGTTCGGGAGAGAAAGAGAGAGAGAGTAAGAAGCAATCGTGTGCACCCCCATGGTCACCTTAACCGCGAGTAACGTCGCTATTATACTGCTCGACCGGCACAAGCATATCCCACTGCAGCTCGCCCTGAACATCAACCGCCGGCGGCAAATCAGCCAACCCCATGCCCAAATCCATCTCCGCCTCTTCGTCAGCAAGTCCAAGGTGATCAAACTGCTGGTTGAAACCCCCGCCTCCACTCCCCAAATGATGCAAGCCCTTGGGATCCGGCTCAGAACAAGGCAGCATAGGCGTATTCGAACCATTAGTGAAGTACGGGCCAGGCGTTTCCGGCATACTGGGCGTGGCGGAATCAGCAAACAAATTCATCGACTCGTCGAAGCCACCAATCCAGAACTGGCCGCCAGTCATGGCATCGCGTTCTAGAATCTTTTCTTCCATTTCGTCGTCGGACAGGTGGTGCTCGGCGCGTAGGTGGCGCCGGAGATCGCGATCGAGGTAGAAGCAGTAAGCGCAGTTTTCGACGAGGCAAGGTATGTCGCGGTCCTTTTCGTAGCCCACGCCCGTGAGCATGGTGAGCATCGAGGCTTCTGGTTTCTTTTTCGATTTGGCCGCCTGTCGTAGCTGCTTGCGGTTGCCGAGGTTGAGATGGTGTTTTCGGATGTGCTGGTCTAGTGAGGACCTTGCTTTGAATGAGGCGCCGCAGGCATCTTGTCCGTTCCAGGCTTTGAGGTCTGCGTGTTTGGTGGTTTGCACGGCTTCTGCTGCACACACATAGTTGAATTGCTTATCGTGGACGTTTTGAATGTGCACTGTGAGGTTGTGCTTTCGATTGAACACGCTCTCGCAGCCCAGCCTCGGGCATGGGTACTGTCGCTGGTCTTGTGGGTCGCCATGTGCAGTTTCGAAATGCGTCTTGAGTGTAGATGCGCTCTTGAATTTCTGTCCGCACTCTATGCATACTGGTGGATGAAACTCAGCTGTATGTGCATCCAACTCTTCTTTGGTCGCAAATGACGGTAGTTGCTGTGTGTCTGTAGAGTCTGTCGGCATCTTGCCTTCGCTGGTAACGTCCACACACAACATGCAGAAATGACCTTGCTCTTGCGTCTTATTGTGTGATCGACCCACGTGCCGTTGCAATGCACCCTCAGTCTGAAACCCGCTTGTACACCTCTGACCTGTTTCCTCGTCCACATGGGTACAGACATATGGCTTAACTGCTAGATGCTGACTCTTGACATGTGCCTCGAGTGATTTTGCCTTTCTGAATGATTCATTGCAAGGCGGGTATTCGGTGCAGTGGAATTTGGACTCGTGGACATCCCTGTGCCTTTGTAGCCTGCCATTGGATGTGAAGCTCTTCCCGCAATCATTCCAATCGCATACGAATGTTCGTTCGGTTGCCGGATCGCTATGGGCATTCTTCAGATGGCGCTGCAAATGATCTTTGCGAGGGAATGTCTTATCGCATCCCAATTCGGTACAAGCAAATGGACGTTCCTTATTATGGCTTCGCATGTGTGTTTCGAGACGGCATGGTCGGTTGAATCGCTGGGAGCACATAGGGCAGACATAGTTCCATTGCCGGCGGGCTTCGCTCTCTGCCCTCAATTTCCCATTATCGGTGTAGTTGACTCTCCAGTCTGCTGAATCGTCTGAAGCGTAGTCCAGCTCTGTGGTGTCCGCCGCGGCACCTCCGAACATGTTAGGTTTTAGACATTATGACATTGTGGTAGCCATACCTATTTGAGACCTTTTTGAAGGTGTATAATTGTCCTCGTCCGTGACCTTGCGCTTCAAAGCCATGGTGGTGTCGAGGATATGGCAAAAGGCTGCTCGTAGATGCGGAGGGTATTAATTGAAATTCAGGATCCACTGTATTTTGGACGCGCCAAGATTTCACGCGCTAGTGCCTGCGCCGGCCGGGACAAAGTCCAGAGCTTTCTTTCTTTGCCTGGCGCATCAGGTACACCACCTCACCGCAACACCGCCCGCCCGCAAAAGCACACCCGTTTGAAAACCCGCCTTTTGTTCTACAGGTTTTTACCGCGATAATGTCTGACAACGGTGACGACTACGATGGTGGTGCTGGAGATATGTATGTGCATCCATCTCTCAGTCGCAGAGTCTCAAGACCTGGATAGCCTCAGTAAACACGGCTGACATGAACAGCGATGAGCCTCTCATCGAGTTCGATGAAGAAGCTGAGCCCGATCTCATGGACGACGAGGACGACCACATGGGCGGCGGCGGCGAGGACCCAGACAACGCCGATCCCAACGACGACAACGTAGTGGTATCCGGCGATGCCAGCGCGGCTGCTGCAGCCAGAGAGGCAGCCAAAAACACTGTCACGAGCGAGAAAGACAAGAAGGTCCCCAACGACAAGCGCACAACCACGCCATACATGACCAAGTACGAAAAGGCGCGTGTGCTCGGTACAAGAGCGCTCCAGATCAGGTACGCGCAGGGCTTTTGACGCCTTGGACGCAGCAAGACTAACATGATCTTAGTGGAAACGCCCCGGTATTGATTGATGTTGAGGGCATGACGGATCCTCTGCAGATTGCTGCCAAGGAATTGCAAGAGAAGAAGATTCCGCTGGTTGTACGGAGATATCTGCCTGATGGTTTCTACGAAGACTGGACTTGTGAAGAACTCTTGACATAAAGGGGCAGTCTGTTGTGTTGCATTTGGCATGGAGTTTGATTTGCTGGTGAATTATCGGGCATATCGGCGAATGGAGTCTTATCTGAGTGGTTGCGCAATTATATCCCGAATCTCATCCGATTCCCGTTAAGTCCAAGCCTTCTCCGCCGCATATATGCGGACCCGCGGATCTGATTCCTATAACGAGCCAAAAGACTAGAGCAAGGTGGGGTAGCTAACGTAGCTATTCATTCCCCCCCGCACTAATTCCAGGCACAACGTCACTCCATGCGGCAGTTCACAAAACTTCTAAAGGCCCCTCGATTTGCATCTGTATTCCAACCTTCTGCACCGCGTTTTCCCTACCATACGTTGCGATCCAACATGTCTTTCGAAACTACCGCCACCATTGCCTCCTTTGGGGGCAAGCTGCTCAAGCTCAAGCACAAGTCTACAAGCACAAATACAGACATGGAGCTGAACGTGTTCCTACCGCCACAAGCGCTCAAGTCCGGCGCAAAAGTGCCTGTACTTTTCTACCTATCAGGTCTCACATGTACAGGCAACAATTGCTCAGAAAAGGGCTTTTTCCAGCACGGCGCAGCTCAGCACGGCATTGCCGTGGTATATCCCGACACTTCACCAAGTGCGTAGATAATGCAACAAACTTTCAAGCACCTTGCTAACCCACTATGTTAGGGGGTCTCCAGATTGCAGGCGAAGATGAGTCGTGGGACTTTGGCACTGGCGCAGGCTTCTACGTAGACGCTACCAAGGATCCGTGGTCAAAGGGCTACAACATGTATTCGTACATCACCAAGGAACTTCCCGATGCGCTCTTTTCGTCTTTCCAAGAGCTGGATTCTAGCAGAGTTAGCATTACAGGTCACAGCATGGGAGGTCATGGCGCGTTGACACTGGTAAGTCGGACATGACGCGATATTTCAACTGCCGGCACTGACCCCTGCTCCTAGTTCCTCAAGAACCCCGGCAAGTACAAGTCCGTCTCCGCATTCGCGCCCATTGCCAATCCGATCAACTGCCCATGGGGACAGAAGGCATTCAAAGGATACTTTGGCGAGGACCAGCAACAAAAGTGGAAAGAGCACGATGCCACTGAGCTTGTAAAGCAGTGGAAGGGTCCTCTAGAGATCCTCATTGATGTTGTACGTATCTCAGACTGTCAGGTTCGAGGTCATTTTCGCTGAGACATGCTAGGGTACCGGAGACAACTTCTACAAGCAAGGGCAACTACTACCAGAGAACTTTTTGGCGGCGGCCAAGGAAGCTGGTAATGACAAAGGCATCCAACTCCGCATGCAGCCCGACTATGACCACAGCTACTACTTCATGGCATCATTCGCTGACGAGCATGTTGCTTGGGCAGCAAAGCACTTGGGAGCGTAGTAAGTCTTGGTGATTCTTGTTGCTATCGCAGACTGCTCACGATCACAGAAGCGGTGCAGGCTTCAGAGGAAGGCTATAGAGCGGTAACAGCATTAGTCTGGGGTTAGCATGAGCTGGATGCGTGTGCTTGTTACGATCTAGCGAGGCCCACTCTTCAGCATAGATACTCGATTCGCAGGAAGCTACAGTTTCTCCACTGAACATTTACAATGAAGACTTTTTATAATACAAATGCAAAAGTTCGGCTACGGACCATTTTAGACTTGAACTGAGATTCCAAATTGCGTGATAGCCCTAGCCACGTAGAGTCCTGTGACAGGACACGCGATCTGCCAGTAATGTTAGGGAAGCAACGTCGGCGACTATTTTTGTGCGCACGTGTCATTCGGTGAAATTGGGCTGAGGACATCCCACCATGAAAAGCTGGCTTGGCACTCCCACTCCAGTCATTGCATAGCTCTTTTCGCTCACCACGACCAACAAAGAACCAAATTTACTTTTAATTTTCTCATACCAATACTGCTCTCTTGTGAATTCGAGACGAAGCTCGAACCACGTCTTTGACCACAAATCAGCCCTTGCACACGCCGTACGTCAGCCCCTCGTGCCCCGCCTCTCTGCCTTCACCGCTGTAACGCTTTCACGATGCAGGCTTCACGCCCTACTCTATGACCCAATAGCCGTCCAGTCGCTCGAATTTCTCCCTCACCAACTCCGATGCGCACTACATAATCTAGCACATATCCGCTCCTGACTTGTCACCTAAAACCTACCTGTCTGGCATCGAGCAAGCGGAGGCAATGGAGGAACAAGTATGTGTGCCCGATTGCCTTGCTCAACCAAATACCTTGCAAGCATGCTAACGCGGCCATGTTCAAGGTCGAAAATGCCATCCAGATTGCCGCCAACCCGACATCCAGCCAGGAGGTGCGCGGCCAAGCTATAGGGTACCTGGAACAGCTACGCTCAGAAGGCTCCGCATGGCAGGCAGCCCTTTCGCTCTTCACGCGCAATCCTCGCGCCACCGATTTCGTCCGTCATACCTCGCTCGATCTCGTCAACAATGCAATCCAGGAACACCGCCTGGATGAGCAAAGCACCACATACATCAAAGACACCCTCATGAACCACATCCGCCAGTCCTATGTGCCCGGAAGTGGGGCTGCGGATACAAGCCATATTCAGAACAAGCTGATGCAGACTATCACATACCTTTTTGTCGCCTTATACCCGTCTTCATGGCAATCTTTCTTCGACGATTTCCGTGCCCTGGCTGGTGACCAGGCTGCGATTGGTAGCGTAAACACAGCTACAACGTTCCTATACCTCCGTATGCTTGGCCAAGTCCACGATGAGATTGCGGATCAATTGGTCACACGTTCGGAATACGAAAAGAAGCGGAACACAGAACTGAAGGATCTCATTCGACAGCGAGACGTACAAAAGATTGCGGCTTCCTGGCAAGAGATCCTCGGCAAGTGGCGAGAGACGGATCTTGGGCTCGTGGAGATGTGCTTGAGGACTATCGGACGTTGGGTTAGCTGGATCGATATAAACTTGGTTGTGAACCAGACTATGATCACCACTTTCCTGGAGATGGCTGGTCAGCAAGGTATCGCTGACCCTGAGAGTGCTGCTGGAAAAGTGCGCGATGCGGCCATCGATACCTTTTCAGAAATTGTTGGCAAGAAAATGAGTCCATCAGACAAGATTGAGCTGATTACTTTCCTAAATCTCGCTGAAGTTGTTGGTCAACTCATCAATAGTCCAGCTTTGGCTGAGTTCCACAGTCCAAATTACGACAACGACCTTGCAGAGACGGTCGCCAAGCTTGTTAACAACATTGTTTTTGACATTGTCAAGATTCTAGAAAATGAAACAGTCGAAGATCACATTCGGCAGCGCGCAGACGACCTCATTCGAATCTTCACGCCGTATCTCCTACGTTTCTTCGCCGACCAGTACGACGAAGTATGTTCCACTGTCATTCCATCCCTCACAGATCTCCTCACCTTCCTACGAAAACTGCAAAAGAAGACGGGCTCTGTACCCCCACAATACGCCGCTGTGTTGCCGCCAGTGTTGGACGCGATCATTGCAAAAATGAAATATGACGAAACAGCATCTTGGGGTGAAGAGGGCGAGCAAACCGACGAAGCAGAATTTCTGGATCTCCGGCGGCGTCTTCATGTTCTACAACAGACGGTGACCGCCATCGACGAGGCCTACTACATCGAAACGCTCAGTCGCCTAGTAAACGGAACATTCGGACGTTTGTCACAGGGGGACCAATCATTGAATTGGCGCGACCTCGAATTGGCCCTACACGAGATGTTTCTGTTTGGAGAACTCGCTATCCGGAACCAGGGACTTTATGCGAAGCGCGAACCTTCTTCTGCGGCCGCTCAACAGCTTGTTGTTATGATGAACAGCATGGTAGAGTCCGGCCTGGCAAACTATCCGCATCCTGCTGTTCAATTACAGTACATGGAGATTTGCGTTCGCTACTACCAGTTCTTCGAGCAGAACCCCGGACTCATCCCCAAAGTTCTTGAAAACTTTGTCAGTCTTACTCACAGTGAACACCTCAAGGTTCGCTCAAGGTCCTGGTATCTTTTCCAGCGTCTAGTGAAACATCTACGAGCACAATTGGGCAATGTATCTTACGATATTATCCAAGCGGTCGGAGACTTGCTCACAATCAAAGCCGAGCTGCCCGACAATTCAGAAGATGAAATGTCATCTGACGAAGAAGACCAATCCGCAGATGCGCTGTTCAATTCACAGCTGTTCTTATTCGAAGCTGTCGGATGCATCGCCTCATCAAGCACTGTTTCAGTAGAAAACAAGAAGTTGTACGCACAAACTATCATGGGCCCATTATTCGAGGATCTGCAGAAGACTCTTCCCCAAGCAAGGAACGGCGATGAGCGGGCTATACTACAGATTCATCACATCATCATGGCTTTGGGAACGCTAGCACGTGGTTATTCCGACTGGGTTCCTTCGAACAACAACAGCGCTGTGCCACACAGTGAGGTTGCAGACGAGTTTGTCAAAGCGTCCGAAGCTATCCTCGTCGCTGTCGAATCGCTGAACTCATCTAGCTCCATCCGTCATGCCGCACGCTTTGCCTTCTCACGTATGATTGCTGTTCTGGGCTCGCGATTACTACAGCAGCTACCATCATGGATCGAAGGCTTGCTGTCACTCAGTTCATCGATGGATGAGATCAGCACGTTCCTCAAGGTTCTTGGTCAAGTCATCTTCACGTTCAAATCAGAAATCGCTGGCATCCTGGATACTGTTATGAGTCCAGTCTTGCAGCGCATCTTCACCGCCTTAGCCGTGGTCCCTTCGGGCACAGACGACGAGATCCAGCTCGCTGAACTTCGTCGAGAATATCTGAACTTCATTGTTGTTATTCTCAATAACGGCCTCGGGTCTGTGCTCGTTAGTAACGGTAGGTTGGCGGATATGGAAAAGTTGTTATTTCACTGCTGACGTGACCAAGCAAACCAAGGGACTTTCGAACCCATCATTTCTTCTATTGAAACATTCGCACGGGATACGCAAGACTACCAAACGGCGCGCCTTGCGATCTTTGTACTCATCCGCATGGTCTCTGTCTGGGGAGGGCCTGACAAGGTCGGACCTGGCGCAAATGCCACACCTGCTTCACCTGACACCACACAAGCACCCTTGCCAGGTTTCGACAACTACGTAGTAGAGAAGTTTGCACCATTGGCATGGTCCATCCCAGCATCTCCAGGTTTCAACGCTAAAGATGCGCAAGCACGACAAGTGCTGTATGAGACAGCAAATCTCCAACACGAAATCATCAAGAAGGTCGGTGAATCATATGCGGAGCGTCTCAAGGGCGATCTGAGTGGCATGGGTATTGGCGAGGACATTCAAGACCAGTATCTGCGCACGCTCGCAGGCTCATTCGAAGGCCCGAAGAAGGAGAAGGAATGGCGTAACTTTTATACCCAGTTTGTGGACCGCATGCTTGCGAGCAGGGCCTAGGCGGCTTGGGAGTCCCATTGGTTGTGTCGGCCCAAAGATAGAAAGAGATGGTCAAGGGCTATGGCGTCAATCAACTGTAAATGCTGTGAGACGGAGGACTGGGAAGGCATCATTCTGCATGGTAGCGGGCGCGAGGAACAACTTGTTTTCTGCTTGGGGGCATCATAGCCTTATTTTCTTGTGATAACCCTTTTTTCCATGTACTGTTCAAAGCTAGCTTGCGTTTCGTTTGCAGGAATGCGGTACTACCCAATATCAAAAAGACGGAAATTTTTGATTTCTTTTTTTCCTTAATCAAATGTGGGTATTGAGGTGATTATGGGAATTGAACGGGGTATCTATCATCTCTTTGTTTCACATTGAAAGAAAAGAAGAAAAAAGCACCATGAGAACACAACCCACCATCATACTCATCTATTTGTTTTTCTTTCTAGATTGCTACGGGGTATTTTGCACAATTAACCATGAGGACCTAATCGTCATATATTTGAAGCGCCGAATTTAGCCGTAGCAGCGGCTTTGGGAATGCCGATGCCAGCGAGAATGGAGTCGAGCAGTCCAGGCTGATTTCTCAGCATATCCCACTCGCCTTGGTTCTTAACCATCATGGTACCAGCTAATGTCGTGCCATTGAGTGCGACGAAGCCAATCTCACTGCCGTCGTCGCCGTGGAGCATGGTACCTTCTGCGCGACGGGGCAAGATGACCATGCCTGCCGTGGTCATGGCGAGATTATAGCTGATTGGTAAATCGCCGTTTTCAACTGGGTGCAAAGCGAGCTGATCTGGCTGTGACGAGACGAACGCCTCAACCGACGCTTTTGCCTCTTTGTAGAGCCGGTTATACATGTCAAGTAGCTGGGAGCCTGAGGGCTCCGAATCGAAGGGCTGGGCAAAATGTGTGAAGGGGAGCCGAGGGTTCTGTAATAGTCCGACTGGAGTATCTGTGACTAAGTCTTAGCTGTTTCGAAAGGGGACGGTATCTGTGAGAACTTACCTGGTGGATTGGCTTCCTGGCGCGATAGGATGAGGTCTATGAGCATGCTCCAGCCATTGGTCTTTTCGGTGTCGCGCATGCGTTCGACTGGCAGGAACTGTAGGTGTCGGTGTGGCTGAGATGCACCGCTATGCTCTCCCGAGTTGAAGAAGGCGAGAAGGCGTCTTTGTGCCCCGTCTCCCGCCTCGTGCCATGCCTTTAAGCAAGCATATGTCGCTTCCAGATCATCTTGCTCCAACACGTGTGTTTGCTTCTTGTTTAGCTTTGTGGCGAGAATGAAATGCTGAGATATTATCGGGAACTTGTTGAGTACGAGAAAATGCGTGGGGTTCGTGGTTGGGATGTCAATGAGGTGTAGTGCTTCTGGCGGGTTTTCGAAGGGGTCAATCTTTTGCTTAGGTGTGGCGCCCGCGAGTTTCGGCAGAGGTTTCTTTGCTAGCGATGGACAATAGCGCAATTGAAACTAAGTCTTTATGAGCTGTATGTTTGGCGCAATGGCTTGTATATGACTTGCGGGAATGCCGTTCGACGTGCGGATGAGTGCCACATCTGTTGGCGAAAATATCAGATCTGACGAGGCTTTTGCAGCTTCGAATTTGCGCTTCACAATGCTCGGGAGAGCTTCTGCTAATTCGAGTGACATTCTCATCAGGGAGGGTGGAACAATGCAGGTGTGGAAGGTGGGGATGATTTAAGCTTTGGGTTCGGAGTTAGCGGTACTAGGAAGGTACGTACGTAGCGCGAATGTCAACGTCACACTTGAGCCCTACGTTCTTCCATCATCAACTTACTACTGACAGACGAACCACTATCATCCTTACACATGCCCATGACAAGCTGCCTTCTAGATGTCTTCTAAGACTTCTTACATTGCAAAGGGGTATAGTATACAGGATCCTGCTCAATAAAACCTCCTGTGTGGCAACATCCAGTCGCCTCGCTTTGCAGCTTTCCCATCTATGCAGTTGGGGCTGCCTTGCACCCGCAGAATGGTGAAGGGCGAAGGCTTCAAAAAACATTACAACCGACAAAATGACAATACATATTGGTACAAATCGCAAAGAAAAAAACTCCAGACATGACAAAATGGCACACACGCCAAGGGGTTATCGCTGGGCCTGCAGCAGCCCAGTGCCTCGCATCATCGTGCTTACTGCCTAGCAAAGGCAAAGGGGCTTCAAGGAGCCTCAAGTTGCAAAGCAAGAAAACCCCTCAAAAAAATAAAAATAACCTGACAGTCATCAAGTCTACCAGAGATGTGTGCCGTGTTCAGCACAGCCTCAGTCGTTTCGGATCTGCCAGTGACTACTCGCAGGCCGGATTCAACTCCAGCCACTTCCTCTTGCAAGTCGAATTGCCAAAGTGGTATGATCCGCCATTTTCCTCGATATAGTCGGCCACCTTCTTCCAAGAGACCTTCATTAGCTTCTGCTCAATGCTCAACGCGGATGGGTTCTGCAGATTGCTTTCGATGCGCTTCAACTCCTGCAGAACAGTCTCGTTCAATAACTCCGTCTAAGGAAGCATTAGTGAAGCTCTGAGGAGATGCCTGGGGCTTTCTTACATCAAACTTTGTCCACACGGGCTTACGGACACGGTCCCTCCGGTCTTTGGTCAAGGAGCGATAACGCCCCCTCAGAGTGGACTCTGCAGGATCCTCTCCGATCAACTTCTTTTTGATCTCTTTATATGTCTCACCCCTCTTCTTGCCCTCGATGAGCACTCGATCGTTGCGCTCGCGCTGGCCTTGCGTACTAGACCTACGGGGGACTTGCAATCGAGGCTGGACGTGATCCTGGGTGGGTGCAGCGTGCGACTCAGTACCTAGAGGTGACTGGGACTGCGTACCCCACATATGGTCTGTGGACGAGAGGTATTTCGGGTTAAACCACGGAGAAGCGCCCTGGTTGCTGTCATGCGAGTAAGAATGCTCAGGCGCAGATACCAGGCCCTTCCTGGGAATCTGGATAGTCTGTCCTCGTCCAGTATGGCCTGTGGAAGGAGCAAGGGATAGACCTAAACTACCCTCCATTTGCGGCATGTCACTGATTCCGGCATCAGCATAGTAGGCTTCGGGTTTGAGCAACGGCATGACCGTATTTGAAGAATACATCGGAATTGTACCCCAGTTGCAACTTGGTGAGGCTTGATCGGGCATTGGCTCTGGGCTGTAAGAGTTGTCGAACTCGTCGCTAGTGAAGCTCTTTGGCGATATGGACGTACGCATGACTGCAGTAGACAAGATGGGGTTTGCTCCTTGAGGCAGCCCACTCAAATGAGCCACCGCCCTTGTTGCCGGCACGGTATACCCGCAACCTTTGGGGGTGCCATTCTGGGTGCCAAGGTGATTGTACATCAGGTCACTGTTCTGGCCAAACTGGGAGTCCGATTGGCGCAAGATGTATGGCTCAACCTGTTGGCAGTCAAAAGAGGTTGAGACACCGGCTGCGCCACTCCAACTGCGGTCCGATGAGTATGCCATGCCGGGGCTCGAGCCCACAAGTGCGGTGCCTGATGGCTTGACATCGTCCGTTGATGCCGACTGCAATGGCCAGGGCTGACAATGCATGTGGCTGTCAGATCTATACTGGTCTGCCTGCATCGTCGTCAACCATGAGGGTGGTCCAATTCGATAGTCACTTACTAGCATTGACTGTGCCATGCTGAGATCCTGATGGCCGCTGCTGAAATGAGGCAAGGCTGCTGAGATTTGGTCGATGCAGGACAAGCAGGGTTGCGACAAAGAGCAGGATTGACGGAACAGAAAATGTTCGTCTATATTGTAGCGCTGGGAAAGTGCTGGAGCGTCCGTCATGGTTACGCGTGCGACAGGCGTCTCTTATGGCAATGACCAGGGCGCATCCAGTTACAACACGTGCCGAAATCGCAGTGAATGTCTAGTCAGGCGAAAGAAACGATTGCAAGATTCGGTACCTGTGAAGCGCACGCTGCTAGAATTGCGGGGTGGCGTGGATGCGTCGAGGTCCACAGGTATGTTTAGCATTCACTGCGTGACGCCGCTTCATTCGCTCAATGCGGGCGAGTGTCCTACAGGCGGTAAAATTGCGGGACTCTGAACAGTGTGAAGTCCTGCCAAGCCGTTCCGAAGACAACAATGATAATGTAATGCGTGGGATCTTTGGTGTGAATGGCCGGCGTCAAGTGCAGAAAGGCTGGCCCTGGTACCTATATGGTGCAATAGGAGGACAGCGCAAGGCACCTAGTCGGTACACATCATTAGCTCGCTAACTGAAGGGAGGATGTGTGAATGAGGTTTGCCTGACCACGAACTGCCACGAGATGCCAGAAGAACCGGAAGATGGGCAAATGCCGCGGCAGTGGTCGCATGAGCAGGTACAAACACTCAGGGTATCTCCTGGCGCACTGTGACTCGTGGGACGAGTCTCCTGGACAGCGAAGAAGGAGAAAACAACAGTAAAATGACAGCTGGACCGCACACTAGCAAGACAGAACGCATAGACGAAGCCGAAGCCAAGCGATGAAACAAGCCCAATTACATGAGAGTGTAAGCATGGGGGTTGGGGTGATGGTCGACACGTTTATATTGTAAGACAGTCCCGACCTGCTGCGCCTGAAGCTATGAGACTCGCGTTTGAAGCACTCAGCACCCACGCCCGATGCCCATGTCCCATTATACTATGGTGGACGGAAAGGCAGGGTCTGGGCTTTCGGGTAGACCCGCTATGGCCTGTAGTCACAGAGCCATGAAAGCTACGCAACAACATGGCGGAAATGTGCAGCAGGTAGGCTGTGAAGTGAGCTGTGCTGGCTTGTTCAGCACACAGAGGCAGAATCTGGAAGCAATCTTGATGTCGCTCAGAAAGTGGCACTGCTGTCCTAGCCCACTGACGTCTCCAACGTGGCTAGCTGCGGACAGGCAAATACTAGCAATCTTGCAGAGATATGGACTCAGCCCTCTCCAGCGGGCGGCTGGCATACCTACGATTGCGATGGCTCAAACGTCAGATCGAGTAAGGATTCGCTCGTCTGGGGCCAACTGAGCTGGCGGGAAATGTTCTACGTCGTCTTGTTTGGCTGATGCGCAGAAGCGAACGGTTGACTGCATGACCTGGCTTGGCAGCAAGCAGTTCCGCCAGATAAACCAGTGGAAGAGCATACCAGAGGCCATAGCATCTGGAGATGCAGGTACGTATGACTTCTGATGCCATGGTGTACGCCGGGTCGACGGGAGCCTTGTGCGTACCAGACATGTCGTCAACTATGCTAACATGTTACACACGAAGCTTGCAATCACCTTTGGATCGGCACACCATCCCCTGCGGCAGCAACACTACTCCTGTCCATTACAGTCTCATACTTCGATTTCTGGTTGGCCAAAGGCCGCAAAGCCTGTATGTGTATCTATCAATACCTAACCCGATGCCGACAACGCCCCTCTGTGCTTCGACGCCCCGTCATGACTAGACAGTTACTGCCAGATTAACGCACATACATATGTATACCGGCCTACCCTCCCGCCTCGCCTGATAGCTCCATACCACCGGCAGGCTGCAGTCTTACGGCCAACAGTGGCTAACGCGACGGTCGTTGTACAGAACGTGTGAGACATGGCCCTAGCATGCCCGGCATGCCGTCTCGGGTGGCGTGCGGCGCCACCTTGCCTGGTCGCGGAGACTTTATCTTGCATATTATTGCATATTTCTGGGGAAGTTCGTATCCGCCTCCGGTGGCCACACGATCCACTTCACAACAGCGACAGTGCAGCATGCATAGGCAGTGCGAGGGTATAGGAACCAGAGAGAAGATGTATACACACAGGCGGGGTAAGGAGAACGTCTGACTAGAGAAAGAGAGGCAAAGATGCAATTTGAAATAAGAGGGACCACATCTGACATGAACGACATTTGAACTGATGTCGCAGGATTGTCTGGATTTACAGCTATCACAGCCCGTCATGCGGCTTCGCGCCTCGAGCACCAGCGCCCTATCGTGATTCCACCCATGCGCCGACCCATTCACAAGCTTTGCAGAATACTCTACATCAGATTTTTGCCTTCTGATTACCAGGCGGCAGCAGTTCAACGTCCTTCCACGGTAACCCGAGAAAATCCCACATGTAAGGAAACCTAGACGGCACGTCTGTCAGCATACCTGGTAACTCTCTACTGATAGTCTGCCGTGTTTCATAACCCACGCTTTTCTGGTTGCACACTATAGCAGCACTTGTCCGGGGCGGGAGCCTTGCTGAACACGGATATACCCGTCACCATTCAGCTTTCCCTGTTCCCCGCGAACAGGCATACAAAGTGCGGCAAGGGGCCGAAACAATGAGGGGATGGGCGAAGGGACACTCACCTGTCACTACCAAAGAAAGGTTCTTCTTTCCCTTTCGAGTTCCGGACAGAAAACCATGGACAGCCAAACGCACCTTTATCAAGTGCCTCCTTTGTATTGTCGTTGAGACGCTGCTTGAACGGCGCGCTGCTTGCATTTGCCAATACATCCCGGACTTGGTCTTCCTTCAGCCGCAGCTGAAGCACCTCGGCAAGGACCTCTGGTTCACTGACATCTTTCTGGTTCTTCCACATAGCAGTAAAGATGTCAAGGAAGATGCTCGCAAAATGCTCGGCATGTGCCTCTTTCACATAGCACAGCGCCCGCTGTGGTAGCAAGGACATGATGGGAAAAAATGGCGGGACGCTGAGCTCGGGCACTCCAAAGTATTCTTTCGCCCGCTTGGTATCATACTTGCTATACTTTGCCTTTGCCTCGAGGGTCCACGGAGGCTTGTTGCCTAAGTCTCAGTGTCAGCATCCATACTATCGGCATGGACCAGTCTCTGCGGGCGCTGGTACGGTGGGGACCGGGCAATGCCTACCGCTGCCGACATTGATGCCGCCTAGGAATACGGGTACTATACTGTCAAAAGCTAGTCAGCCATGTACTTGCTTTTGGTAGAGGCGTGATGCCGTTGGTCATGTTTGAGGTCGTCGAATCAAGGTAATTTCACCGCGGCGCCACAAGATGGACTCACTCGATTTCGATATTGTGTGCTTCGAGAACCGATCTGTTTCGCTCAAGATGAAGTAGAGCGAAGTATGAATACGGAGATACTATGCGATGCGCAATTAGCATGTAACGTTAAACACAGCAGTGTTTCCAGAGACAAGACCTACCGCAGTCGAGATAGCACGTAATCTTGCCCGACATTTTCGTGATTTCTCCGCTTTCTAGTGTTGACGAATCAGTTGTTAATCGCAACGAAGTACATTCCATCACGAAAGTTATGAGCATCGCCCGTCGGCGTGACGTGACCCTGGCAGTCTTGGCTGCCGAGGTTCATCAGAGCTTATCATCAGTAATCATCGCCTACACCACTCCACCTCTCCGCACGCGTCGAAACGGTAAATGCCGATACCCCGGATTTCGTGCACGACGCGTCACTATTGGAACTACGGATAATTGGTCCGATTTCAACACCGAGGCCGCTCGCATTTCATTGACTTTTCGATTATAAATCTGGGAATACACCGATTCTATGTAACGGCCGTTTGCCCATGTGCTATTAAAGCAAGGGCAATAAGCTTGATATTCTGTTCATCCTCAGTAATTAGTATTTTGAAGCAAGTAAAGAAGAAGAATCATGCCCGTGTCTACCAAGCAAGTCGCGCTCGTTGTCGGTGCCTCTCGAGGCATTGGTCGCCAAATTGCTATCGACCTGGCTAAGGATGGCTACGCAGGTAAGAGAGCAGACATAGAAATCCAACACAAGATATCTTGAACCACCAGCCCCAAAAGAAAGGAAAAATATCGAAAGAGATGGGTCAGAAGAGAAGAAAAAAAAGCATCAGCTAACCCACAACCACCACCACAGTCATCGTAGCCGCAAAATCCACCTCAGACGCCTCAACTACCACCCCCTTCCCTCCCGACCCCAACTCCCCTACCTCCACCATCTCCACCGTCGCCCGCGAAATCCGCGAAGCAGGCGGCGAAGCAACCCCCATCCCAGTCGATACGCGGAACTACACCAGCATCGAATCCCTCGTGACCACCACGCTCTCCACCTACGGCCGCCTCGACGTACTCATCTACAACAGCGGCGCAATCTGGTGGTCCTCGGTAGCCAAAACCCCCATGAAGCGATTCCAGCTCATGCAGCGCGTGAACGTCGAGGGGCTCTACGGCGTCGTGCAAGCGTGCCTGCCGCATTTCCAGCAGCAAGACGGGGGGTGGCGGGGCAGAATCGTAGTGGTTAGCCCGCCGATTTACTCGAGGTTTTTCCGCGGCAAGACGGCGTATGCGGTCGGGAAGGTGGGCATGTCGGTGCTTACTATGGGGCTTGCTATGGATTTTCAGCGCGAGGACAAGACGGGCATGGCGGTGACGAGTCTCTGGCCGGCGACGGCGATTGAGAGTGCGGCGACGAAGAATCTAGCAAGGGATGAGGCGCGGGAGTTGAGGACGCCGGGCATTTTTTCGGATGCGGTCAGGGAGATTGTGAAGGCGCCTGTTGAGCAGGTTAATGGGCGGTTGTTGCTTGATGAGGATTTTCTGAGGGAGAGGGGGGTCACGGAGTTTGAGCGGTATAGTGTTGTGCCGGGCAGTAGGCCGAGGAGGATTATGCCGGAGGTGTTTCCGGATTTGAGGGTTAAGGAGCAGGATGATGAGGGGAAGAGGATGGATAGTACGGTTTTGAGGGCTGCGGCGAAGTTGTGAGGGGATGGATGGTTGGGGGTGGAAGGGAAGGTATGTTTGTTGTTGCATTCTTTTTTCATGTTCAATTGAATCGTTGTAGAATACACAGTCGAATATCTGCACGAGAAATGAAAAAAAAAAGCTAGTTTTGCTAGGAGGAGATAGCGGAGAGAGGTAATTGTACTATGAAATCTGTATTAGCTTCCCCTATCGCACCCCTTAGGTCTACATCCTCCACCTCCTTCACTACCACTCATTCCCTCTCCCCCTTCAACATCACCACAACCTATCAAAAAGTGCATTAACCACAATTCATTATTAGGCTCCCTATCCAACCATGTTGATTCATATCCAAACACGAAAACCTCCCTCCCTTCAACCCCCCGCCCTCACCAACACCAACTAACCAACAAATAATTATGTCCCGAATATTAAAAAAAAAGATGCCCAGCCAAACACCATGCTTGCTGAAACCCCGCAGAAGTCCTCCAAATCCCAAAAGCACATGAAACAAAAAAAAGAGCAAAGCCATTACTAATACAGGGAATTTGATTCAACTCTCGCAATACACATGCAAACTCAATGTCCATTAGCTCGGGGTTATCTTAAAGCCAAGACCACCCCTATTGCCCCAAAATTCCAGAGGAGAGAGGTATATATATAGACATGCTCAATTAGACCAGAAAAAAAGGAGATTTTTCTCTTGGTGGTAGGTGGGCGCGGGGAGGGAATTCCTTCATATAAGAAAGGGTATATAATTATCGAGCAAAAAAGAGCGCGCGCGCGCAGACAAACAGACAGACAGATAAGACAACAGCGTCTATATGAGGAGGAGGATGATTGGTGAGTTGGAGCGGTGGGCGGAAAATAAAAGTATGCTTCGCTTTGTTAAAAAAACATATGCCATGCTGATCAGATTAAAATTGCGCGACGAGCGTTGCGCGCGTACCAGGATAAAAGACAAACGGGTTTCTCTCCTAATCGACCGGGGGAAAAAAGGGACCAAAAATATTCATGCATGAGGTATCCGGTTTCTCGCAATCTCTCTCTCTTGTAAAGTAACAAGGGTTGCCTGCCTTGTGGACAGGAGGTGGTCCATCGTTCATCTAGTACAGACGTCCTCGACTGGCCTGGCTCGCTCGGCTGGGGGAGGTCCGGCTTCGCTCATCTTCCTCTGGTACATCACTCAACCTTGTCGGATGGTGATGTCTCATGCCCACCCATTCGTCACCATATCCATCGCCGCTGTAGTCCGGCTGACCTCCAGCGGTAGCGTAACCCTGGCCGTGTGAAGATGACGCACTTGAAGTCGTTGCATAGCCACCCTGAGATGTGGCAGCTGAGCCGTAGTGTTGCAAATGCTCAAGCTCACGTCGACGGGCGTCTTCTACGTCGTATTCGTCAGAGACAGGCGACTGGATAGACCGAAATGGAATACGGCGACCCGAATCATCGCGGACATAGTTGCCTCTCTCGTCAAGGACAAACTCGACATCAGCTTCCGACTCTTCTGCTTGAGATGTAACGTAAGACTGTACGTCCTCTGGCACACCGGATTCCGACTCTTGGTGCAGATACGAAGCCGGTTGCTGGTAAAACGCCTCAGGCTGCGATATGGCGGGCTGAGTGGGAGTTCGCTGTGCTTCAGACGTATAGTACGGATACTGCAGAGGAGCTGGAGATAGCGCTGAATCTCCAACAGAGCTGGCACCGCCGGGTCGCGAGGAGGTATTTGAAGCCGCGCCAGATGGGACATAAGTTCCTTGAGACAAAGGCGCAGGCATGTCAGTCTCCCGCTGGCCATGGCGGCCACCCTCAGTAAAGGGATCAGTATCAGTCGGCGATTGAGGACCCTCTTCGTAAGAATAGTGTTGCTCAATGCCGGACCCACTCTGTGCACCGCCGTAGGTATCATCACCATGGCCCCTTCCTCCACGTCCCATGTTCTGCGCCATTGGAACTACCTGCACACCGCCAACGAGAGTAGGCTGACCCTCCCTCAGCGAGAATGTGCGATCGCGCTCCTCTTGCTCCCGTCTCCCAAGCTCTTCCCACGCTCGACGAGCTTCTTCCTTGGAGATTTGCAACTCGCGCTTCATCTCCGACACGGCCCGCTCCGCATTCTTCTTCTCAGTAGCCATGCGCTCGAGATTTAGCTCAGCCTCAAGACGCAACTCGCGCTCCGCGTTGATCTGTTCTGTTAACTGCGCCTCGCGCTCCTGCGCCCTTTCCTGGTCCTGACGGTGCTCAAAGAACCATCTCTGGAACTTGCGCTCCGAGGACGCGCGCAGCCGCTGTAATTCTACCACGGCATGAAACAGGTTGGCGCCAGCAGCTGAAAGATCGGTGATTTGCCGCGACAATTGCTGGGCCAACGGCTCTCTGCGGACCTCATCGGTATTTTGCTCGAGTCGCCGGATCCAGTACGAGGTCAGGCCTTCCCAATGCGATGAGAGGGTTTCCCAGCGCTCAAAAGCATGTGGAAAATTCGATGTTGTTGATTCGCGAGCTTGTCCGGTAGCCGAACCTGGCGCAGGCGGTGCGCGTGCCTGTGCAGCCGCCGACGGTGCTGGTTGTGATGAGGTTGGGGGAGCAGAAGGGCGCCTAGCATGGCCCGCGCCAGGTGGTCTCCTACCTGGCTCTGCAGTAGTCGGCACGCCGAGATTCGCCTGAGTAGGCCGAGACGACTGCTGGCTTTGCGTAGCGGCTCTAGGCCTCGACTGCGACGCGCCCGTTGTTGCATCTTGTGGATCGTTCATTGTACCCTGGGGTGGAAGGGGCCGTTCGGGCTGACGTGGCACTCCCCCAGACGATGCCGGATATTGTACGTACTGATCGCCGGGTCTCGGAGCTGCTTGAGGCTGCCTCTGGGTCCCGGCTTCCGTTGTGGGTGCTCCAGCTACACCAGAAACAGCTTGAGCTCTTCTTTCCGCGCTGGCTCTCCTGCGTTCCTCCTCTGCGGCTTTTCTTTGTTCCTCCACTTCAGCCCTTTGCCGCCTAGCGTTCATGATCTGCGTAGGGGTGCGGATATTGGAGCGATCGACAGGCACGGGACCACCAGTTGTACGGGCCCCGCCATTGGCAGCGCGCCCACTCGTCAAGTCTGACATTTGGGCGTTCTCTTCAACCAGGTCCGGGGTGAATGGATGTGGGACGCGAAGCGCCTCTTCGAGCACGAAGCGTATTGCCGATGCAGTACGCCGACTGATTCGAAGGGCAGGATGAGGTTCTGTAGAGTAAGGGCGAGGTGTTTGGAACCGAACACGCTGTTGCTGCTGGCCCGGTTCGGCCGACCTGGCGCGCTCAAAGTTTGGCGTGCGGCGGAGGCTGTTTGCGACACTGCCAGTGGAGCTTGAGGCTCTTGAGTGATTGTGCTGCGTGCGATAGAAGGCTTCCGCTTGGTCTTGGCGTAGCTGGAGCGAGGTACGATATTCGGGAAAGGTTATTGGCGCGTTTCGGTCGTGGTCTCGTGAAGATGAGTCGTGAGAGGGAAATATGTTTGCGGGCGGTGATGGACCGCTGGACGTCACCGTGAGGCCAGGAACCTGCTCGCAGGGCTCAATTGCCCTTGCACCGTCGAGGAGGCACCCGCCGGGTTGGAATTAGATGCGCCAGCAACGGCGGCGGCGGGTACTCGAGGGGGAGGGATAAGCTAAGCGGCGCACGAAGGGCTGCTTATAGCGGAAATGCACGAAGGCTGGCTGCAAAGTAGGGGATTAGACACAGAGACTGGGGGGATTGCTAACAGAGGAGCCATTGCTGGTACGCGGCCGGGGGCGACTGTACGCGCGAGTGACCGGGAGGTTGGGGGGGGGAAAGGTGAAAGGGCTGGGAGGTGGCTGGGAAAGCATCATGAATGTCAACTTACACCTCTCACCGACACTTGGACAAAACAGAACAGCGAATTGCGCGCGGATGCAAAACGTACGAGCCGACCTGACACGCATGCGCTGAGGCGTCGTCGCAAAGCGAAAGCGCGCCAGTTGGTGCCCCGATACGTCAGGGTTTTTGTGTTATGGACGAGGGCCAAACGTCGCCCGGATTGGAGGCGGACCTTCAGCCGCAGCGCTCGGAAGCGCGGCGCCCGGAGAAAGCGATATCGAATAAAACGAGTGACTGGAGAAGACAACAGCGTGGGATCAAGTGGGCATCGAAGGCAGGCAGCCGAGCGATCGCGGTCCTTTTGGGGGAGAGCGGCGGCTGGTCGAGGGCGCAGAGGATCACCGGGTGTGCAGCAGTAGCAGCAGCAGTAGCAGCAGTAGCAGATGCGACCGAGGGTAATGGAACCTGGGTCAAGTGGAGTCGCACTGGCCGGTGTGCAGCGCAACAGGCATGCAAGGCGACTCGACGGCTACGAGGGGCGAGTGGTGCCCTGACAGCAGCCGTGGTGCTCGGTGACGGTGACGGCAACGATGGATTGCCAACTCATCGTGCTTGTTGTGCTAAGCCGGGCATGGAGGACATGGGGGCGGTTTGGCCAAGGTACAGCGCAAGACGGAAAGCGGAATGACCAAGTGTGATTAGCGACCGCCACCAGCAAAGCAGGGAACGGCACCGCGCCCGTCCGGCTTACGTACACAGGCGAGTACCAGTACTTATTAGTAGTGTATGTGCATGTAAGTACTCGTACCTGGACATGTCTTCCACACATGTACTTGTCTACCTGCATGTATACTTGGACACTTACATGTATACACATGTGCCTAGTAGAATATACCATACAGCAATTACCTCATCGCGCTTGCCCCCGCCCTCCCACACGCGCCTGCCCAATCGGCGGCCCTCCGTGTGCGTGCGAGCAGGAAGGAGCGGCCCGCGTCCACTGGCTCCAAACCAAACGTCACACCCATCTCCCTGCACTGGCTCCTTTCACCCACAGCGACTACTGTACTGTACCTCTCCTCTAGCCATGTACATATGCACCCCTATGCCCTCCAACGGCTGCTACGCCTACACCGTACTGCGCCCCTTTATCGGTACACCGTCTGCAGCCATACACATCGTGTCGGCTCCTGAAGCCTGCATACGTGCCAGCAGCACAGGTCCACCATAGCTAGCGCCAATACGGTAAAGTTTGCTTTTCTATAAACCTAGGAATCCCATGTTGAGTGCGCCAATTAACTCGTCGCCTATCGTCTGCCTTAAGCACACGCGACACCCTGTGCAAGACTCGAAGGCTGTGTTCCACGCGTTGTGGACAATCGCACACAGACGTAGACACAGACCAGAAGACCACCCTTCCACTGTCACAACGCCACTCCCCAATTACAACCCTCAGCCCATTCGAGCACTGTAAAAAGCTCTGCATGTGCGTTGTAGTGTCGTGAATCCTCCATTATCCCCCCATGGCCCCAGTCCAGTCCATCCATCAGTAGTTGCTCCTGGAAAAAAAAGTAGAGGAAAGAGACAATCAAAGGGCATGCCATGCTGTTTCCAGCAAACCCTCCACATGTCCCTCACTCCCTAGCGTCAGCCCCGTGATAAAGATGAAGTTCAAACGCCCGCAAAACAAATAAAAAAAATCGAGCAATTCCACGCCAGAATCAAACGGTTTCGCCAGAATCAGAACGCGAGCCAGAAAGCCAGTCCAAAGATCGTCTTACCTTGTGTTTGAAGCCGCCAGTCTTGGCCATGGTCTTCTCTTTAGGCGCCGTGCTGTCGAAGCCGTTGGCTGCATGAACATCCACAGGGCTCACATTGTCGAAGCTGCTGTCAGTCGAGATGCCTGACTGCACCGTGTTGGCGCTCTCAACCAAAGTCAGGCTTGCACCCATCGAAGCAGCATTACTGTACGTGGCTGAGCCGTCGACCGTAGGCATCTTAGGAGAGTTTGGAGACACCGAGCCGGCACCTGGCGTAGGGACATCAGAGCCACAGACTGACACGTCCGAAGCCATGCTCGACGGTGCATCGTCGGCTAACAGTGAAAGACATTTCGCAGCGGCAGGCGGACCTTCCTCTTTCTTGGTAATACAGTCAATGGCATCTCCCAAGTCCTTCTTCTGGAGTGCCGTCTTTGTCAAGGGCATCGGAGAAGGCGACAGCTGTCCATTGGCCAGGGTCGAGAGGCCAGTTTCCTGAGAGACAATCTCGCCATAGTTGTCGCGTTGATCGCCTTGATCGTCAAAGACTCCAGTCCAGTTGGGCCACTGAATAAGACAGTGCGAAGTGGCATTGTTGACAATCTTGCTCCATCTATTGTGAGGACTAAGCGGGGTTTTGGGGGCCCGTAGGCCACCATCAATGCAGTTTTTACCGCAGGTCAGCAGGGCAATGCGAGAAAGCTCATGCTCGAAAGGAAGGTAATCAACAACGAAGCCGTCAAGCTTGAGGCACCTAGTCAACCATGTCAGTGATGGCTTACACCTTTTCTTCGAGATCAACTCCACTTACCAAAGGGGAAGTGGCTTAGCTTCCTCCAAACCCGCAGCGATACGTGCCTTGCGCATGCAGAAAGCATCGAGATATTCACCCGTGCCGAACGAGTGGTGCAACACACCCTTTCCTTCTATGCCCCTAAACATTCCGAAAGCCTTTGGTCAGACAACATCATCTTACTCAGGGGCTAGAGAATCCCAACTTACTTGTACTCCTTCTCATTAGAGTCCTGCTTCGGAACCGTCAAGCCCCTCACATCCTCAGCCTTATGCCAATGCGTCGCACGAACAAGCGGCTCCGCAGCCATCTGCAAGTCAGCAACGCGCACGCCGCTCTCGGACGCATTCCTAAATATAGTCTCCCAAATAACAGACTGCATCGAGTCGTGCATACGGAACAGCCGGAGCTCCTTAAGTTCGGTCCGCTGGACAAGAGGCCGCATATCCGTCTGCGTGATGTACGACTTGTACTCGATGTCGCCGTCCCGTTCGATATGAATGGGCTGGCCAAGATCGAGAACGAGCTTCGTGAGGGATTTGGGGATCGTCTCCCACATTGGGCCTATGAAAGGGATGTCCGCGATCCAGCTGCGTCGTGTCAACAAACGCCTCTTCAGAGGATGAGGAGGGAGAGAGCGAGAACTTACGTCAACTCCTTCAAACGAGGCATATAGCCAATAAACACCGCAATGATTCCCATTGCCTGCTCCCACTCTCGCTCAGCCTTGCTCTTCCCACGAAACTGCATCACCATCAGCACCACTCTTACTCCCACAAGTCCCCCCTCAACAAGAAACAATGGCAACAAAAACACTCACCTCCTGTTCTCCATCCCCCGTCTTCTCATCCAGAGCAGTAATCCACTCCCAATAACATAAAACTTCTCAACCGACGTATGCAATCCGTCCTCACCACCAACAAACTCGTTGAAAACCCTCCACACCCACTTCAGAGACTCAGTCGGCTTACCCTTCTCATCACGCCCAACGTCAAGCACAAGAATGTCGTCTCCCCTGCAGTCACGCCCGAAAGCGTCATGCAAGTTGTACGGGACAAGGTTCGCTTTGAGTTCCGCCATAACTCGCTTCCGTAAGGTTGCCCTGGTGTAATCGTAGGTTGCGTAGGTTGCGCTTGTAGCTGTGTAGCGTACTCGACTCCGTTGCAGGCGGTGGGTACGCTCAAAGGTAGTAGTAGTAAAGTAAAGTAGAGGTAAAGTAGAGTGTAGAGTCAAAGGGCTGTGCGTATGTCGACCTCGAGGGAGAAAGAAAGCAAACTACCCAAGGTGACTGCTGGATTTCGACAGCGGTAAATATCGCCGTTTGCTGATTGGAGCAAGTGAGTGTGAGTGTTTGTTTGGGCGGGTTCGAGTGAAGGGGAAGGTGCGGGTTACGCTTTTTGGGAGTGACGCAAACGAAATGGTGATGTGAGTGGTGCTTTCCCTCCCGTTTGGTTTGCGCAATTGCAGTGATTTCTGAATGTGGTGGGTGAGGGGTGAGACTGAGTGAGACTTGTTTGGTTGGATTTAGGGTGCAGTGCTGAGAGGTGTGTATGTGGAAGGGTGGTGTGAGGTCACTAGGCATGTTTCTTATACGATGAGTATGACGACGTTGGATAATGACATTGTTGTATTGAAACTACCAGCAACTTTGGACAAGGGTGGTATACAAAGAATGCAGTGCGGGCTGTATGACTTTTTGATATTCATTCAGAAGAAACTTGTTATTTCGCAAGAACTATTTTGTCGCTCAATTTCGCCGCAAATGCTGTGATAATATACAAATACTATGTCGCCATACCCATCATTCCAATTCAGCACATACCCTCCATATCAAACTATTTTCGTCCTCTGCATCAATGAGTCGCACTACGAGTCTCTCCTCCTTCTCGGTGGTGGAGTACTAGAATCCCTCCTGCGCCTCGGCGGTGGACTAGCGCTGTCATCCCTCGCTCTGCCCTTGCCCTTCGACGGCGGCGGGCTAGTTGACGCGCGCCTGTGTCTGGGAGGCGGGGTGCTAGAATCCCTCCTACGTCGGGGCGGTGGGCTCGCACTATCATCCCTCGCTTTACCCTTGCCCTTAGATGGCGGTGGGCTGCTTGAATCGCGTCTGCGTCTTGGTGGTGGAGATGGCGATCGCGAAGGAGACGAGGAATATCTTCGACGGCGCGGGGGTGGGGAGCGAGACGGCGAGCCTGAAGGGCTACGGTCACGCCTTGTAGATTTGGATTTTGGTGGTGGAGAACGGGATACGGAGTATGAAGGGCTGCGGCCGCGACGGCGGGGTGGCGCCGAACGAGAGCGGGAGCGGGAACGGGAAAGAGAGGATGAGTAAGAGCGCTTGCTCTTAAGCTTACGGGTCGTTGGGGAGCGAGACCGTGAGCGGGATGCAGAATCGTAGCTACCGCTCCGGCCACGACCGCCACGCTTGCGGTCGGGCGTTGGGCTGCGTGTATAAGACCTACCTCGGGAGCTAGATCTCGAATCTCGCCTCCTGCGAACAGGGCTTCGTGATCGAGAGTAGCTACTCGAGGTGTAGCTTGACCGCGATGAAACACTGCGATCGTCCTCTGAATCACTCTCTGGCTCGGGAAGTGGCTTTGGCTTGGGCGCACTGTTCTTAAGCCAGTCACGCATACCCTCAGTAAGCACACCCATACCAATAGCAGTGAAGAAGTTGATGGAGAAGCGTGTCTTGCTCTGGTCGTCCGCATCTGTGGGGAAGATGCCAGTGAGGCTGTCCTGAAGCATGGGGTCCTTGAAGCGCTCAACCACTGCCTTCTGGCCAAGAGAGGCAAGAAGCTCCTCGAAAAGAATCTTGACAAAGATACGAGAACTAGAAGTCGTGTCCTCTTCCGTCATCTTCACTACTTGGAAGACGTGCCAGCCGATACCGTCGGATGCTAGCAAATGGGCGAAGAACTGGGCGATGATGCGCAGGCGGTTCGTCTCAAAACGGTGAATGGTCTCGTAGTAGTGCGCAAACGCTTCCTCGAACAGGTCTGTCCACATCCGATTCAGCTTGCAGAACCGCTCTCCGATCATACCGTAGAACTTCTCGTACGTCCTCTCCTGGCTAGCGCACTCTACAATCATGGTAGTGAGCTCATTCTCCAGACCCTGTGGCAAGTTGATTCGCATCAGCTTGTGTACACACTCTTCGAATCCACCACTGCTCTTGATGGTTAGGTAGATTGTTCGGCGCAAGTTGACAAGATCCGCGTTAGTCTGATCCTTGACGTCCATAGCCTTGATCTCCTCATCTTCCTCATCCTCGGACGACGCATCCGTGTATCCATCATCGTCACTGCCCTCTTCTTCACCCAGAATTTCTGCCTTGATCTTTGCATACTCCTCCTCATGGGCTTCGTAATCAGGATCAAACTTGAAAATGTTCAAGCCATCCTCAACCTTCAAGTCACCCTCAAGCGTATGGTTGTGAGTAATTTGGTCCTCCTCCTCAATAAGGTCCAACTCTTCCCTCACAACTGGGTTGTCCTTGTACTTTGTGCGCCGAACTTCAAAAAGCACCTCGATCATGTATTGTGTGCGCTTATCGATGTCGGCTTCGTGGAGGATGTTGCGCATCTGGTCAAAAATGGCATTGGCGATGGCAGGTTTCATCTCGTCGAGGAAAGCGCCGACCTCTTTCATGATGCCGACAGCAATTTCAACAGAATCGTCAGAAGGCTTGTTGAGCAGGAGCAGGAGGATTTCCGCAATGAGGATTTCATGGACGACCTGGGTATTGACGAGGTGGGAAAGGAACATGGTACTCGACAGCGCAACGGCCTTGTCATTCCTCCTGAATCCCTTCCTGAACTGTACGATCAAACGGCGAACTAGCAAATCGCCGACCTGAGGTAGTTTGGTGTTCACAATGGCCACCATAGTTGCGTAAATCGGAGTAAAAGGCAAACTGGCAGCCTGCGCCTTCATGATGGCTCTGCAGAACAGGCCTCGTCCACGCACCAGGTTCTCGGAAAACAGCTCAGGCACAATCATCTTGATATTGGCGGTATTCGTCTTGTTGATTAGACCCTGGATCGACTTCTTGAGCGCCTCCCAAGCCATGCGCTGGAACTCTGCACTCTTCTTGTCCGTAATCGACTTTTGCATCTCGCGCAGGCGAGCGGGTGGGATGTACGCGCCTCCAGCACGTGTCTTGGAGTCGTCAATCGGCAGCTTCCGGTTCGCGCTGAAGGCATTCTGGAAGAGCTTCAATCGCGAGTCGTCCTCGGGTAGGTCGTCGGTGGTAGGCTTCGGCGCTGGGCGATGGCTAGCTTCTCCGTTGCGATGGTCATCCTCCTCATCTCTCCGACTTCTCTTGGATGGCCCAGCACTCGGTCCATCGTACGGCGAGCGCTCGCGTTTGCGCGGAACATCTTGCGCATCGACCTCGGGCTCTGGCGAAGGCGAAGGCAGTCGGACGGCAGATGCGACCTCCATGACCGCTTAGTAAGAGGGTCGCGGGGAGTGGGAGGAGGGAAGGTGAAGATGGGAGAAGTCAAAGTGGAGGCGTGTAAAGTGACGCGCCTCGCAAAAGTTTAGCCTGGAAGCTGGCCCAGCAATGCAGTTGCGGCGGACGGACCGCGGTTTCGCCGACAGGGGTCTGGGCTTGGCGCGTCTTCCCGGGAGAGAGGGAGGAAAGGGACAGCATGATGGTTGCAACCCAGTCTCACTTCTAATTAATTTCACTCGTTCCTTACTCCAACAAAACTTCGCAATGGTATGGGATTGAGTGTCTACGGTCAAGAACAATGTAGACTAACTGCAAATAGGCCGATCGCCTCGTGGGTCTCAGCATGCTCGTCGCAGCGACTGCCGTCTTCGTCTACTACACCGTCTGGACACTGTTCATGGTATGACTATCACTTGAAGATTTTCTTGCCGCAACACATGTACTAAGAAACATTTACAGCCCTTTGTTGATGACGACCACATCCTTCACTCTCTCTTCCTTCCTCGCGTCTGGGCTATCCGCATCCCCGTCATCCTCCTTATTCTCGGTACCACCGTCGTTGGCAGTTTCGTCTCGGTCGTAATGATCAAGAGCAATCGCAAGAAGGCACTCAAGGCCCAGCAAAAGAAGGCATCGTAAACAAACGCCAGCCCTGGATATGGACTTGGCTTTGGAGGAGTGGGGTGAAACCCATCGCCCGTAAAAGGGGTCTCAGCGTAACACTGCGGACTCGTTACTGGAATTGAGAGATGATAGTATAATATTGGCTTTTAGTCGTTGCCTTTCCAAAGCGGCCTAATCATGGTGCGGGTTATTGTGAAAATGTCACACAGCCTATGCGCCGAACTGCAAGCGTTCTCCTTCTTTTTGGCTTTATCACTATTGTTCCGTTCACATGATACTGCAATTGTCCTCAGTGATGACAATTGCCTCATTGCCTTCTTCTCCTTCCTCGCCGCCACCATTCCCAACACCCCCGACCTGACCTCTAGCCAGGTGTCTAGCCAGTTGCGCAAATACCGCCTGGCTAATGAAATAGTCGTCTCTTTCACCCTTGCGATCCATGTCATTCTGGCTTGTGATTTGATAACTCAGGTGCATCCTGCGCCGACTAGCAAGTCCCCCAGGTTCAACGTCGTCATCGCTATCACTGAGTGCTGCAGTTGCAGGCTCAGTCTCGGTTTCGGCTGTGGGTTCGGTGGTGACATTACGGCCACGGCGACCCCAACGGATGCTGGAGAAGGAAGAGGGGTCTGCCGAATGCACCCCTACGCCTTTTCGAGCGTTGTGTTGGAGGTGAGCATCTGGTGAGAATATCTTCACTGTGTGGTCAATGCCCGATACAGCCATGAGCGGTTCATAGGGATGGCCTAGGTCCTGTTAGCTGGGCATTTGGTTGTGTGTAGATTGACAAACGTACCCTGAATAACATTCACAACCTCTCCATCCCCTTCCAGGATGTTCAGAAGTTGTGCTGTCTTTCGATCCCAAATGAAAACGTGACCTGAATCGCTCCCGCTGACAACATACTCATCTTGAAGACCAAAGTAGTTGACGTCTTTTACCGTTTTGACATTACAATGTCCCATATAAACACGGGTGTGAGGTGCGCAAGGCACGTCGCGTTCAACCTTCCACCGTTTGTAGCGACTGCGACCAAAGTCGGTACGCCATAGCATATGTCCACTTCTTGTCCGCCGTAGTCCCTCTTCATCCTCGTCCTCGGAATCCTCGGAATCCTCGTCTAATCCATCTTCAGAGTCCCCATACCAATCGTTTTCGTCATCTTCGTCATCCTCGTCTTCGTCGTCGTCATTTTGTTCTTCGTCTTCCTCATTTTCCCCGGGATTCTGAACCACGGTGGATCTCGATCCTGTTGGGGTAACCGAGCTTGGGGAACCGTCCCCGTTTTCTGTTTCTTGGTTTGATGTCCTGATTAACTCTGCTTCACGGACAGGACCCTCGTCGATCACAGGATCAATATCCGCCTGTCGTGCTCTCAGCGCTCTCTCCTCGGCTCTGATTTGTTTGTCCGAGATGCCACGACCGCCATAGGCGCGATCCACGAAAGCAAAGTTGATGTCCTTCGAAGCGTTGAGCAGCACTCCCCTTCCAACCTGATATGCCCATCTTCTTTTGGCTGCACTTCGCGTTTGGGTAGGTTCATCTGTAAAATCCGCTTCCGTCGCAGATCCATCTGTTCCAGTCAGATCTGCAAAAGGTATTTGCAGCGCCTGGCCAAAGGCATCAACTGCTTCAATCTCAGAAGAGAACAGAATTCGAGTGGCATCCGTCTCAAATTTGGAGGCATCGGGATTGACAATGTTGTCATCACCCGCAAGGTTCATCAGGTAGGGAATCAGTTGCTCTTGTATGGCGTCCATGTCTTCTCCATGTGGAAGAGGCAGTCGAGCACTGCTACTCCGTCCAGAGAATCCCTCTACTACTGCGCCTGGACCACTATCAAGCCACAACAGTATGGCTTTCAAAAAGTCATATCCGAAATGTTGGTGCCGAGGCAACTCCCTCTCCCGTGGTGCCGGCTGGATCGATGCAAAGTATTGTGCAATCAAGGCGTCTGAGCTTGACCCGGTCAACAGCTGTCCGCCCAACACTCGTGCCAACGTTCCAGCTGCTTGCACAAACCGGCGCGAAGCTGCCCTGCTGTCGCGGAGCTTGTTTTGTACCGCCACATCGACGGGATCTGGGTTGATTGGATAAGTCCATGTCCGATCTATGTCATCCATATCTGCTATTATTGAGTTTGCCAAGCCCAGGATGGAGGTGAAGGCCAATTGTAGCCCGGTCTCTCCGTGTTCACCAAGGTCGAATATGCGCTTTGCTATCTTGATAGTTGTACTCGCAATCCGGTAATGGTCCGTGGATCGCAACTCGTTCAGTTGCTCCTGAGTTAGGCGACTCTCAGCAGGCGTTTGGATACGAATGTCTTCACTTTGTCCATTGCCATAGGTGACGCGTAGTGCAAGATCATCTTCCGTACTATCATTTCGTGGCCTGGATCCTGCCCGTTCAGCAGCCTCTTGAGACGATGCACTTGACTTTGGCCGCTTGCGTTTTTTGGCGGTGTCCTTGACTCGACGATTGGACGTACTACCTGATGCTTTTATTGGTGTTACATTCTCTCTTGCATCCGGACTTCTCAAAATGTCGAAGCTATAGATGTGGTCTTGAGACCAGCTTACGATGAGCTCGTTTGGCTGAGCGTCACTTATCTTACATGAGGTGATGTGACCGCTGTCGCTTCTGCCCATGCGTTGCTTCCCATTAGGCGCGAACTTCTTGACACACTGTGTCGCTTTTCCTAGGAGCTCCTCATCGTTTTCATTCCAACTTGCTGGAGTGGAAAGTCTGGAACCGCGCTCACGGTTGATGTCCCGGCCAAGCATACGTCGATCATGCAAGAAGCAATGAAGGTGTGCCCCACCAAGTGCAATATAGTGAGGTTGGCTAGGGGAACAAGAGACCGTGTTAAGATCCAGTCCATATCGACTGTACGAGATGAGTGGCGGCGGAATATCATCAGATGCGTCATCGTCTCTTGCCCACGCCGGAAGCATGCTGTCTCTTGCTGGTGGATACGCCCTGGCTGGCTGCCTTATATCCCATTGCCGTACATCTCCATCGTTGGAGCAGGTCATGAAATAGAATGGGTTGTCCTCTGTGACAATCCTCTTTACAGTGTCGGTGTGGCAGCGAAATGCCTTGGCATTTGTATCGGCCTCGGTAAGTGTCACTCTGCTCCGTGCTGTGCCCAAGTTTCGCGCACCACCTGCTCTAGAAGCAGTTCGGAAGGCCGAGTGACCTGAATGCTCAATGTCAAATATCCTCACGTCATCTGTTGCGCTAACGATGGTGCGGTCGCCCGAGTAAGGCATAAACTTTACGGAGAAGATGTTGGAGCGATGGCCTGTCTCAATAGATGTGGTGAGGTTGAACTGGTCGGTCGACGATTCGGGGTGATATGCATGAATGTTGATGCGATGGTCGTCGGAGCCGGTAGCGAGGAGACGGCCAGATTTCGACCAGCTAGCGATATCAGATACCTCCATTGAATATCCGTGAAGTTGTTTCTCACCTGAGGGCGTTGACGCATCCGTTGTGGCCTTCAAGCTCGTTTACGATATCGAGATTATCGACCCATTTCCGGTCGCCGTATATTGATCGGATGTCTGAGTATTTGCTGCGCTCTTGACCAACCTCTCGCTTAAGCAGCCGGTCGTAGATTGTGTACTTCATATCGGGCGGTGTTGAGGCTTGCCAGTAGCAGGAGGCACAGTGTGAAAGGCAACCCCAGAAAGTAGCGGAGAGACAGAGGGAAGACTAGGCGAGGCTTCTAGAAACACCTAGACGAAGGTAAAGCGAATCGGAAATATCAGTCAGGCGGAACAATTCGTAAATTCGACGGCTTCTGTGTGAGCATCTCGGCGCCCTGGCAGTAAAGTTTGGGGCGTGGTTGCGGGCGGCGCGTGCAAGTCGTCGCTGGAGGTCGCGAACGAATGACGAAAGGTGACTAGGCTGTCTCCACCACGTTTGTGCTCCAAGCTCTCCCCCGCGGCCTGCCGTTGCTCTGCCACGACCAATCACCGCCGATACACGTACAGATTTGCGCAGTAAAACCGCAACCCTTGTTCAGAACCCAGGGCACAGATGCCAACCTGAGATGCGGTGATGATCATATCTTACCACATCTGGCACGCTTCTTGTTGTTCCCCACCTTGGAACTAACACGTTTACGATAAGGACCATTATGACACGAGACATCACGACATGATAGTGACTGAGCATCATGGGCATTGCAAAGAATCACGGAACATTGACTTTTATTCGGTAAAACGTGGATATGAGCATTTATTTACATGGGAATCAAAGCAACTACAACACACTTCACCTCCAAGGATGAATAACTCTTTTATCCAAAGAATTTACATGACAAGAACAGCACCGACAGCACCAAAAAACACCATGAAGCCGACACTGGCGCGGCTAGCAGCGCCCTCAAACTGTGGTGGCATAGATGGGAGAGGTGTGACGGGCTTGCCGGTACCAGTGGGCAGGGGAACATACTGGCTGGTAGCGTTCTTAGCAGGGCCGGCGGGGATGTAAGGAACACCAGCCGATGGGTAAGGAGCAGGAATGTAAGTGGGAACGGCAACCTTGCTGAGAGTCACGTGGATGCTGCTGAAAGCCTCATGCTCCACGGGCTTCTTGGGATAGCCTGTGCCAACAGGATACGAGGGGTACTCAGCAGCAGGCGAAGAGGCGGGCTGAGCGGCGGAAGGCACAACAGGCACAGAGTGAGCTGGGTACTCAGGAGCCGCAGAAGATGCAGGAGCCGCAGAAGATGCAGGAGCCACAGGATACTCAGCAACTTTGGAGACTTCCGGAACGGCAGGGTACTCAGCAGCCTTAGAGACTTCCGGAACGGTAGGGTACGCAGCCTTGGAAGCCTCGGGCACGGCTGGGTATACAGGCTTGCCAGAAGAAATTGGCGCAGCAGGGTACTCCGCAGGGTATACGACCGAAGGAGCAGAGGATGGGTACTCAGGCACAGCAGTAACGGTGGCAATGGGCTTGGTGATGGTCACAGTCAATGTGCTGGCAGTGTATACACTCGTGGTCCATCCCTCAGGAACATCGGCGGTGCCGGTGGGCTTCGCGCACTTGGTGCAAACAGTCGCAACGTATGTCGTGGTGACGGTGGTAAGGCCGGTGGGGCAGACATCGACATAGGTGGCTTTGAGACGTTAGTATGTTTCCTTTAGGTTAAATGACATCTTGAACTTACTGGTAACGACGCTGGTGGTAGAGCCAGTGGGAACAGTTGGATACTCGGGCTGCTCGGGCTTCTTGGTAACGGAAGGCGTGCTGTCGTAACCAGTGCTGGACGCAGCTGGGTACTCTCCGTAGCCGGTTGAGCTCTCAGCAGGGTACTCAGCATCCTTACTGACAGAGTATGTCTCAGTTGGGTACACTGCTGACTCAGTAGGATAGACGCCATAGCTGGAGTTCACATCAGTGGGATAGACGCTGCTTGAAGTGCTGCAGGAAGTTGAGGTCTCGCTACCTGAAGGAACAACGGCAGAGCTGCTGATGCTTTCGGGTGTTGAGACGGTGGGAACAGATGATGGTCCAACGGAGGCGCTGCTGCTGGAAGCAGAGGGCGAGATGGTAGCAATAGAAGAAGGCTCAACAGGGGTGCTGCTGGGAATCTCAATAGAGCTGGAGCTGATAATGGTAACGCTGCTGGATGCGGGGGTGCTAGGTGCAGGAATGCTAGAAGTCGACACGCTAGAGATAGGAGTGCTGGGCACTGGGATGCTGGAAGCCGAGATAGTAGAGCCCGGAGTGCTAGAAGCGGGAACACTGGAGGTGGGATAGGTGGAAGCCGAGATGCTAGAAACCGGAGTGCTGGACGCGGGGACGCTGGACGCAGGAATGCTAGAAGCAGGAATGCTAGAAGCAGGAATGCTAGAAGCAGGTGTGCTAGAAGCGGGAGTGCTGGATGCGGGAGTGCTTGAAGCTGGGGTACTCGACGCAGGAACGCTGGAAACCGGGATGCTGGAAGCGGGGGTGCTTGAGGCTGGGGTGCTTGAGGCTGGGGTGCTTGAAGCTGGGGTGCTTGACGCAGGAACGCTGGATGCGGGAGTGCTGGAAGGTGTGATTGTCGAAGAGACCACAGAGCTAGACGATACAACAGGGTGGAACTTGTCATTGAAAGTACCCTCAACAGCATACTTCATCCAGGTACCGTAAGACTGGTCGTAGGTCGGGTTGTTCTTAGAGACGGTGGCCTCCCAAAGCATAACACCACCAAACATGCTGTTGCCCTGGAGCGATTGAACAAGTAGATTGGCATCCTCTGGGGCGAGGTAGTGGTCCTTGTGTGTAGGAAGGCCATCTTCACCGGCAGCCAATCCAAGGTAGAGTTTGATGTTCGGGTTCTTGGAGTTTGCCTTGAGCCAAGAAATCCAAGTGTTGAAGGTGAAGGTGCTCTCTGCCTTGTTCTTCATGTCTTGTACGGCCTTGGCAGCAGAGCAGGTCCAGGTGTTGTAGAACTGGGTGAAGAGGAAGTCGAAGGGAACCTCCTTGAGAGCAAGGAAGATCCTAGCATCGGGGACAACGCACTGAGGAGCACCGGAGAGAAGCATGTTGGAGTGTGCCTTGATGTACTTGCCGAAGACATCGTAGTTGAGATAGAGCATGTCTTTGGACGGTACATCCCACTCTGCGGCTTCGAGGTCGAGATCGAAACCATCGACATAGGCATCGCCGAAGGGACGGGGCTTGCCGGCAGCTTTCCACTCGGCAGTAGGGGGTCCGTAAGCTCCGAGCAAAAATTCGGCAAACCAGTTGGCAACATCTGGTGTTGGGAGGTAGTAGTCTGTTGGCCAGCCACCACCGAGCGAGAGCATGACCTTCTTGCCCCTCCTCTTGCAAGCATTGATGGCTTCACCAACGCCAGGGCATGAGCTGAGTAGCTGGCTAGGCTTGTTGGTAGTCGGGTCGGTGTAAGTTGCGTCACCGCAAGCATTGGCGTGGTTTGTTCCAGGATATTCACCTCGCTGCTTGGGGAACTTGTTGACGACTAGTAAGATGGTTGTATTAGCAGTGTTCTATTGGTAGGTAGACCAGTTCGATCAGAGATTGACATGTCCTCAGCTCAACTGAGGATCCACTATGTCCATCCCATCAGTGACTACTTACAGCCAATGTTAACAATGTCTACGTTAGGATCCAAGCAGACTTCGAGCAACGTCATCTGGTTGCTTCCCTGTCCCCAGTAAACAGCGACATTTGACTTGGAGGAGGCATCGTAAGCGGCCGAAGCAGTAGAGGCAAGAAGCCCAGTTGCAAAAGCAACGCGTGAGAAGATGGAAGTGACCATGATTACAGTATTAACAGTATGAACAACGATACGTGATGGAAATGATAGGACGGCCAGAGGCCAGTAAAGATTGTGATGAGCGAACTCAAAGAAGGGACGCAAGCAAAAATGCTGCAATTAGGATCGAGACTCGAAAGAGAGCGACTTGAGGGCGAACTGGAAAGCAGAGCGACTCACGATGAGAAAAGTAGGAATGGGAGATTACACTATATCTACTATTGGCCTCAAGGCCTCATGGCGTGGTACCTGCATGAGTGACTAGTCACTGAACAGCGCCGCTTAGCAGCAGGCAACCATGCCATTTTGCAGGATGGGACGGCAAATCTCATGGAGCTGCAGGAACAGAAAGATGGCTGTCTATTTGGGCTTCGATTGGTGGGGAGGCCTTGGACCTAACTGCTTCGAGTCTGAAGTCAGGTACGGCGTCCAAGAAGCTGTGCATCCAGGCGAGCGCTAAATTTGAAAATGGGTTGCTTCTAGGAGCCCTGACATATGATGTCTTAGTTTAGACTGATGACCGGTGGACAGGCCGCTTCCGGCCATGGGAAACTTCAATCTCGGCTAAAGGTATGGCCCTTTGAGTACCAACAAAGGGAAGAGAGAGAAGACGCCACGACAGGATGGTCGGTCCAGAGTTCCGGAAGTGGCGTTCATACTTAATCCAGGCACTGAAAAGGCGTGGTCTCGTATTGAATGGTGGGGTTTCTTGACGATATCACGACGAGTACTGTACCCTCATCTTCATGCCGAATTGGAGAGTTGGCCAGGCACGCTGCAGAAGCCTGATGGATGTGTGTCGCGGAGGAAAAAAGAATGGGGCTACGGTGGCTGCCTAATGGCTACGCCTCATGGCGGCATATTCGGAGTGGGTGGATTTATCCGAATGTAGGAAGGAGTCCGAGTGATTTGATGTTGGATGTGATCTAGGAGGCGTCGGCTACAGCACAAGCGACCACAAGTCAGGGGCTCCCGGCGCCAAACCATTCCTCATGCGGAAAGGCAGGTCTGGCCCTGACACTGCCGTACAGCCCTTGGGAACAGATTCTTTCATTGCCGCCTTGGCTTTCTTCACACCCAACGGCCGGAACACATGCGCCTGGCCGAGGCTCGTCTAGTCGCGAGTTGTTGTTGGTTTCATCGAGTGGATATCAGACGACTGGCGCTTTTGATTGCGTTCTCCTTCACCGGCAGCATAGGGTTAGTGCAGCGGGCCTGACTATACATCACGAGTTCTTGCGGAGAACTCATAAAAGAACAATCAATCTACTTACCGTGTTGATAACTACGATTAGTACAAAGCCGTGAACAATCGATCGCACCCACCAGGTGATGCTGCGGACCCTGCGACATCTATTTCAAGCCATCGACTGTGCTGGACAGCACGACTCATCTGCATGCCAAGTGTCCCTGAAATGGGGGGCGGAATGTTGGAGGCCTGAGTAGCCATGGCCTTTGCAGAATGCCTCGTTGTGTCAGGCGCGTAACTAGGATGATCTACCCAAGTCGTGTAGACACAATTGCTGATCGTTGCCTGACTCGAAAGCGTTCTGGATACCGGCAGTACCTCGACATGATGCGAGCCACGTGCCCGTGCGCTTGAACCCACAGTTCGGCATCCCCTGGCGCTGTTCGTCGATCCTATACGGGCCGATCACGAGCGATAAGCTTCGATCGTACAAAGCTTACCATAGGTGTAGGTAGATATTCCCGGGATAAGTCACCACCATGGCTGTGATAAGAGTTAGTTCACATCCTCATCCATGTTCTGCAACTGGGACTCAACTTGCTCGATTATGAAATGACGTTTCTTGAAGGGAGATTCCACTATTACATCTATGTATTAAATCCGTCTAGCATCCTTTGGTATCAATTTCCTCCTCATAGTTTCCCCTTCTCGTAAAAGAATTCATAAATCATAGTGTTGCTAAGCCTATGCGACGGCGAATCGACTGCGCTCTCGCAGCTTCTTACCAAACTTAAACAAGAGGAAGATCCCAACAGAGCAGATTACCATGCACCCTGCCAACAAACTTACGCCTCCATCAATTCCGATGCCCTCGAACATTGGGCGCGCAAAGAGAATGGCTGCAAATGCAAATGCACTTCGGCTCAGACTATTCGCGCTGAAGATACTGGCTGCGTAACGCGGATAGATGTTCGGGATGTAGAGCAAGACACTCTGAGCGATGAAGTAGATTCCGAAGACAGTCAGACCGAGACCGATCGTAGGTACAATCCAATGAACAGATGGTCGAGACGCCCATGCAAACATGAACAGTCCAATTGCGATGATAGGGCTGGCAATCAAACCGGGCCACAGATGGTTTTCAAGCTCGCCAAATGTACCGCTCATCAAACGGGGGAAGACTCGGTACTTGAGGTACAAGACATGGATTGTGAATGCGAGTCCACAGCCTGGAAGAATTGAAAGGAAGATAAGGCCAGTTGTCTCGGCGTTGAAGTTATACATGGGGACGTAGACCAAAGGAAGAGACTGGCATGTGTTAGTGAGCGCGCTTAGTGACCAGATTGATGAAGTGCTTACCTCAAAGAATGAGTAGTAGATGCCATAACACAAACCCATGTATACCGTCGTGAACAAGATGGCCGGGTCCAGAACGTTGATCTCCCAGGGCTTGACAAGAGCGTCAAATAGCAAACTGCTGACTTTCATGTTCTTCTGCTTACGTTCTGAGTCAGACATAAGCTCCTGGTTGCCGGTCTCCTCGCGCATACGCTTAGCCTTGTAGTAGAGAATAGTGGGTCCAGAGCTCTCTGGCAGAATGAGAAGCAACGCGAGATATACTGGTCCTGAGATGATGAGCAACTCCCAGCTCGAGAAGCGCCATCCCAAGTCCTTGACGGCGTAAGAAGACAGTGTTGGGCCCAGGGCGGGACCCAATGTGGCGACCATAGCCCAGAGGGCGACGGCAAATGGGAACTCAGCCATTGTCCAGACATCCGCGAGTGATGCACCCGCAGTAGCGAGGCAGGGCGATGCCATGAAGCCCAGGAGGAATCGCAGGACCATCAACCCGGCGAAGTTGTCCACTAGCGAAGTGGGTATACACAGGATAACAAACAAGAATCCTGAGATGGCATATGGGGGGTTCCTGCCGATAGCTGGAACCTCGGACAGTGGGGAAAATAGCAGACACCCAATACCGTAGCCGAGCACGTACAGTGCAATACCTAGTGAGGCTGCGACATGACTGACGTCAAATATTTCCATCACATCTTGCTGCGAGGAAGTGTATATCGAAGATCCGACATAGACGGCGAAAGTGTAGACGCAGAGTATGACAGTCACTAGGATTTTGTGGCTCCGAGGCCAGTTCTGAGGGTTGCTAGGGTCGTCTGGGCCGCTCCAGTCTACGAGTGTAGTTTGATGCTGCTTGAGCTCTGCGCCGATGGGGCCCCCCGTGGGTACTTCTTCCTTTGGAAAGGGGAGGTCGTCTGTTGACGAGGATGGGGATATTGGTTTGGCGGGTTTGCGGGTGTAGTCGAACTTGCGGTGTTTGGCATAGTGCAATAATGTTCCCACACTAGAGTGCTTGAACAAGTAGGACGACATGGCTGCAGTGGTATGGTGCCACGAGTATGCAGGACGTGTTGAACACCAACAGAAAGATCCTTGGTGAAGGCTGATAAGGCTGAGTGGAACGTTGTAGTTCTACCTCTCAAAAGGGGTGACGCGTATCCCGTAGGGAAGGCGCGTCTGTTGGATAGGAATTCGGAAAGTGCTGTGGTATCAAACCAAGTTCCTCCCTTGAGCCTTTATACCTTATTCGAGTTTCTATCTTTACTTCATTGTCTGCAGGGCCAGCCACGCGAGGGTGTCAGACTCTTGCGTGACACGAAAACACGGCTAGGAACCAGAGATGCACAGAAATTTCCGGACCGGTCAAGCGTAGCAAAAACGAAGTAGATTTCATGTGTGTCCTGGATTTCTCCCACAACACCCAGTTAGGCGACAACCTCCGATGGGGCGCATCTCACATTCCGGTACTTGAGCCCTTGGCAAAGGGCTGATCTTAGGCAAATGTAGTTGTCTATCTCTTAGCCTTGTCGTCTGCCGTTGGTTGATTCGTCGGATACTTTTTTGATAGTGCTCGAAACCAAGAGTCACAGTGGAGCCAGCGGAGGCAACGGAGTAAGCGGACATAAAGCGACATGGGAAAAGCAACCACACATATTACAGTGAGCGGAGTGCCGGACGAATTGAGGATATGCAGCGAAGAGTGGGTGTGCACGAAGAGTGTATCAGTGTCTCGAAAAGCATGTGAGCCCAATGTGCTACCTACACCTACAATTCTGACCGTTCTGCAAGCGAGGCTGGCCGCGTTTAGTGTGCCCACAAAAGCAGTCAGATAACGCCCTTAATTGCTGGCGCTCGCTGATTGCACAAAAAGAAAAAGGGGTTGTGGAAAACGCAAACCCAAGTTACTACAAGGCTTTGCTGTCTTTGCTCTATCAACCTCGACATCGTCGCAGAAACTCACTAAACATCTTTCCAAAAACACACAGCGCATGTACCTCACATGATCCAATTGCAGACATCTAATCGACTTTGGTCCGAATCCTCGCAAGAAAAAGCCTCCGACATTTGTAAGTCAACGGTTGTTTTCATGGGCAACTGCAAGCCACATTTCGCTGACAAATGGCCGCTAATGTGTCGGCGATCGCTTCTAAAACATGGCGGCTGAGGTGATATGCAGGATAAGCGAGGACGTAACATGTACAGCGTGGCCCTGTTGTTAAGCAGAAAGTGAAATGTCAGCAAGGTAAAGTTTACGTATCTTGCTGTCGAAACATCCTCTCATTCTCGTCCTCCGGTTCTCGTCCATCCCATTATCGAGCGTCAGTATTATACTTATTGGAGTCATAATGAATCATGGTGCTTCATAGATAATACACTTGTCGTAATCGATATCTTTTAAGGCGTTATCGGGGGTGCTGACATTGGTACTTAGCACTATGTCCGTTAAACCCGTGATGTTCTCGGATCCCCGACGAACACGTGAAGCGGCAGTGGAGATATGCGACGGGTTTTCGGTAGACACCAATGCCCTAGCGGTCACATACATCCCGTAGAGTTGATTATAGTGTTGTCAGATTTCTCCACACCTTATGGCTAGGGGCCGAGGCTCCAGACTTGATGTCATGACCCTAGAATAGTTTACAGGGACGAATCGATGACCAAGCAATACATTTATATCGACAGGACAAATAATGAACTAATTCGAAAGCCGATTTCCTAGGCTGCCTGAATAGTAAGAGACTCAAGACGCTATCGCAAACTGTTCAAGTCCAAGCCAAGGTATCTGACTACGCACATATTTGCCAAGAGATAAGATGTTGATTGATTAGGCCACCCATTTCACACAAGGTCTGGCTTGCGATCTTACTTACTTCCACTCAAGAGGACAATGCATCGTAACCAATCGCATCGACATTTCATCAGCACACTTACGCCTCAGCCAGGCTCCCGTGCGGCAACACTCAACCAAAATGCACGTCCCTCTTCTAACACACCGATCTTACCTTACTCGAACTATCGCGGCGTTACCGAGAACTGATTGTTGTTGTTGTTGTTTTTTGTTTCAGGAGCCCTTGGTGTACTTTCACTCGTGACTTTATGTGCATTGGCATCTCCTTTCTGAACAAACGAAGCCTTGGCCCGCGCCTAGCCTTGGTAGGTCAGACGATCTATTAGCTGAATCGGGTCGACAAAGCTTCACTATAGCATGAATTCAGTTGATTGCAGTGAAAGATTAATAACCTTTCAGGCAACGAGGAAGCAAGACTGCAGAAGATTGGGCAAAGACGAGGACTTACATATTGTGCATCACTCACGTGCTTAGCCCAAGGAGTCGTATACTCGACCAACCACCCCTTTTCCGCCTTTTTCGAAAGCCAATAGGCGGGAGCAATCTATAACAGTGTCCCCATACATATGATCCGCTCTGATTATCATAGTGTTCCAGGCAACCCTCTGCTTCACCGGCCGCAGGATACAACGTCTTTACCTTCTGCAAAACCCTCAGCCGTCAAGTAAAGTAAATACTGCACCAACCAAGCCCCAAAAAGAAGGCTTAGAAGAATTAAAAAACCCATCGCTTCCTAAAAATCCCAGTCGCAAACCCCCCCGACGGAACGAAATTCTCTCCTTTCATACCAAATACACGAGACATCGTCACCGCCTCCATATCGACCCTGCCCCCCCTTGACAACCTCACTCATCGACTCCGCTAAAAACCCCATCACGGACAACCAGCTACAAACGTGATCGTAGCAATCAAATCTCTGAAATTTTTCGTCAATCTCGACGCAACTCTTCCTCAACACCCCCCATACCCCCACAAACTCCATCAAATACCGATACATCCGATTGACAGGCAAGAGACCGATAGTGGATCGTATGCACATCCAGTAAAAGTCGGTACTGCAAAATATCATAATCTCAAAAGTCTTCGCAAAAGAAAAGAAAAACGCCAGTTTTGAAGGAAAAGAATCAAATATATGCAATTGGTATCTTTAGTTCCCAAAAAGTCCCCGAGCCAAAAACGCCGCATCGTTCCTCATGAAAGCTAAGTCATAAATGATTCCCTCAAAGCCATGTTACTCAGAAGACGCAAAAGTTACTTTCTCTCGCCCTTCCTCCCAGTCTTCTTAAGCCTAGCTGCAAGATCCAACATAGCATCCGCCCAAACCGCCATGCCTTCTTTCTCGTTGATTTCATTACCGCAAAAGTCCTTTAGGAAAGCACCCATCTTCTCCTCACCATACTTCTCACCATAGACGACTTCTGCTGCCATGCTAACTTCAGTTTCTACACCTTCCTTGCCGAGATTGACGCCGAGTTCAAACGTAGCCTTGACTTTGGTTTGGAGAGTGGGAAGAAGCATGTTGGCAGCGATGGCCATGCGTTCATCTGACAGGATGCATTCTTCTGTGATGTAGCTGTGCTCTAACCAGCGAACACCCTCGGCAACTGCAAGCGCAGTAGCCCAGCTGTTCTTGACAAGATGGAGCAGAGACGAAATGCGTGTCTGTGATTGCGGGATGGCGTGAAGGTGAGCGCGGATCAACTGAAGGAAGAAGCGCTTGCTAGTAGTCAGGGGACGGGGATGTGGTGTTGCTGAGTCTCCAATGTATGCGAGTGAGATGGAGCCGTTTGGTGTGTTGGAGCCTGTAGCAAAGGCAGATGGCACGAAATACAGTTCCAGGTCGTTCAAGTGAGTCATGGTGATGCTTGTGGATGAAGCAGAGGTAATACTCCAGCCGTGAGCTTGTTCCATAGCAGCGACTTGAGCTGTGTTGCTGTTAGCCGGATGTCATCATTGATTAATGGACTGGGCGTACCTTTGAGATTGCTGACTTCACTCGTTGACCAGCCACGGCACTCTTCTCGCATGCGTTCAGCAGCCTTGATCTCCTCGATGCATTCAACCTTGCGACTCTTGGCTGCCTCGATACGCGCTTCTTTATCAGCGAGCTCCTTCTGAAGCTGTGCCAACAATCGCTTTTTCTCTTCCAGCTCAGCATCTGTGGCAGTGAGTTTCTCTCTTGTCTGCTCAAGTTCTTCCCGATCGCAACTGTTCAACTCATCGTGGCGCTGCTGTAACCGCTTGCACTCAGTGGACAGAAGCTCCTTCTTCTCTACTAAAGGCGGTAGCACAACATCAAGGAGCTGCTCCTGGTTGATCAGTGCAGACTCATCGCGTTTGAAGCCATCCATAGTATGAAGGAGGCCGGTCTTCAGATCTTGCAGAAGAGTGCTTCTCCAAGTATACCACTCTCCACGTGCTTCGAGGCGGGCATTGGTCTTGAGATTCTTGAATTGGTTGTCCATGACAGCACGCTGGTCCGGAGGAGCAGTGAGATATTCACTAAAGAGTAGCGGGTTCTCCTCCAGGACATTAGCCTCCATGGTGCGGACAAAGTGGCGACCATCCGAGATGTACTTCTTCATCTCGTGGCATGCGTGTTGATACAGTTCGTACTCTGGCAATGTACACGCACCAGCAACCACGAAGCGATCCAATGACTCTTCCTTCTCCTCTACCTCGACGTCATGAAAAGCAGAGGGAGCAGCAGTATGCCGCCTCTTAGTCGTACTAAGGTCCATGAAGCGGATTTTGGTCATGTCCAGGAAGTCCTGAAGCGAGATGCGCTCAACCTCGGAGAAGTCTTCTGCAACACTTTCCTCTACTTGAGCCTCCTCCTGTTCTTGCTCACCGAAGACGACACGTTTCTTAGGACTTATACTTTTCCGTGGGGTAGCCTTCTTGGGTGTTGGGGTCTTCTGCTTGGGTGTTGGCTGCTTTTGGGGAGTCTGGGCCTTCTTTGGTGTCATGCCTCGCTTCACCGGTGACATCAGTGACTGCTTTCGTGGCGTAGATAACAGCTTGATGCTGTTGCTCAGTAGTGAAGTGCTCTTCAAAACAGGCTCCTCGCGTGGTGCACCTAGAGGACTGAACTGTACGGCAGACAATGAAGAACGACGTCGGTTCAGGATAGGGGCAGCAAGCGGATCGTCAGGAATCGCTTTGGGTGTATCTGTTTTCTTTTGGCTGGTAGGCGTTGCTACAGATCCTTTCTCCTTCGAAGCGCTCAAAGGAGTACGGCGCACGAATGGAGAAGGCTCGATCTCTTCGATATCCTTCTGCCTAACAATTTCAGGAGTTCCTGGATCCAGAGTTGGGTAAACCACATCTCCGGAGGTGCTGGGAGTAATATCTTTCAATACCTCAGGAGCTGCCTCTGCCTCAGCCTCAGATCTGAGAATTGAGCTCCTTCTGCGTCCTGGTGATTTTTTGGCTGACAATTTTTGCGGAGTCGGTGTCTTGCTAGCTGGAGTGGGTGTGGCATCGGCAGACTTCTCCGGGGTTGCTGATGCTAGGATGGATCGCTTAATACCAGGTCCAACAATCTTGGTGAACTCCATGGAGAGGTCCTCGTCCTCGACCTCCTCATCCTGCACGTCTTCCTCCATCTGTGCAGGAGATTGATTCTTCTTGATACTACTCATAGCAAGTGTAAAGTCCATGGTTGCATCTTCAACTGGAGTCTCAGCGCTAGCACCACTAGTAGATGCAGGCACTGGTCCTTTTACGATACCCCCGATTGCCATTGTAAGGTCCATAGTAGCATCCTCGGATACGTTCTCTTGAGATTGTAGACGTTGTCGCAGGCTGGCTCGTCGGTCCGTAGGGCGCTTCGCGGGGCTTCCTTGTGATGCTTCAAGCATGGATATTCTCCTCTTAAGACTCTTCCTCCTGTTTGCGGGCGCGTTGGCTGCCATGGCCCGAATGCTTCCCAGTGGCATAGTCAGGTCCATGGTCATGTCTTCATCCATGTCTGAGCTTGCGGTGTCGGGTTGCTGCTCCTGCTCTTGCTGCTGCTGCTGCTGTTGTTGATCCTGGGGAATGATGCGACCCACTGCTCGTGTGATATCCATGCTCATGTCGTCATCCTCTGCCACCGTACGTGCTGGTGAGAAGGCAGGGCTAGCGTTTTCCTTGTCGTATTCGGTGACAAAGCTCTTCTTTGCCCATGGTTTGAAAGCGGAAGTGATTTCGTCTTGTGCAATGTCCATGGTCATATCTCCGTTCTCGTCTTCGTCTTCGTCTTCGTCGTCCAAATCCAGTCTTTGAGTAGTTGCCTGGTTCGCAGCCTCACGGAGTGCAGCGTCCAAGCGAGCGCTGCTCTGCGAAGAGTCCTCTGTGTCCGGGGAAGCGCCCAGGTTCTCTGTCAAATCGTCGTCGCTCTCAGAATCACTGCTGCCGTTGTTATCGCCGCCAGGTGACGCGTTATCCCCACTCAGAGGGCTTGAAGAGTAGACGTCATCTGGGTTGTTGAAATTCATTGGCGGTATTCCAGAACTTCTACGATTCTTCTTCTGGTGTTGCGATCGCTGGTTTGCAGGCGAAGAACCAGGCTCAGGTTCAGGCTCCTCGGCCTGCTCTGGTGGCGTGGAGGGTGGCTCGGCGGGGTCTGAAGGAGGGGCAGGCGATGCGGGTGTGAATGCCTGGGAGACGTTCGAGGCTCTTCGGGTGGCCTCTGACGAGGCGGAGGAAGTGGTCGCATCGCGCATGTACTCGACTACATCCCACGTATGTAAAGTGGCTTCTGGGGCAAACGAGACGCGTCTCCTTGCTAAGAATAATCAATATTGTAACTCCTACAGTTTTGAGACTACCAATCTTACCCAAAGACTTGCGACGGGCTTCGCGCCGCTTCTTCTCATCCTCGCCATTAGAGGCAAGGATTGACTTGACTGCGGGGATAAAGGCAGACTAAACAGTCAGCAACTTGTACATTCCTGGTCGCATACACTCGAAATACCTTTCTCCTATTTCCCATGGCCTCTTTCAGGGGGGGTGCTTCCAACTCTTCCAAGCCACCAGGACCAATACTCTTGCTACGCGTCTTCCGCGCAGTCTTTTTGGGCGATAGCCCTGATTTCTTTGGTGATTGTGCGGGAGCTTTGAATGAACCATTGGCGGTGAGGCCGTCGGCAATATTATCTCGGGCGTCTGATTGCGCCATGGTGTGGTTGTGAAATTTGGAGTGTGGTTGTCGTGGTTCGGGACCGGAGTGTCGATGCATGTAAACACGACAAGCGCCAAACCAAACAATACGTCGTCAGGCCCGTGCGCGCCCCCTCGTCTGATCTTATCATTAATCCCCGCATCTTCAAACCATCGTCACCAAGTAAAACCTGAATTCTCTTATACTAACTTATATTGTTCTGGGTATCTAAGCACAAATAAAAACTATCTATACAATGTAGGAAATAATCTCAAACACAGTACAAAAACCATTGTGTATCCCCACTCTTGCTGTTGGAAACGAGCGTCCTAAGGAAATCCGGTGTCTATGGAAACAGCCGAAAGTCAAAAACAGCCGAAAGCCAAAACCGATCGAAAGTCAAAACTGGCCAAAAGTCAAGAACACTTAACCCAAAGACTCCTTTAGACTCCCAGTAGAAAACATCCTGATCCACATCACCAACCCTAGTTCCCTCCAACAATCCGGCGGCGGCGCCATCCACTCAGCGGCCGAATCTCCTCCGTCTTCGTATCGCTAACTCGGTGGTACCTGCTCCATCGTTCATCTTGGGTCTCCCTCTCCTTCTCTTCAAAGCCTCCCCAGAAGCTGTTTCGCCGGACCCTAGTGCGCTCCCGAGACAGAGACCGCTCACGGGTCTCCCAGGCCTCATCAATCCATCTGTCACTGCGGTGAAGCGCCTCGCTAGACCAGAGGTGAGAGCCGCGAGAATGGTGGTAGGATGTGCTGGGTCGATCCAAGGTAGCACTGATCCTGAGTCGAAGCGCACGGTCTTCTGCGTCTTCATCATCGCTGTGATGGTGACGGTCAGAGTACCGGTATGTGCGGTGTCTGTCGTAGCTGTATAGCCTCTCTTCGTCTTCGTTATTGCGTGTGTCGTTTGACCAGATGTTATAGCGTTCCAGCTGAGAAGGTCGATCGCGGACCGTCAGGGCGCTGGAGATCTTGTTGGACTTGTGGTTGGCGGGGTATGGGTAATCATCATGGCCGTCGTCGAGGTCCGAGAGCGTGATGCTGTGGTCGCGTTTGTGGGTATTGCGGCGCACCAGAGGGCGTGAGTTGTAAGGCTCCTGTTCAGGAGTGCGCTCGCGCGCATGAGTGTGAGAGAAGTGCAAGTAAGACATTGTGGTTGCCTTGTAAGCCTGCCTTAGGACTTCTGAGATCAGATGGTAATTGACTCGAAGAGGTGGTGGTATGGAACTTGTTCTGAGAAAGTCTGTGTCTGCAACTATAGCTGCGTGGAGGATACTTATAGCTGTGCCAGTAAGAAGAGGGTGAAGGACACCGTCGTGTAGTCACATCCTCTATATACCATCCGACCGCATGTCTCAACTGCCTACACAGTGAACGACATCATACCTGGCCAGCATGGACCCACACAACCCGTGAACAATGAACTAGCACCGCCTCTTTTTTGTGGCTCACCATCGTGGCTGACGCAGGTGATGGCCACTATGGTTGGCTGCGCCTCCTCTTGGGCGTCCTTTTGCATGAACTATGGCGTACCGATAATGATCTCACCGCCAAACTACTGAGGCTTAACAGTTGCCTCTTGGCTATTTGCACACTTATGAAACCCTTCCGCGGTGAACATGTGAGGGGTTGGTGCAAACAAAGTTGCGGTCGCGGCAATGGGGCTATGGCCTTTTGCAAGTGTGGGGGCCGGAAACTCGATGGTCGCAGGCTGGTCGCGATGAGCAAACTAAGTGAACATGACGGAACCTGCCGGTATTCAAGTAGGTGCCTGCAAAACTGCACATTCTTGCTCCAATGTGCCCGTAAATTTTACTGAATATCCTTGCCTTCAGGCACCTGGCTCATCATAGCTTGTAATGTTTCAATCATCATGGAATCTGCTAGATCTCCATTCAAGTCGGGGGGTGCTTTTGGCTGACAATTGTTCGTTCATGCTGACCAGACACTATGACCCTCCTGTGCCAGAGAAGGGAGGTATGAGCTGGAGTGTGGCATCAGGCGAGACTCCAGAGAGGCTATGCTCTGGTGTTCTTTGGTGCGCCATTTCGCAATGCAAACTGCCAAGTGTGCCAGATATTCTCAAGGTCTTCAAAGAGGCCTGTGACAAACATCTGTGGTCTGACTCAAGTTTGATGATATTGGTCACCTGAATTCTTAGGTCGCACTGGTTGCCTGGAGGGACGCTGTTGATACCTTGGGGCGGCTTTCCATCGCCACACCCAGGCATCCAATGGCGGTTCCAGGCTATCGTGGTTTGTGTTTTCAGCCCTAACGAGAGCGCTTTGACCTAGTCATGTTGTGTTCAAGAAAATGCAGCGCTAGGGCGTTCGCATGGTTGGCATCGCGTCCGTGCCTACGGCTTGACCCAGCTCTCCGTTCTCTTGCTTATGCTTCGTGACTTCGTATCTTTTAGGCTCCAACGGTGGCCCTGACAGAAACACTAAAGTCCCTGGAGCCTTTCTAGAAAGACCTGTGCATGCGTTGATTCTTGCGTGAGGGGCCATGCACGATGTATCTCTCGCGATACGATATCGCCCCCTGGTAAATTGGATTTTCAGGCGTCCAGCTCAGCAATCTTCCGTGTCATGCAAGATCTCAACTGTCTAGTCGAGTATTTCGTTGGATTTCTGAGGATGTGAGGATGGCATGTTGTCTACTACACCACGGGACAAGTTGAGGAACTTAGAGTGCAAGATGTTGTCAGAATATGCATTTCGCGGTGTGGGGATGGATGGTGGAGGACATGCGCGCTGGCGTGCCAATGTCCCATGGCCCTTGGCATGTGATCGCGCGCCATTCCTCGCTCTCAGGCTAGCTAGGATGAGGCATTGTCTGCGGCATGATTGACAAACTTCAACGTTTTCAGACCATGGCCGAGGGAAAGGGGTTGGGGCAGTTCAGAGTGCGAGAGGCTTCGTCCTTTGCTTCTCCATACTTGGCCAGCACCCACCGCAAGCTGTCGTACACAGATACGTAGCGCGCCACCATGTTGATGTTTCTACCGTCTGAACTCCTGACTCTTGTAGTCCTCGCCCGTGCTGTCCTAGCTTTCCCACGTATGTCACTGCTCGCTACGGAATACGATGGTCAAGACTTACTTTTGCCAGAAATCGACACTCCCGTAAATGCTACGGCCACCATACCCATTGGCCAAACCAGCGAGGGCGCTCTGGAAACGCCATCGGATGACTTCAGTATACCAGATGAGTGTTTGGCCAATCCAAGGTCTTGTAACGGGCGGGAAAGACCAGATCTTCCAACAGCCACAGGCTTTGACGACACCGAGGTTGTCAGGACCATCGTTGGTCCCACCACTCCGACCAATGAGGTTCGCACTTCGAGTGTTCCAAAGGTTATCAATGTTGAGACAAATACTGTAATTCGTGCTGGGACGAATACCGTGCCTCGTGTTGAGCCTATTGCTACACCCAGCTCGGCAGCGGGTGGCCTTGAATTAGAGGAGAACCAGGCGGGAGCCGACAAAGTGACGCAAGACACCTCTGGTCCGTCCGCTACTGTACCAAAAGAACACGCGGGTAGTCCCGTAGGGGATAACCCGTCTAGGGTTGTCCTATCAGACGCACCACAGGCACAACAAGCACAACAGACACCAGAGACACCACAGAACAGTCTGTTGTCAGACATAGTCTCGCGGCTCGGCCAAACCCTATCCATTGCGCAACCAACTCAATCTCATGCGCAACCTCCACGGCCTGACGCGCAACCTCCACAACCTGATGCGCAACCTACAGGGCTTGACGTGCAGCCAGCGCCATCCTTGTCGCGTGGAACAGGCGATTCGGGCGAAGGCTCCACGATCGATTCTACTGGCGATTCTGCCGTTGACACCGTGCCGCAAACAGACGGAAATAGCATCACGCCAGGGCCAGGCATGCCAAGCGCCACAGGCTCTACTCCTACATCAGGAGCCATTCCCAACTCTATCACGCTCGGCTCAGCGATAATAGCGCTAACGCCTGGTGTCTCCACCACCATCGGACCCAGTTCCGACCAGACGTTGGTTGCCATCACCACGAATGCTGCTGGAAGTACCCTAGTGACTATCAGTTCAAGCGGGGTCGCTGTCACCGCTACAGTAAGCGCCGTGCCAACTACCGTTACTCTGCCAAAGACGGGCTTCGAGGCAAGCATTACCAATGTTGCCCGTCCGGGAGTGGTCACTAGTAGTAGACCACTAAGCACTACTTCGAGTAAAGCTATGGCTGTTGGCAACAAGAAGAGCGAAGTAGGCTGGTGGACGAGTGCCATGCTGGGAGTCGTTGGTCTCGTCCTCGGATTCTGAGAATAGAATGTTGTCCTCAACGATTTCTTTTCAGTTATTGATGGATCGAGGTATCCAAGTACTAAACAACATGAGCAGGGGACGCGTCCATTCGCGTCATCACATGCGGCTCTCTCCGCGCCCCGCTGCTTGGTAACCCCCGCATCGACACGTCTCGCTAGACATAAGACGCAGTCCTCCCTTCGAAACCTCTTCCTACTGCTCCACACTTCTCGTCGTCCTTCAAATTGAAGAAGGCCTCATTTACACCCTAATCTCGGCCATCCAAGATAATACCTCAAGCAACTACTGTCAGCTCCAAAACACCTCCAACAAAGAATCAGCAACATGTCTTCTGAGACCGACAATTCAAAAATCACAACTACCTACAAGGCGGCGAAGGCCCAGGGGTTTCGTAGCTTCAAAGACTTCTTGGAGTCGTATGGGCTAAGGGTTTGGGAACCAGATGATGTGGAAGAGGGAAAGGCGATTCTGAGGGCCATGGGATACAACATCTCATGAGAGATTGTGGGTTTGAAATACAGAAAGAGCTACGTAATATTTTGGATTACTAGAAGCGACGCAAGGTGTTCGAAACGACGGTCAGATGGTACACGCAGTATCAGTAATGAGCAGGAGGAGCAGCTTAGTACCACTCAGTGTTGTATCATGACAGGAGCGAACGATACATAAACTTCTTATTTCATAATGAACACAATAATCTAAATTCTACATCAGGAGATACTCTATTTTACAAAGTATCCTACGCCCCTCTCCCCTTCTTCCCATGTCTACTCCTCAACCTTCAACCCATACACCCCCAATTGCTCCTTGGTAACCGCATTCGGACTCTTAACCAGCAAATCCTCTCCCCGCCCACTCTTCGGAAACGCAATAACATCTCTTACACTCTCCCGCCCACACATCATCGCCATCAGGCGATCCCAGCCCAGTGCAATCCCCGCATGCGGTGGACACCCGCTACGCAGGACATCGAGCAAATGCCGAAAATCCTCGATGCGCTCGGGCGCCATCTGGAGGATATCGCGGAATATGAATTCTTGCATGGGGGCAGAGTGGATACGGCGGCTGCCGCCACCGAGTTCGACGCCGTTGACGACGATGTCGTAGTGTGCTGCTGTGGCAGCCGACGGGTCGGTAAGGAGTAAGTCAATGTCTTCCGGTGTTTTGGGGGCGGTGAAGGGGTGGTGGGTAGAGGAGAAGCCGGAAGTGCCGCCTTGGCCTGGTTCGGAGTCGCTGGAGGGAGTGAACAAGGGGAAATCTGTTATCCAGAGGAAGCGGAAGTCGTCTTTGGCGGGGGCTTCGATGAGACCTTGAGCGATGGCTGCTTTGTGCAGGGCTAGACGTAGGTTGCCGAGGGAGGTTGAGCCGCCGGAGAAGGGGACGTCGGGGCGGGCTTGCAGGATGAGGAGATCGCCGTGGTCAGGGATGAGGGTTGAGGGTCCTTCCATTGTGAATTGGTGGCCTAGGGGGCCGAGACCGTCCATAGGCTTGGATAGGTCGCCGATGAAGACGCCAGGTTGGCCGTCGGGGTTGTCAAGATAGGGTTTGCCGTCTGGGCTGTCGAGGAAGTTGGCGATGAATTTGCGGGTGATTTTTGGGTCTTCGGATATAGGGATCTTGATAGCGTCGACGATTGAGTTCTCCAGTGGAGTGATTTTGCTGATTAGATCAGGTGTTAGATGTTTCGTGATGTTGTATATCTGTATATGTTAAGTTTAGGTTGATAGGTATGGCAATCTACATGCACTTACCTTGGAATCGTAACGCAAGTCTGGTTTGTCAGATCCGTATAACAACATTGCGTCGTGATAGGTCATGCGTGGAAATGCCTCAAGAGTCTTGAGATTAAGCACGCGCTGCCAAAGTTTCCTCAGTAGCCTCTCTGTCTCTCTCATGACATCTTCTTCGTCTGCAAAAGACATTTCCATATCAAGCTAGAGATCATCGTCAGAAGAAATAGATGTATTCATGCAGTGGAACTAACCTGCGTGAACTCGGGCTGTCTATCAGCCCTGAGATCTTCATCACGGAAGCATCGGGCAAATTGGAAGTACTTAGTAAATCCAGAAGCCATGAGAATCTGCTTGTATTGCTGGGGACTTTGCGGCAATGCATATGCAAGCCCCTTTTGACGTGTTGGTACAAGAAATTCTCGCGCACCCTCGGGTGTCGACTTGAAAAGAATGGGCGTTTCAATCTCTTTCCAATCGACTTCAATCAAACTAAGTCTTGCTCTAGCCATGGCCTTTGATCTCAGAAGGATGTTAGAACGCAGCTCCGAATCTGTGCGAAGTTGCAAATGTCGCTGGTCTGGTCCAAAAACTGTGTCGTTCTTAATGATTATATCGTTAGGAATGTCATTGAGTGGCTCTACGCGTGTTACAGCGATTTCCCGAGTAGTGACCAGCTTCATGCCGAGGAAGTGATCATCTTTTGCTGGTCGGCGCTCGGCGAGCGTACCTCTTACAATAACGGGAGTCCACTCTTTCAATGAGCGGAGGCGAGCATGTGCTTCGGCTTGTTCTCCTTCCGGAGTGTTCGAACTAGAGACTAACTGGATACAAGACGTCTGGTTCTTGTTGCGAAGCATAGTGAACGAGAGCTTGCTGCTGACATCTCGTCGAGTACTAATGTATCCAAAAATTTCAATTTCCTGACCAATCTCATGGTCGGCTAATTGCCCGTCATTCCATGCATTGTCAAGTTTCTCCCATGAGGACCGGACTGTAGTTCAATAAGTGCTGGAACTGGACTTGGTGGGGCGAACATACTGGTCGCCTTGAAGTCATCAAGCGTCTTCCTGAGTTTCTCATCCCGTGAAAAATTCTTTTGGGTCGGCTGCAACGTCTGAAGGCATCGGATTGAGATTGGCAAACCCGATATTACTCGATTCGCCGTGATCTCGTGATGGCGTGGTCTGAAGAAACGGGATATTTCCACATAGGAATTGCGCAAGCATGCACCCCGATTTGCTACATACTTCGATGCATGTAGAAGACTCATGCTCATAGATGTCGGCCGATTGGACCCTGAAATTGTTTAGATGCGAAGATACTGGTTCAATGCCTTTGCTGCCAAATCTCGATATGCTGCCAAGGCCGATCTCCAGCTAAGCTCTATTTGGACTAGTCACGCATGGACCATCGTTCAGAGCTTCAAAATCTTTCTGTAGCCCTCACCCGACTTCCTCTCGCTATCCCTCCAGTTTGTAAAATGTAAGCGCCTCTTTTTCAGAGAATCCGAGAACCCAACTAACAGCGCATTCTAGATGATGAAAGCCTAGCGTGTATTAGCTGAGCAGCTCTCCTCATCCGCCCTCGAACTCTCTCCTTCGGGTGCTTAAGTGGTTCGCTGGTAGATTTGGATGTGGCCGCATGACTTCAGCGTTCGGCACACCCACCTTGTTACATAACGGACGCTTTGACGGCATCTCTGATTCAATAAACTGGTCGGTGTCCATTTTACCGCGATTACGCGCGCGAGACAAGAACGATTGCGATTACGGTTACGAAAACAAAGGCGGAGCATTTCCATTGGGAAAGACTGCCGTGTACATAACATTTTGATAGGACAATGAAAGAGTTTTATTTTTCTGCATGGTGCACCTGTGCTGGGTGATGTGGGAGGAACGAGTAAGAGGCTGTAGTCCTAACACATTCGCCAAAATTACTGCGAGAGGTATTGGAGTTGTCAATCTCTTACCTACTCTCCGAGACGGCGATATATGAACGCAGTGTCAATTACCCCTTCACTATTTCATCATGGAAAAAGGGGCGTAACACATTTGCAACATACTATCATGACGGCATGTCCGTTAGCACTGGGTGCTTGAATACTTCACTTGAGTCCAAAACTAGGACATTATTATACCAGTGTGCTCAAATGACTTGAGGAGACCTTTACAAAATGTCCGAAGAACTATCATTGAAAAGACTACATATGTAATGAAGCTGAACCGCTTCCGAATTATCAAAAATGTACATGCAATGCAATGAATCCTTTCTTTTAGAGCTCACTCCCACAATGAAGTGTCGCCATTCCCATTTATTCCGTGTCCTGCAATGACTCTGCACAATATGGTATAAAGTTCCACGAAACTTTCCTGATCTGGAGGAATGAGCGCTCGGCTACGCTGATTAAGGAAGAGATCGTATTCCAACCTCTAACTCCCTCCACGTTCCTTTTCTTCCAAGACTAAGAAGTAGATCTTTACTCGCTTTTGATATGACCTTGGATATATTGCGATCAGGAGCATTATAACCGTATATGAAGATGTGAATATCCAACGACTCAAGTGACGAAGACATCCGCGCAGTATCGATGATAAACTGCATGCCACACGGTCGTCTCTCGCCACTTTCCGCCTCCACGCAGTACTCATTGATACTCTCCGCCTGTAACTCCGTAAGCTCCAGATTTCACAGCGACGCCGGAAGAACCTGACGCGGATCAACCGGATTAGGGTTCCCCGACACATCCGCATGCGCAAGATGAGTGATATCAATCCGCAGCGTATGCAACTTTGTCAGCCCCACAAGCGACCCAGTTTCGAAGAACTAGATCTATTTATATTCTACTTTTATTACTTTATATTCTATTTAAAAAAATCTTCTTATTAGGTGGTTTTGTGTACTGATAGTCTTATAGATATACTTAGTACCTTTACTTAGCTAAGAGTGAGTATTATATAAGAATATTAGTTTGAATTTAAGTATAATATATATATGTTTATTTACACATGGTAATCCTACAAGCAAAGTCTATCCCAGACAAGTCCAGAACAAATCAAATGGACTAGGCACAAGCTCGTCAACCCATGTTTACCTGCGCGGTCCATTCATTGACCCTTCTACTAAACAGGGAAACATTTTATAACACTGCCAGGACATCTAATGAATGCTATAGATAATTGCCAAACAGCTAGGAAGAGCTATTAATCCGAAAAACCTGGAGAAAGATATTTCCTTGCAACGGTCATTTAGGCAATATTTGTATTG